AACCCTTGCCTGCTTTTAGGAAATACAGTGATCCTAAATGTTCAAATAACAATATATAAACGAACGCATGCAGGTTTGAGTATATAACGATTCAAGAATGAGCAAATTTTTCTTTGACGTTAAGGTACGTGGATACCAAAGCATTAGCCACTAAACGTATCTCAGAGCGCATATTTTATTAAGCACCCTAGAAGCTTCGTCTCCTGAGGGTGCAGTTTACCGGCTATCTTTAGAACCCACGAGCTACCACCCGTTAGAGGTGTTCAGACGTCCCCCTTCTTTCCAGACGTCCTATGGGATACCTCTATTATTTATGAAACACTGGCAATCTTCCTTCTTCCAGACCCCGTTCTTCACCTCCCATAACTTCTTCCCATCCATTTGGAGAATGGATGCGGCTGGTGAATAGCTATATCGTATCAGTTCAATTCCCTATCTTGACAGTTCTGCACGGATTCTGAAAAGGTATAATAAATGTTAGTTGTAATACTTTATGTAGAAACTCATGCAATGGCCAAGTACGTGTAAATAAACGTATCAAATATATTCGTACATGTGGTAGCACGTTTTAACGACTTCGCAACCTGCCGGATATTTGTTTCAAAAGCAAACAAGAACATGAAAGGTTTCCTAAAATAATTTATAGATCGTTTAGAAGTACTGTTAAATAATTAATACTTGTTACAGAGTGCTTAGCTAATTACAAGCAGATAGTTGTACAGCATGCAGTGCGGTTCAGGTCGAAAATAGAAAATCGACCGGATTCAAATCCTATTGGGAAATACACATGATTCCTATACAAATTTCCAGCTCACTGAATATAAGGGATGAAATTAGTTTCGCAGAGAAGATCAAGGATTCCTGGAAGAGGAAATAGATTCGGTACGAATCTCAATTGGATTAAGTAGATTAAGCTCTGATCTGTTATTGAATGTCAGATAAGATCCCAGTGGTGTGTAAGAATTATTTTTTTTTTATGGTTATTAATAGAAAAAGAAACAAGAACTACGCAAATATCTCTAAGAAAATTGAATAGAATAAAATTCCTACTTTACGGTCATAGAATCTGCTGAATCGCAAATGCGTTCTGTAGGGGCAAAGATCATATATTAACATTTTGACATATAGCCGCAAACAAACAAAAAATGAAGAAAATACCGTGGCGCCAGCCTATACGCTAAGGATTTGAATGCAATTTCAACTTCTATTCTGGCGACAGAGCAGCCCCTAGCCAGTATTGTGTTATTATCAGGCATCCTAGCTGGCTCACAAGGGTTGCCACTGACGTGGATAGATGGAAGCTTCAAGTTAAATGGTCCAGCAAAAACGCATTTGTATCTTGGGTACCACTAATACCACAAGCATCCCTCAGTTCCTCCCTGACAATCGGTAGATCTTTTAAATGTCCCAATTCCACCCTTGAGAGACACTAAAACGCGTGGTGCAGTGGCCTTTAGATTTAAGTACAATGGTATCTGGAGATTTGGGCAAACAATGAGACATTTTCAAGTTACACTAGAAATCTTCCCCTTTTGTTACACAGAGATGGCGAATCCAAGAGACGTCGGGGGTCGCGAACGCCAAGATCCTCCTTAGAAATAAATTCCTTTCAACACTGTAAAATAAAGGAGATTCATCGGTCGTGCTCATTTGCGCATCTCACCCTGAAATCCTTTTTATTTGTACAGCCACGTACCCGCGTATAGATACGATCCTGTTTCTCTTTCATTCTCATATAGTCAGAATTGCTCAGAATCGTCCGGCCTGTTTAAATTTTTTCTCCAGAAGTTACCACGGGCGTTTTCTACCCTCGAGGAATTCATAGGGGTTGTAGTTGTAACTGCGGATCTTCATGCTATACATTCGTACGTGAATGTACATAGGAAACACCTATGGCAATGATGTAGGAGGGTCTCGCTGTTTTGCACCGAGATGTCTAATGCTGATTATTACGGCACTCCATGGACTGGAGGATATCATCAGGAAACACCCTGAGACCAGAGTAGATAGTATAAAAGCTCCTCATCTTTCTGGAGGGTAAATGAACTCATCCACGATACTGAAATATCAGTACCTATCAGAATTACCGTTCGCTCATTAGCATTTTTTCAAATTTCCTCGTTGCCACGTCTGTTCACTGATTTCATTGATATGTCGATGAAATCTTGTTTTCAGTTAGTAGTTATAAATACCATAATAACTCACGTTCAAATAGACTTAAAAATAACCATCTGAAATAGTTTGGAAGTTAGTTATTCAAAATTACACTCATATATCATTTTTCCAATTAAATAAAGTTACATACGTAAATCCATTTAAGGTTCATTTCACTTCCACTCGTGGCAGGCATAGGAAAATAAAAATTTTAAGGCAATATCCTTTTTTCGACCCAATTACAAATTTGCCAATAGGTACCCTAATGTGCCTGTACTCGTTTGACTGTCCAATGTGCCAAATGGTAATTACTTCAAGAGTACATAGTGAACGTAAAATCTAATTGATACGCTGATCGATTAGCTTCGCATATAGTTCGGGTAAAGAAAATTATAAAAATAAATCAGTATGCATTCCGTTTCTTGTTTTCTGAATTTTTATCTCCTAGACGTTTGATGGCCAAAGCTAAAAGGACTCTGCCAGGCTTCACGGTTATTATAGATTGACGGATGAACAAAAGAGGGTTGAAAACGTGGGTTCGCTTCCTTCGCAAAATTCTGTCAAGTATAATCTTCTCAGAGCCATCGATCCCAGAACAATCTCATATTCAAACGTGGTATAAAATTTGCGTTTTTCAACCTCCAGAGAACATCACTCGATCGTACCTACATCCCTATACCTTTATATTCTTATATATCCCTCACTACCCTTCTTGAAAACCATACACATTAGTTATGCTCATAAGCATTCTAGTATATACGTGTATACCCGTAGGGACTAACAGCAAAGTATACTGAGAGAGTAGCAAACTGGTTAGGAAAATATCGTGGGCTCGCAGATTGTCGGTTGCTTTTTACGAGCGCAATATAACCAGGACTGAAGTTTCCACCCCTTAGAATCCCGGAGAAAATACTGATGGGACCATAGCAGAAAGGCAATGCGATTCCGGATAGTTTTACGGCTGATACTTCTTCCCTGGTAGTGCTATAACATCCAGGGCTACCCTACTACTGTAAGACAAGTAGATCCCGGGTAGGATTAAAGTTTCGAGAAAGGTTACGTCCCCTTCTGAAATGACGGATCGATGAAACTGTTGAGAAAAATCTTCAAAGTTTTCACCTCATTGAAGCCATTAACCAATGATACTCCTTTCGCCTGGATAATTCGCACGATGGCTTACGAACGAGATTCGCGAACTGTGCTCTTTTTATCCTTTACTTTCTGCCACTCGCTGTCCTCGCCCAATTCCCATTACCGTGATGCATTTCGAAATTACTTTTTCCAAGGGTTGGCTGCCGATCACCGTCCACAGTCTATAGCACATAGCTTCGTTCCTATACATTCTCGTCGATCCTGATTTATTTTGCCTATACTCTCTCGCTCCCTCGCTTTCTCTCCTACACTTTCTCCCTTCGTATCCTCATCGCGAATTCCCCTCACGACTAGTATGATCCTCTCTTCGTGATCCTCCGGCACTCTCGACGTGCCAGCCAGTCAAGCAGCCACCAGTAAGGTATAGACAACACTCGACCACAATAGTATGCAGAGGGGTGAACTGTGGTGAGCCAGTGTTGTTGTCCAGGGTGTCGTGGTTCAAGGATGCAACGCAGACGGATGATCGGGGAGGAAAGCTCAAAGTTTGCCAACAACTCACGAGTAGCTTTTGCCACTTCACGACATCCATCGCTTTCCGCATACAGACATATCGCTCTGGAGGACGACACTCGAAATCCGATGGCACACACGGGCTGGGTACTGGAAAGGGCGATTTTTTAATATCGTGTACCATTTTCATCGTTCGACGGGCGATACCCTGCGGTGTTGATATTGTGCTTTCTGCGGTGAGGAAGACTCTACCGCTAACCCTCCTCTCCTGGAGCTTTCACCATTTCGTCAGCCTTTGACACTTACCGAGAGCTTTACAAGTGCTTTCATCCTCGTGTAACGTGCCGTAATACGTCTGCCCCCACTGTGCCTATATACGTCCTATACGTCCCCACGGGTATTCCTCTCGATATACTCATTGAAAGTGTATGATGTATATGCTGAAATCCATACCGTGAAGAGGAAACATATTTCTCTTCTTGATACCTGAAAAGGTGATTTTATTATAGTCTGTTATGCGAGTCACGGGATCAATGTTTGATAAAGACACAGAGTTTATACAAGGGGGATTAGTTATTGTGAATTGAAGCATATTTCAGTCGTGAAATTCTCTTCTTGAATTTCACTCGTGGATTTGACTCTGACGCAATCATACGGTTGTACGGGTATGTAAATAGAGGGAAAAACAAACAGTGCCGTTAAGGAATACCGTGCTTAGGTTAACCGTTGAACCTCGTAGGAGGAAACGCTTGCAAGGGATGCTGACGGGTACCAAGTTCTTTGTGCCTAGACTAGGGAGCTTTTACACGGTCCTAAAACGTGGACTTTGTAGTAATTTGCTTTGCTTCCATGGCTGAAAGAGGTCTGGCTCTGCCTTGGTCGGCCTAGGCTCTCTACCTAGAGCAGCTAGTTGCTTGCAGTAGAAAAAGTACTGCAATAAAGAGCGGAAGAACCAGTGGTTATAGGTGGTACAGAGCTTGTGCTGTGTGTGGGTGGCTAAAGATCATAAGCTCTCGGGGTTACTTTCATGTAAAAACTTCCCTAGGGTTGGCAAGCTGCTAACTCGACTGGCTCTATGGATACCGAGGATAGCCAAGTAAGCAGTGCCTGCGTGTCTCCTTCGGTCTTTCTTAATTTCATTCGAATTTCATCCACTTCTTTATTCCATCCCTCCGTTCTCTGCTTCCTTCTCAAATATTTTACCTCTGTTACTTAACTGAATTCAAGAAATTCTCTTACAGACCCGACTGACTAGAAGGTACCGAATAAAGGCCGGAGTGCCCACGCTCATCTTGCTCGAGGGTGAAACTGGCTCCGTAGTCACTCGAGGTGGGGTGGAACGAGCCCTTGCCGATCCTACAGGAACGAACTTCCCCTGGAGGCCACCGCATCCAAAAGCTACCCTCGAGGACGGGCCACTTCTACCCTGTGGCGGACGTGGCAGTAACGAACCCATGCTGCACGAAGAGCTACGTCACTGCGTCAAGGGTGTTTACTTTAGTGCTCATTGGGTAAATATTTTCCTCAATTCTGTTTTCTTTTCTTCTGAAACGAAAAAAAAATACATTTTCCTTATTTTCATACGTTTCCAATTGACGCCCTATCCAATTAACCTCGCACGCATACAGCACCAGGCTTACCTTCTGTTTTCGATAAACGCGAAAAACCTGACAATGCTGCATCGCCGAGGTCATAATGCCTATATCCAATCTCAGAGGGGTTGGTGCGCACCCTCTATGAACGGTCGTGGAAACGCGGCAGAGGGTTAGTTTGCATAAGCAATCTACCTGGAGGAGAACAACAGAAATACGCGGCTGGAAAGGGGATAGGACGGACTCCTCCTACAGACAAAGAAAAAAAAATAGAAGAAAGGCAATGGGACGGAACAACGAATAAGCGGGAGCGCAGAAGCCAATGAAATATTTAAGTTCGCGCCAACCTGCAACCCCCCGCACCCTCGCACTTTTTCACTCCCTCGAATTCGCCCTTTCCTACATTTTCACCACCTCCACCTCAGGCTGAATGGCACAGTGATCTCCCTTGGCCGTGTTACCCTTCGCTCCTTCTCTAAACCGTCCGTCTTTCTCATCGTGATAAGGAAGGTGCTCTTTTAAAAAGTCAGACATTTCATTTCCTGTGCGGCTGATTCGATTCGTCAACTTCGACGAAATCGATTTTATGCAGGATAATTAACATAGGAATCTCGGTCCATGTAATTGATTTATGAGAGGTGTACTCAGGATGCTGAAGATGAATTGCTGGCAATGCTGGAAAGTGCTTCTCAGGAAGTACGTGCTTACTCAAACTCTCGCAATGCTTTATGCCTCAAGTATTTCGCAGGATTATTTAGAGGGGCACTCCATTGTCCAGAGACATTTATCCAGCCAGGCACATCGGCCAACGTGTATATCGAATTGTCTGGTTCGTTTCCGTGTAACGTGCTCTGCACTTTTATAGCGAGCCAAACCTTAGAATCCTTCCGTACTTGTATATTTTGGCTACCAACATCCACTTTCTCTCTGTTTTATCTTCTACGATTCTTTCTTGCATTGCTGCATTCCCACTCTAATATTTCGTTAAGTGTACAGCGTACTTTTATTCCTCTTTACAGTGCCCGCCATGCAAGGCTTTCACACCGCAACTAGTGGATACCTATCAGCGAATTCGAGAACGAGGACACAACTTCGAAGTCATCTTCGTTAGCTCGGATCGGTGAGTCAAATATTATGTACCGACAACACAGATGACGTTGTTGAAATGAATAACAAGAATAGAAGGGACGAAAATACTTTACGTCTCTTCCCCTCAATACCAGTCGACGCCAAATCCCTGGAGTGACTCCACATTTTAAATTCATCCTGATTTAATTATCCGGTTCCCGGAAGGACCTCCTTCGACTTCTTTGCTCGGAAACGGAAACTGTAATCAGAAAGCTTCCAAGTAAGATTTCTGAGAAAGTTACAAGAGTCAGTAGACGCTCAGCTATTGACTATGGTAAATAATAACGTGTGTACATTAATTATGTGTATACCTAATAGAAAGATTTTTTTTCAATTTCTATAAAAATTCTTCTACTCGAGTCACAAGGCATTTAAGTCAAGTTCAGAAGCTGTTGGTTTTTGCCCAAGAGACTGCCCTATATAGAGCTACCTATGCTCTTCGTTTTTCAGCCTGTCTTTGACCTCGACTTCTATATAGGAGCGTTGGCATCAATCCAACACCTGACTTTCAATATACTTTCTCCTTGGTTTCAACCCTTTCGGAATACCACTCGTCAAGAATAGTCTACTATTTCAGGTGCTTGAAATGTCGAAGAATTCATTGAACTCTTCTGGAGAAATGTGTTGATCGATACTCTGTGCACCAAACTATTCTCATCAGCGGTGCAGAGCGGTATAAATTATACTGTCGGCATGGATACTTATCAGAAATACCAATCGCCACTGCCCTTTCGAAATTTACGTCGACAGGACATGCATTACTAGAACAAATTCGTAATACAACATAAACCAACCCTGATAGCTTAGCGATGCATATCTACCAAGAAATTATACACTGTAGGGGGCGCTTTGCGAAGCAAAATCCATGTGATATGATTAAAAGACAAGATTACACACTAAAAACTACCCCCCTTGTAATTAAGCCACATACCGGAAATAGTGTGGTACCACCATGAGGACTATAAATGGATGATAATTTTTCAAAAGAGGATGTGTATAATCTGTATAAACATTTAATTCCATAATTTTGAACTCTTCCCTTATTTATCTTAGTTTCATTTGTATCGTCTTTCTACTTCTACGTAGTTTGTTCTCTGCTCATACCATTTCTTGCCGATCGGAAAACCAATAGAATTCCTCATCCTGGCGTGTATAATGGAAAGATTCCTTGAGCTGCCTGGCACCCCTGCGACACGGTACCATTTGATTGATTTCGCATATCGGAAACAGATCTCGGTAAGAGGTTCCTTGTCCATTTTATTTCAATACTCACTATCAGCTTTCCTATTTTCCGTCTTTTACTTTGAAGAGATTTTGAGAAACGAAGGACGATATTGCCGCAGTTAATTCTCTCGAATGACACCGATTCGCAGATCAACAATTCCCTTCTGGCAAGTTCCGAAAAATCGATGCTACTTTATTGGCTGGAACAGAAAGAGGCACTTTTACTAAAATACTTGGTAGCACAAGATAAGCCGGGCAGAAACGGCAGCTGAAAGAATTTAGGTTATTCGCAGAGGGCGCAATACGTTAGGGAGGTCCAGAAGAGAAAGAAGATTTGTTATCAAGAAAATCGCATCCCTTACGGACTGAGTTTCATAAAATTTTATGAGAAATCGATAGACTATCGCGGGAGGACTGTCACACCCTTGAAATGCCTTCGAGGCCGAGGGTGCTTTTCTACGTGCTGACGCTAGAGTTATCTTTATGGGGTAACCGTGACTCTGAATAATATTTAACCATAACTAGCCATATGCATTAACCCCACGTCATGGATATACCGAGACTGAACATTTTTCACTCTTACGTAAGATCCAACACGAGAATACCTTCTTTATGAACTTCGATAATCCTTAACCGTGTTAAATAATCAGCTTGAATTTACGAGGTACTTTTCCTTAATTTCTTCCATGCCTTACCGTCCCCTCTATTGGAAATAATTAATGTCCTCCCTGTGAGAGAACAATCCTGCAACCCCAGCAAAGATAAAATACAGTAAAGACCGATAAACCCAAACGTGATGTTTTACGATTGCTCTTTTATCCGTGATTTCGAATCGGTCATACGAACAGAAATCAGCCCTTTCGATTTCACGGGCGAATAGCCCACCGGTTAACGGGCAGGGAATGAGTGAATTGCTTCCGTAGTGCTAGTCATGCTGGCAACGAGTCAGAATTCAGGAATTTGGTCTACCGTAAATATTACCTTTGATTACTTGTACAATATCAATCCGTAGCACTGTCGAAAATTGCATGCATGTGAAGCCGATGAGAACGTTAAGCTTAAGGAATATTCTTAGTCGGTGGTAAACGTTGCTATGCTAAGCGATTTTACTGGTTTGCGATTTGTGCTGGAGCTCGAGCTAAAATTGTATAATTACTGAAACTTGTTCAGCATGGCTGCAAAAAAAGAGATTATATTCGAACGAGATGAAGAGAGGGTTGACTATATAGGATAACCAAGCAGTGGGTAGTTACCGGCAGCTACGGATATGGGGTATGAGACCATCAAACCAGTCTCCTAAGGGGTGCAGTGTCAATGCTGGGGTGAACGGTACGCTGGAAAAATCGTAATTATTCCTGAAATAGTGTCTGGCACGTAATTAATGAAAAGTTTTCAAAAGAGAAAAGGATGGAGTACGTGAGCATATACTTTTGAGACCATCTGTACAGACATACTTTAGGAAATGATTCCCCCATGAAAAAAGTTAGATACCAATTTTTTTTTAAGTTTTAGTATACCTCTGTATCGTGAATTATTGAATTAACATTTCAGAAGCGAGGATTCTTACAATGTCTATACGACGAGTATGCCCTGGTTAAGGATACCATTCGTTCAGGAAGAGAGAAGACAAAAACTAGCAAGGGCGCTGGACGTCCAGGCGATACCGACTCTAGTAATACTAGACCCCAGGGATAATATTATCACTCTGGAAGGCCGTGCAGAACTTCTGGAGGATCCTGAGGGCCTGGTAATAACACCTTGAGCTATCTGTTAAGTTATCACTCCGCTACACCATTCCAAGGGAATTCCTTTTACAGGAGCTTCCTCGTGTGCCATTTATCACTCTTATCCCTTATTCGCTGACGTTAGCAGTCCTCGTCAATTTCTTATGGATCATATATACACTAATTTTGATTAAATATACAAATTTATTAAATTTATGTATCTAATGCTTCATGAAACATGCCATTGATAAAAATTATTATATTCTTTTTTAGAATTTTCCATGGGCCAGTCGACTAGTCAATATACTCACTGAAAAATACGCCACGACGCTTCACGACGCCCCAGCGATAATACTCTTTGTGGGTAAGTATGTAATCTAAGGAAATTGGAATTTCCGCTAGAGAAAAAGTTTTCTTCAAGTCTTAACCAGTAATAGTTTTCATCACGTTCAACATTAGGTATAAATGGTCTAAATTTTAAAATTCTTCTAAAATTCTAGGTATAAACTTCTTATTGAAGTAATTTGGAAAAGGCAGTCAGAGTATGTCATGTATGATACATTTATTGTAGAAATGGATCGAGTAATGAGCAATTATTAAAAATTAAGTTTTACCAATTTTACAAGTATGTATTCAGTTTCACGTCATCATGAGGCCTATTAGCTCAGTTGGTTAGAGCGTCGTGCTAATAACGCGAAGGTCGCGGGTTCGATCCCCTCATAGGCCAGCTTTTTAATTTTTGAACAATTTTCCTATTTTCCTCTGGTTTAACTCACTTTTTTCCTTCTCTTTCTACTTCTTTGATAACAGAAGGTGATGACTGTGAAGTGCAATTCGCCGAGAGTGTCCTTTTGCCAATAGCAGAGGCTTACAGAAAGGATAGACCAGATTACGACCCAGACTATGATGATCTTGATAACACGCTTCAGTTTTTCATAGCGTTAGACGTGAGTATCTCTTATCCACTTTTTTCAATATTCAGAAAACAATGGTTAACATATCGATATGCAGCTCTAACGATTTCTAAACTAAGTTAATGGACTTCTCACGATTAACGTAATTAACAGTAACGCCACTTCTCAGTAATTGGCGGGATGAAGCAATTACCAGTGAAACGGTCGTTTCCGCAGAACAAGCCATGTTAATTACACGTTTAAAGCTTTCTTTTTTTTCTCTTTATTTGCCGTTTTCCATCTTTGTGCCGCAAGCAATAATCCTGAATATAAAAATAAAAATAATAAAACACAACATATTAGAACAATGTGAAGTTATCATAAAATTATTATATAACGTAATTTTATAGTGCGAAACCTCGGATATACTACGAGAATTTGTTGGACTGGATGACGCTGTACCTTTGCTCACAGCCATCGATATTCCTCGAGGCGTCTACGTAGTGATGGAGGATGGAGCCGAAATCACTGTTGATTCTGTCCAACAGTTCGTCGATGGATTTCGAAATGACAAGTTGCCAACAAACAAAATCGCAGCGGTGCACAAATCTGCAGCATCTGAACCGATTTCTACTTAATTGTACACGAAAACTGATTAACATTTAGATCGCCAAAAAAAGGATTGAAATCATTTGAAAAAAAGGTGTCACGTGATTGCCGTAAAACCTTGTAAAAATTTTATAATCAGCGTAGGTATTATAAAAATTATCCAAAGACATGTAAAATAGAGGAGAAAAATAGCGAATGGACTAATGTATATTTAAAAATGTATACATATTAATATTAAATAAATATTAAGTAGATATTCAACACGTCCTGTCTTATATTGGTCTGTTCCACGTCGTGCGAATGTTGGGTAAGTACGTCATTGATATCAATTGTTGTTATCGAATTGGTCAGATTTTATTATTGGACAATAATTTTATTACAAAATATAGTGAAGATAGTATCTATACTTAATATTACTCCTAAAATATGTCAATTGTATTTACAAATTATGTCTACGAACAGTAAAATTAGCTATTCGACATCTGTACGTTTTTCATGGTGACGCGTTATTCCTTGGCTCATTTAATTAACTTTCATTCGTGTCACAGGTATAAAAGTAATATCAGTATCAAACTAATACCATGAAGAAATAATAACTAATTCATTTATACAATTATTATAATTTATGGATGTGCTATAAGTGAGTTGATAGTTTAGTGAGCCATCAGGATGCACGTCAAAATTCGAGAGATAAGGTACTCACTTTCAATCTGTACAAGCTTGCTATTTAAAAATATAATTAAAGCTACATTCGTCGCTGGTACTAAAATCTTCCTTATTTTAAGTTTAGTTCAGTATTTCATATTTTTGTATCTAAGCGCTCGTGCTGCCATAAATCATGATACATCATAAACAATAAGGTTTGGTCCAAAATTGTTAAAAAAAAAAAAATGGAGAATGAAAAAATATACAATTTGCCAATTACCCTTCTTGTCGCTTCGAGATGATTAAAAAAAAGTATTACTAAAATTGCATTGATATGCTGTTTCAATTTTCTGGCTACTCACGCAAACAGGTCTGTCAGAGCATCAAAGAATTTGCCTTGTTCTTTGATTTTCAGTCTTATAACTGCAAGCAAGTATTAAGTTCAATTTCTGTATCAAAAATCATTAACCCATTAATTATCAACTTACTAGTAGCATCGAAGTAATCAGGATCGATAAAAGAATTTGTATTCCTGGCAGCTTGTTCGAACGCTCGTCCAAAAAGACTGGAAAAAGATATAAGCTTGTTATAAACGATTTTTAAAATAATAATCCAAGTTTTTCAAAAATTACTACCTCCTAGGCTGATCCTCGGAAATTGGAGGGATCCCCACAAGAAGACACGAATCTTCGTCAGAATTTATTGAAGCACAGGCGATCAGAGGCCAGCCTCGTGCACGTCTGCTCTTCGTAGATTCGACATATGCTCTCAATGTAAATTGTGCAAATAAAATGAGTGAGTGCGGATGCGTAAATAAGTGCCCATTTGGATCACTTTCTGAGAGGACCACATAGAGAAAAGATCCTGTATTTTTTATCTTTTTCATCTCCAGAACCGTGTGACCTGTTCGAAAAATATTCTCAAGCATATGCTTGGCTGTATCTATACCGTGCTCTAAGGAATCCTTCTTTAGCCTGGATAAACAGTCTAAAGCGTCAAGAAAGCAGCGTTGAGGTAATCGTTCTTTTGTCTAAAAGAAAATATCATTTGTTAATTAAGAATACTCGTATTGTATCAATTTTAGAGCCATTTGGTATGTATACTAACCGAAGATTCTAATAATGCCAACATAGCATAAACTACATCTGAAGCACAGTACTTAAATCTGTATCCATATTGTAACATGAAACTGCCGCCTACAATACTGTCTAAATTGTATTTGCTAGCTAATTTCTCAAGCATTTGTTTGAATTCCTGTCTTAGATTTAGATCCATTGTGCAAAATTTTTGCCGTGATTGGGCCAGCGGCAAACCCATTTCAGCTAGAAGTTCTTTTATACGTTTTTCACCTTTTGCAGACCATAATCGCAAAGAAACAGCAGTGACTATGGAATGTTTTAGACTGGCTTCGACGGTCCAGTGACGGTAAAGGGGTAATTGTAGACTGTAATACTGATAAGGAAATAACTGTACCGAAACAGCGACTACTCTCTTAGAACGATGTATAAAGTTATGGCAAAGGATACTCTTTCTCATAAATAACTTTCACAGTAGATTGTTGAGATTGATTTTCATCAGTTACATGTCTATGACTCAACCGAGAAACGTGAGCCTGTAGACTACCAGCTTCTAAAACGCTTGCACTTGTTTCTACTTTACCCAATATGGCTTGTTCAGTTGCTCCTACTATACCACACCAGACCATGTCCAGTGAGTCCTTTGACATTTTCCAAGCCAATTCGAATATTAACACTGCACTCTGTCAAATAGCATTATTGAGGAGGAATTTAATACAATGCAATGTTCTTAAAAGCTTTAGCAGAATGTGACATGAAATAACTCGTACCGATTTACCATAATAACTATACTGTGTGTATTGAAAAAGAATATCGCTTCTATTTTTAGACCACTCTACTCGTTGTCTCCTTCTGATTATATCTTCCTCATTTAATCTTCGCCTTTTGACTCTTCTATCTTCACCTTCACCTTCTGCTTCTGAATCATCTCCATCATCAGGTTCCTCTTCGTCCGACTACAAATGTAGATATATTAAGCAATAGAAATAATAACAGGAATACATGATACATTAAAAATTCTTACTGAATCATCTCTAAATACATCATTATACTCTGGAATATCTTCTTCAGCATCTGGTTTACCTAAAATTCTTACTTGATCCTCAGAATATATATTACATAAATCGTAGGGTCTGTGACTATCAGCAATAAAAAATATAATATCCTCAGAAGGCTGCAGAAGTTCTACTATGTCCAATGTACCACCACAATTTATCATAATCACATAGCTCACCTAATAAAATATCATTATTACTTTTACAAATACAATAGCAAAATTCAACAATATAATGAAAACTAGCATCACCTCTTCACAGTTTTCTGTATATGCTTGCACTAAATCCTGAACACCCTGAACTGGTACGAGAGTGTAAATCATGTTATCATTTTTGAAAAGGTACTGCAGAATTTTACAGGCACAAATAGCATCCACATCAAAATTGACCAGCAGCAATGTTCTCTGAAAGGAAAAATGATCAAACCATATAATTAATATTATTGATTATTACAAACAAATTTGTATACGAAAAAAACTGATATTTTTTGTAACGATTGTATTCGCACTGTTAAGTAATTACTGCATAATTGGGTCACGCATTTCAAAACAATTGCGTGCATTATCATACCATCCCCTACTTAACCTAATTATATTTAATGTAAAGAACTTAGCACAGGTGCTCTTAATGCATTAATAAATTATTAAACTTACATGTCCAAGTATTACGTTGTAAAAGTCATTGGGCAAGTTCTGGATGAACATTGTGCACGGATTTACGACATGAAAGCAATTTCTTTAATCGTTACACCGTATTTTCTTGTGCCGCGAAAAACTAACAAACTGAAAGCAGCGCGCTCTGGGATAAAGCAATGATACAAGAAAATCATCCAAGAAGAAGTATTAGTAAAGAAAGTCCTACTCGCCTCTGGAAAGTCAGCCATATTCAACTTTGCTGGTAAGTATGGTAATTAATGGTAATGATAAACGCAGAGATAAATGCAGTGAGTAGTGTAACCGAGTATTACCGTCCACTTATTGGTCGATAACTTTCGCCTAATCGTCAATCAAGAAACTCGGTAGTCTCGCGGCAAGTAATTATGTAACTTAAAAATCTTGAATGCTCTGTCATATGCTATTAGAAAATGAATTTCATAAAAATAGACTATTTTTTAAATTGTGATTAAGAAATTAGTTTAGCGCATGAAAGTGAGACCTCCAAGAGGAGGGTTATCGATTTTTGCTCTCGATTCTGGCGAAAACATAATCACTATGTATGTTTACATTACTACATCCAAAGCTGCAGGACAGAAAGTAAAAAGTTAAAAAGTTTATTACAGCATATGTTCAATTATGAAGGGGCTGTGTACCTCCCTTCTGAAATGGGCGGAAAGAAAGCAGGGATGCACCCCTTCTACTCCTTTTAATTTTATTTTTATTCTATTCCTTCATTTAAAGCACAAAATGTATAGAGAATTTTTAATATCAATTAATACGTGTCTCATTTTCAAACTGTATGGAAAAATTTCGTACTAGCCGATATGCTAAATGATTTTCTACATATATTTAAATTTTCTTTCTTGTGTACTTCCTTCGGGAAATAGATTCTTTAGAATATTGTGTCCTTTCTCAACCTGAGACATCTTGTGCTTGTGGTTGTTCTTGTGTCTTCTCGGAACTACGACGAACCAATATATCCGTGTAGAATAGATTGAAATCCAACCTGGTGAAAGAAAATTGTTTTAACAGTATTGAAGAAAAGACACATGAAATCCATTCTTTTAACGTATTTTTTGTAAAACCTTTAAACTCGGACTCACCTTGATAGAACATTTAGCAGTTTCTCATTGGCATTATCGCAGCCCAAATGGCAAATTCTATCAAGTAACTTTATTAACGTTTCAGTGAAGCGGCTATCCAAGGAAGTGATTGTCTCTTCAAAACTTACTTCTTCTGATGCTTTTTGATGGTCCTATTTAACAAATGGCAAAAAAATTACGCTTTTAATCAAATTATAAAACAGATGGAAAGGGAGAGAAGAAAAGAGAGTGGCATGATGACATGAAACATCTAAGAAGAACAATATCGGATTCTCCAATTATGAAGAGAACTTTGCTAAAAACATTCTCATTCTAAGAGCCATTTGAACCGCGTCGTCGCGGTAATTTCAACGCTAAATGAAGAAATTCCATCCATGCATTCTATCTGAATTATTTGAAGGCACAATAAAATTAAATGTTTTTATGGATAAAATAAAAAATATAAAATAAATATTCACTACGATGCAAAATGTCAATGCAAGCCTAATACACACGGGACTCACATTAATATTTCTATGATATGTATTTATTACTAAAAATGGATGCATCTAATAATGAAAGAGAATTATTATAATTATAATAGCAAGATTACTTTCTTAAACAGAAATTCAACAGATTTTCTCAAAATGCAATGAGACTTGGCGAAAGCAGGTCTGATATACATCGAAGGATTCCGAAGAGTATCACGATATTATGACTAATTGTAAGTTGAAACTTAAACAATTTTTCGATTCTGCAAAACGGTATATTGTGTAACACAAATAATTAGTTGGAAATTCCTTCGATGTTTTATACTATGAAAATTCAAGAATGAACATGGAGAAACTTAGATTTTTCGTTAATTTTTGTCTTTTCTTCGTAACGAGTACCTCAGGCTCATAGACATCATCCTGCCCGTAGTTGATCATGGACGTCAATTCGGCGTCAATGTAGTAGCGGCTCATACGCTTAACAATTATCAAACTGGTTAATTAAAAGGGAATTGGTCCTTTCTTACGGGGCAATCTTCAGCGACTATGGATTTAGCATTAGATGTTTTTCGTTTTTCGAGGGATGCCTATCTACCCGTTAGTGACATACACAACAGTTAGAATAGTTAAAAATTATTCATAATAAACAGAGTACCATAAAGTATAAATGTTCAGCTGTTAACGAACTTCTCTACTGTCTGTAGAACCATGGAAGTCTCTATAATTTCTATACAGTTTTGAAAAGAGAGAATCTCAATTTAAGAATCATGACACATCTAATTAACTCGGCTGGAAGACTTTCCCTAATCTTTTATCAATTTGACACGAAAAAATCAATAGAATCCATGAAATTTTACCTGCATAAAATCGCAAAACTCCACACAGACACTGCACAAATCCGTGATGCATCCGAGAAGGTCAGGTTCCGTAAGCATGCACTCCTTCAGGCAACTATCTTGCAAATCCTGATGAACACTCAAAACATCATCTACGTTGCTCACCTGGATTAAAAAAAAATTAATAATGAAGAATAATAATTATTTGCAGTCAATCTTGCAAAATAACCTTGCTCATCTTATTGATGAATGTCAGCCAATTTGGCTCGATTACTTCAACCATCATGTAATATTCTAAGTGTTGAACGCAATCTAACATTCTCTGCCTCAGCGAAAACGCCTGCCTATAGGCCATGGCAGCTTCGTGTGTGAAGGTTTTGGCGATTTTATTACTAATCCAAACCCTGCGATAAAATCAGATATTTAGTTTAATGATAACAATAAGAATAGTCTACGTAATTCTTGGCGTAATATTTACCGGCATAAAAGTCTTTCTATGTGTTTACAATAAAAAAGATGACGAAAGAGCATTTGATAACAAGCAATGGCTTTCCGGTTTATTATTAAGGAAACGGGCCATTTCACGTCATAATTAAACACAAACGCTTCTAATCCAGTCAGAGTTTTATCAGCTTGAAGACAATATTCTGCAGAATCGTAAAGAATGAAATTTAAAATGCTAATTGGAACTGTAAATTAACGTATTTGATACGAACCACCCTCCTCGCGTGTTTGTATCGACAGAATACGAAACATTTGGAATTGTAAATCGTATGGTAACAACTCGGGCTTCAGATCATCTTTGTAAGGATCAGAATCAGCTGTCGATAGTCTCATGGCAACTTCCAACAATGATGCTAGCCGATGGATTACGATGTCATACATACTCTTAGTGAGTTCTGCCTCGCATAAATTCATGAATTGTACCTAAATGACATAAACATGTTACACAGATGATCAGAATGTTGGTGCAATTTTATATGAAATACTCACTACGAAATCTCCTTGCGCAAGCAAGAAATAATTTTTAACACTGCGCAGTCTACCCATTAAATCATTCTCGTGTATCAAAACTTCGAGGAGAGTTCTCGCTGCCTCGGAGTACGCTCGATCAATGGCCGCAATATATTTTTGTCCGCGATGTTGATACACTAAGGGTTCTTGCTTTCCCCATTGAACAGTTTTGCCTAATCGCAAAATAAGACAAAAGAATTTACATTGAAATAACCGAAATTATAAAATAGCCGATACTGTTATATTTACCGCATTGACGAATTACGTTGAAATATTTGCCAGTTCGTAAAATTGTTTGTGCATGCTCACTAAGAAATACAGGAATTCTTTCATGCCTCATTGTATACCTCTTTTCCCAGTAATCAGCAGAATAATCCATGGGCAGTTCCTCTCGTTGAATCAACTCATTATCCTCGACCAAAAACTGCGTTAAATAAGTATAATTTTAAAAAATACATCAACAATAAGAAATAATTACTAAGGAAATTTTTAGTGAAAATAATTTAATGAATATCTTACCTCCTGATAAGGATCACATATAACACCTTTGTAAACCCATTTTTCTAAAGTTTGCATATAAGGAATACTTGCAGCGCGAATAAGAAACAGGCAAAGTTCTTTAGACTTTGCTTCGCCACTCATGTTATTCACTTGTTCATGAAGAAGGCTCAAAACTTTACCACCTCTAGCGTTTGCCTATACATGAAAATAAAACAAACATTTTCATTGGTGTCATTATGACTTTACACTGCATGTTGATATTTCAGATAGTCCATACAAACCTTACAAATTGTTGCAGTGATTTGTGCAAGTATTGACATTGTAGCTAATGTAGGTTGAATATAAAACCAAAGCTTTTGCAAGTTTAATTTACCACGTATATGTTCCATTTCTAACTGAACGACAAACAGCTGAAAAAATAACATATTATGTACTCGACATTGTCCTTTACGGAGTAGAGTTTAAGTTTGTGATAATGTTATTTGTATTTACAAACCAGGTAATCTTTTAATAAACAACTGAGGGCTCCACGCAAAGCGTGAATGACTTGACCATCATCGGTCAACACCTTTTCTTCAACAAAACGGACGGTCATTGAATAATGTGAGGCTAAAGGCAAAATTTGTTGGGCAAGTTGTTTGTATGATGTACCTAAATAAAAAATATATTTAGAGTACTCTTCAATCACATTTTTATTAGAATTTTAGGTATCAAAGTAAATGCTCGTACCCACATCTGGAGCAATTTGAAATGTCTTGATATCATAAGGACCTGTTAGTGGCTCAGAAATAATATAGGATCCATCCATTCCTTTCAAACAGTATAAAATGTCCCAAAGCAATATGGTTTCCTGAGACATTATAGGTACCACTTCTAAAATTGGTAGGTTATTTAGTTTATTCAGTTGACTATATCATGCGTTTCAGTATCCAAGAAACACTTACTTTGTAGTAATGCTATGTTAGTATCAGACTGAAAATCCCAGGATATCCGTGGCCTTTCAGCGATCCAATTGTGCTTGTTGGGTGCAACGTCATTCAGTTTGCTGAGAGCTCCAGTGTGCTTGATAAGCTTACGTTCCCCTTCAACAGCTGCTTTAATCACATTCTTCCGTATCTGGAAAATTATGGATTAATCAATTTGAAGATTGAGAAAAGTAGATTAATAAAAATATTTTGTTGCATATTACTTGTGGCAAATCTTCCTTTGTTATTGTTGAACTTTTTGACGTATTTGAATAGCCAGCAAGCAAAACATTTCGAGCTAAATAATCCTTTAGCACTTTATCTTCAGATACGAGATCTAGAAGCTTAATAAAAGGACCAAGTAAATCCACCCTAAAATAAATAAATATGTAGCACATAACTAAGCAGAATATATAGTATTAATGAAATATCACACTTTTTAGATTTGAGGTCTTCATATTTCTGAAGGAAGAGATCCGGATTTGGTGAATTCTTTGCAAGACGTAAGATGCAACTTTGTGATGGAACATCATTAATACCTATAGAATTTACAGCAATGCCTTTCAATAATTTATCAGCAAGCTTTACTGGTGACGCATCAGATCTAGTAATTAAACAAGATATTATTATTCACAAATTATATTTATTAAATGCATCAAACAAGAAGTATTTTATCTACCCCAAAAGTCCAGTGAGCTCGTCGATCAAACGATGTAACTTAAATTCACTCATCATGAAATCTTATTAAAATTTTAATTTAATATTATTTAGCATTTAAATTGTATTAATAAGATATATTAAAGTGTTAATATTGTGTTTCAAATTACTAAGCAAATTAGGGTTATTGTAATAGATGGCATTAAATCAGAACTTAAAAATCTTTTTAACTATACATGAAGCATACAAATATTCTTTACTCTGTATTTATTTATATAATTATTCCAATTGCATTTTTTGAATCTCAAAACAAATTATTTTGTGCATCAATGCATATCAAAGCCTTTGTCGCCATTTTAAGATAATCATAGGTTCACTTTGACTCTGTTAAGGCTTATTTACAAATTGCATTCAATTATTGTCATATTATAACAAACGTAATTATAAATTGCGTTGTGATAACTGCAACAGAACGAAGTAGTTGTAAATAAATACCGACAAGCAAAATCTATATTTCCTCATTAAATCATTCTTATGATGTACTTTTGAATAATGTAATACTGATAATATATTTTTGTATTAACAGTGACAAAAGAACAAATTGGAATAATTGATGTTGTATATGTATATATAGTTTACGTAATAATTAATTTAAATGAATAACGAATAATATTTAAATGTAAAAGAGACGTTTGTGGTAGATGACGCCACACTCGTCGATTGTTACCAAAGTAAAAGAAATCTATTGCGATTCGGAGGACAATAATTCCTTTTTCCACAGAAAATTATATCGTACGTGTAAAAGTATTTCAACTATTCTAGTTACCCGTAAGTCATTCAATAAACTGTAATACATAATTAACAATCTTATGTGCAGTTATACCTAAGAGAACGCCCTGCAGAAATTTGATTATTGCTCTCATTGTTCTATAAATAATGGCGCCAGCTCATGTCAATTTTTATTTATTATTTTATTTATATATAATTACTAAAAAATGTTAAAATTATATTAACTGTATGTACGTCAATCACAATTCCTTTAAACTCTTTAAATTTTATGTTATTGCACAACTTATGATATCAATCAAATATACAAAATATTTTGTAAAATTTTAAGTTAATATTATAATTTTGTTTCAGAATTATGGATGGAAGCCAACAATTTAATCTACGATGGAATAATCACACGAATAATATTCTTCAGGTAAGAGCAATACTAATTAGACTAACTAGAAGTCAGATTAATGAATTAATAATTTTGTTAGCAATGAATTTACTATTCATTATGATATATATTTTTAAGATATTTATTGCATGGTGGAATCATTTTTTCTGCAGGTCTTTTTGGAGCATCTCTCGACAGAATCATTAGTTGACGTAACATTGTCATGTCAGGGACAATTCATAAAAGCTCATAGGATGATATTATCAGCCTGTAGCCCTTATTTTCAGGTAAATAAAAAATATAATAATTTCATTTGGATTGCAATGATCATACATGTTTAAATATGAATACTTTAGGAATTATTTAAACATCATACTACAAAGCATCCTGTAATCATCTTGAATGGGATAAAGTATCAAGATCTCCAAATGATGATAAGATTTATGTATCACGGAGAAATTCGCGTTCAGGAAGCACAACTGGAGGATCTTCTTGCAGCTGCAGAGACACTACAGGTTTTTTTTCTATTTTGTTTGGTACATAAAATATTTTCAATTTGAAAATTTTAAAAATAATTTCATTTTAAGGTAAAAGGTCTCAGTAATGTACGAAATAAATATGAAAAGGGAGAGATTCAATCAAATCCCATTGATAAAACTTTAACAAGTTGCAACCCCATGGAAAAAGAAACCACTGGTAATATCCTAACAAACAGTACTATGGGGGTTGCAGAAGAAGCTTTTGCAAAAGTTTGTAAAAGGAAGAATATGGCTCAAGATTCAACTAGAATTCGGAATAAACGAAAAATGTCTCATACCGTTGTACGTGACAATCGTAATCACGAAATATTTCCCAATTTTCCTTTAATTATCAATGTGGTTGTTTCTGCTTTACAATTAGAACGAATTGGCTAAGGAAACAGTCTTTGCAAGTAATGGCACAGTGTGTCTGGAGCCTGAGAGTAATTCCGGAATATGTGGTATAAAACCTGAATGGTCTCCATTGGTATTGTATTGCACAACCATACTTCATAAATCCTTGTCGTTTTCATCCTTATTTTCCTTAGTTGTCGATAATATTATTGCTTATTTTAGATTAAGATCGAACCTCCTAGCACTCAGACAAGCGATAAAAATCAAGAGAAGCAAAATCAGATTTCAGGCGAGGTAATTTGCAACTTTTAATCAGAAATAACATCAATATTAAGACACAACTCAATTCTAGTTAAAACCAATGCGATTAAGAGGAAAATCAAAGAGTGGACAGAAGGCGATTATAGTACCAGAAAAAATGCAAATGCCACGTAAAATACCACGACCCCCAAATGCTTTCATGTTGTTTGCCAATGAGTGGAGGCGAAAATTAGCTTTTGAATATCCAAGTAATAAAACTACTGTGTCAAATATTTCCGTTAAACAACTCTTCATATCCCTTCTAATAATTCGTTGATTCTTGAACAGATGAGAGCAACACGGAAATTTCTGTTCGCCTGGGAATAATGTGGAAGGGACTGAATATCCAAGCAAAGGAATCATACTATGCACTAGCTAAAAAAGTTGATGAAGAGCATAAGCGAAAATATCCTGGATATTATTACAGTCCAAAGGAAGCTAGATTGAGGAAAAATCTTAAACAGGATTTAATGCTAGCCAGATGTTTGCCAACAACTGTAAGGCTAATTAAAAGAAATCTTACAAAGTATAAGAGAATAATTTATATAAATTATGACAATAATACTTAATCTATGCTTACATACTTTTCAGGATGCAGATGCTCTACGTCTTGTAAAGGTTTTGATGAACGTAGATGAGAGACAAACGGGCATAGTTCGTGTTTCTCCTGGTGAAGAAGAAATGAAAGAAGATATTGACGATCCTTCAGCAACCGTAACAAATATTTCAATGAAAAATGAAGACATAGAAACCAAGTCCGTGACATCAATTATTACTTAGATCTTTGAAGAACCAGCAAAACTACTGAGGGGAGAGTGATATTTCCGTTATATTTTTGACAAAAAGACAAGACAATGAAAGACTGAACTATGAAATGAAGAAATCAGTCTTTTACAGAGCAAATTAAACAATATTTTGTTGCAAAAATCGCAGATGAAAGCAAACAAATTTTCTGTAGATCGTGAATAATGAAATTCAGCATTATGAAAAGGCTGAAAAGTATAATGATGACTAGAGAAAAAAAATACAGAATAAAAATATAATCAATACATTGTTAATCATTAAGTTGTAAGCTGTTGCTTTATATTTGTAAGATAGTATTAATTTCTTTGTTTCCTCTTTTGTATTTATGCTTCGCCAATTTTATCTACCAATTGCTATGGTAATAAAAAATTATTATAAATCTTTGTGAAATGCCTAATAATTCATTACGCCAGTGTTCTGTGCTGAATCCGGAAGTGCAGAACATCTGCAAATATTATCATATAGCTGACATGCGACACCTAATTTCATCTATAATTTTCAACTACTCAATTTATATGAAATATTGAATACAGACATGAGCATTTACGCACACAAAATCTTTTTTTCGCGTTAGCAGTTGCGTAAACAGATCCTCATACTTTTTGCGATAACACTAAATAAAACATATAAACATGGGAATTGTTGTAAGAAATGGGAAAAACTTCTGGAGACCAATGTGAAAACTAATTAATCGGACCAGTGGCTGAGGGATATAATAACACAACAATTTCATGTATTTTTATGTATATGTATTATTACAACAAATATTCGAAACGTACAGTAATATACAGACAATGAGATTAAAAAGAGCGGAAAAAGTTCTGCTGTGAATCATATCAACATATATACATATTTTTAGTTCATCAATGATGCAAAATTTAATTAAATAAATTATCGTTTCACGTGTTTATTTCTTAGTAAACAGAATCGCATAATAATTCGTACTTCAGTAACATAATCGTTTCATTTTGCATAATTATTTTTTACATGAGAATCAAACAATTATTAGAAATGACGAGTGAATAATTATTACTTGCTGTGCATTCTTTCGGCTCTTTCTCTTTCTATCCAAGAAAACAATGACATCTCCAATTATCCCTTTATGTTTTTACTCTTATACCATTGACGTTTTACAATCTGATCACTTATGAATAGTCCACTCTTAATATACATAAATTGTAACATTGGATATGTCTGATATAAAGCCAATCAATTTTTGGCAGTTATTGCCTCTAGGAATACTGTTATTGTTTATATCACTGAGCACAATTACATGTGTGATGTTAACAGTTAATGCAAATGTAACGCAAACATATACCGAAACAAGATACGAAATATTTACGCTCAAAATGCTTTCAGTATACGACCAGAAAATATTATGAATGAAAATGAACGAATTTGTTAATCAGTGTTAATAGATGAACGCTAAAATGTAACAATACCGAAAGAACTTGTCGAAGCCTTTTTCCTTTAATTTCAGTTTCCTGCTTAATATTGTTCATCATTCACATAATCGTTTTCGCTGATCTTCACCTTGCAGATGTAAAGGAAAATTTAAAAAATCTTTTAAACTCAATTTTATGAGATTCTTGAGCCACGGTACTCAATTTTTGAGCTACATTGAGAATTTTTGAGATTACCGTCTAATACTGCAAATATATTCTAATTGTAAGTACATACTAAGTACATACTAAGAACATATTCAATATATTCTATACTACTATCGCCAAAATACTGTATTGAAAGATCTTGAACGTAGCCATCACATATAAACGATCTATTAAACTTCGTTTGTTATTGCGAATGTATTGTAAACGATGACTAGCACCATGAAGCTTTTCCTTTAAAACCATTCTTAATTAATGACAAAGTGTGTTAAGTAAAGAAATAATTTATATTAATAATTATCTTTAAAAACTCGCGGGTGATTGCTTAGTTTAAGAATAAAAACTCATCCAAGTCTCTTGATACTTCTTGTCACAGTCGATTTTCATGCTCTCCGTATTTTAACAATTAATTATCAAGTATCTTCGGTGAATAAGCAAACCACTAATCTAAAGGAGATTCCTAAGAAAGATTCGATGAGTGATTTCTAAACAGAAATGATATGAGCGAGAATCTATATCATCTCTTTTTCCATTGCTTTCTTTAAGTCAGACCAACAAGCTTCCTTCAATGATATGCCTAGATTAATTACAATTATATTATGCTTCATGATTTTAGATATGCCTTGGTTAACCACTAGAAGCCATAAAGCCAATTTTCGGCGCTATGTGGATCTCATATTTTTTAATAATATCGCTTCAGCATATGTATTAAAGCTGCGAATCAAAAACAGTTGAACTCGTTAAAAAATCAGACCGTCCTCTAAAGGATAATTAGAATTAAATTATCCTTCATGACTTCAATTATGCCTTGGTTTAATTAGAATTATATTATTATTTCATTATTTTCAAAAATCGCTTTGCCTAATCGAATAATACTTCAGCGACTACTGTTTTCTTTCTTCCGTAATTTCAATTCTATATACCCCTGTATTCCTCTTTTGCTACAAGTCTTATGTTAATGCATTATTAATTTCTACTTATTATTGAAAATTTTACACTCCTCTTTTTGGTCTGCCTTGGGGCGAAGAAATACTTTCAATAATAAATAATTTTACATCGCTATTATTTTTGGTTAAGAGATCTCCCAGGCTTTCAGTTGAGCGTTTCTTGAGAAATATAGAATTTCAATCGCGATCTACTTACTCTCCTTCATGGTTATTCGTGCAAAATTCAAGACAAAATGAAATTATTTAAATTTTAGTTTATGATAACTAATCAGCTTTGTTAGCGTTTGAAAGATTAATAACGCCTTCAATTTGCCTATAAATAAAAATCTGGCTTGGCCTATTTTTTTTTTGACAGACCGAAAACAATGAAGTCTCTAGCAAGCCACATGTGACTTCTGCATATATCTTTTTTTTTACAAACCACTGAAATATAATTCATTTTCCTATTTAGAATAAGTATATTATCATGATTTTATGGGAAACCACGTGTGGTTTGCTTAAGAATGCATTGTTTGCGAACATTAAAAAAAATACATTGAACTCGTGGACCGATTATAGATGATAATATCAGATTAGTATCGGTATTAATTATCTAAATATTATTATCCCTAATTGCTTAGCATTACGGGTATTAGTCAAGCACTGAAACATTTCTTCAGAGAAACCATCCATCAGATGCTTTTACAAATCATCTGCGAAATTCTATCTAATGTTGTCAGCATAGTGAGCATAAAAGAATTATTATAAAATTGTTTAAATAACATTTTGGACTCTTCTGTCGATGATAGCGTGTTCACATGAACCTCTCGTAAAAAGAATGGACGGGCAGCAATTAATAAAATTGAAATGTACTAATATCACGAAAATACAGAAAATTTCCGAACATAGGTCGAAACAATTAGCGAGATAATAATAACTTGACTCCCTCTTTAGTTAATAAATTATAAGATCTTCGATAGACTGTGATTCTCTTGAAGGATTCAATAAATGACTCATGACAGGATCATACTGTAACAGGAGGTCGATAATCCTTGTTGACAACATAGAATTTATGTTTTTTACCGAAAAGGCCCCAAATGACAGCGATGTTCTCGATAATCAGATTAATTGGTATAGTCGACACAGCGCCGCAAATGCAAAGGACGAATCGCAGGAACCCAACACGATAAAGTGAGAAGGATTTGACAACGCCAAATACGTACATGTAAATGTTGACGGCTCCAATGAAGGCACAAAGAAAATCCACAAGAGGCGGACATGGTATGGGACAGAGACCCGCGAGAATGACATTAGACGTTGAGAGTGGCAATGTAACCCATGAATAGCATGAGATGCCAAGTAGTAATTTCTTCTTAAGTGGAATAGCCTTACTGTGCACCACCAATAGAATTCCTTGAAGCCATCTCTTGCGTTGCTGCATGAAATCCCAGAGAGTAAATGGCGACTTCTCCCACATTTCACCGTCGACGAAATTAAACGTGTAGCCTTCCGAGAAAGCCTTCATTGCAAAGAAGCAATCCTCGGCAACTGATCCATCTGGGCCGTTATTAAAGGAGACTTGCCTCTCGGCTCCCATCTGCAAATCATTCGAGTATCTTTAGTTAGATTATTTCGAATTTTATATCAATGAGCGATATCGCTGATCCGCATGGTGATAACGATAATGATGAATGGACAACTCTATTTTCTCGCAATCTCTACTATTAGATGTACATTTAACTCTAGATTATCGAGAACTGAAATACCGATATACAAACAAAATCTTGAACCTAAGCACACAGAAATGTAATCTACTACAAACACAATTATGGACACTGTTACCTAGGAAAATACCAGCGTGTATACTTTCTAATCTTTGACACCTGAGATTTACTATTGAAAGATAAATATAGCCACCAGGTGCCAGGAGAATGGAATAGTATTGATAGTATTTGACAAATATATACCTGCGTGACGACGTATGATCCCTTCATACTAAACAACGGCTTGTGGAACAGTGTGAATTGCAATCTTAGCTTTCCCATGTCGTCGGCTACTCTGAAGGAATCGGCAAGTGTTGTCATCCAATTAATAATTTCTTCATTAGCGTATGTTATAAGTCCCTGTCCAAATTGATGTTTCCCATCTAATACAAAATTTAAAATGCCACGGATGGAATTCTCAGTGAGAATCGTTTCTTCGTCGAGGTGAACTATCCAGTCATGATCGGCCAATTCATTTACGGTACTCTCCAGACAGTACTGAAGAGCCCTGGCCTTAAAAAGTGCACCAGAGCTCGTTTTGTATGTAGGTGGTACCACCAACTCGCGTATTCTTCTGTGATTGACCAGTCCAATTGGTTTATCGCTTATTACTTCTATCTGGAAATTCTCTAAACCAGCTTCCACACATTTGTTCAAGTTTCTAGCAACGTTCGTGCGCACCAATTGCGGATAATCTCCGCGAGTGACGATCCTTATGCATATAAACGGAGCAAGCAATGGTGAGCCTTTAAGTATGACTTTGTCTGGGAATGCATTGTAAATTGTAAGACCCACAAAGTTAAAGAGCACTTGTGGGAATGACAAAAAGGCAAGTATACGTAGAAGATAGAGTGTGAAAGCACCTACAAAGCCATATCTTGCCCAGGGGTCAAAGGTTCTTGATTGTGCTGTACCCCAACAAATACCTCCAGAAACTAGCTCAAAGACTAGAATAACTGTTGCCAGAAGACAACAGTGCAGCACATGTTTTGTTGTATTAGTCAACATATTGCTGAAAAAGGAGAAATTATATTAATAATAGAATATTCCATCAGTACTAGTAATTTTTTGCTAATAAGCTACTTTGTAATAAGATTATTAGAATTTTGAGATTATGGTGTTTATAAGCAAATATGTAAGCAATAGTGGATAATTAAGAAATTACAATTGTATGCATTTAAGAATATGGATAACATGACCATGACTGCTATTGATATCTTCAATATAGTTATTTCTTGTGCATTACATATAATATGTAATTTTTATGAAAATGGACATTTATTTGCAAGATAAGATAAATATTCGTAACTACTTTTTAACTCATGACTGTCTTTCTACCTGAAGCAATAGTTATGTTTCATTATGTTATGTTTTTGGCACTAACCAGGAACTACAAAATTATCTTATACTAACTACAAAATTATGTTAATAAATATTACTTTATGCAACATTACTTTATATGAATATATAACTAAATATCATTATTCAAAGTGCATTATATTGTTACTTGAACCAATAATATTATGATGAAGACTATTTAACATTGCAATAAACGAAAATTATAGAAAAATAGTAAATTTCATTATGTAATAAAATAATTTTAATAAAATTCCAAACATTCTACCCAGACAGATAAAACTTCAGAATCTCTTTCCAGGAAAACTAATTTCCAAAAATGTCGAAGAAATCTCGTGGATAATCACATAGGATAAATCCTTTAAAAATTACATCGCTTAAAATGGTATTGAGATTTACCTTTATTCAACGTACTGATTTCGTAATGATATGGTTGGGTGGCTTCTTCGTCCCATATCACAATTTTCCTTAGAGGCTTAAGAACTTGGCATTTCCGTAAAACGTATCCTTCACACGATGTTTTTCTTGGCCCTTTTACGGGGAGCTGAAGAAGAACCACCTCAAAGATTCTTCTTTTTTTTCGCTCGACGAAGAAGCCACCGTCTTACGCGATACACCCTGCTGCACCTATGAAAAAAATTGTCGCTGCAGTGACGCGCATTGCACCTCCATTTTCTTTGCGCATCTCTTTTCGTTACTATACGTTGCTAACAGTCTTTTTACCGACTGATAGTTTGATCTTCTTTCTTTTCTCATTTATCAAATTCACATCGAAGTTATCGGATCGGATTATTCTTTCAATTTTAGTTTAATTATTTCGGAAGTGGTGTCAAAGTAATTGCTAAACTGGCAAAATGTGTTCTGTTCTCTTTGAAAGAGAATCCCTGAGAAAATCATATTAAAGATTCCTACTGCCATTTAACTCACATGATAAATAAGAGATCTGAGGTCTTGCCTATAATCTGATAGGTGGATAGATTAGAGACTGAGATTCTCATAAGAAAAACACTCTATAGCATTTATTACAAAAAAATATGAAATACATGGTGTTACTCCTGTTGAACGTATTTTGTAGTAAACATTGTGATATCGTGTAAAGGCCAAACTTTACAAACAGCACGGCCTCTTACAAGTCCCTGGGGAACGGGTCCATATATTCGAGAGTCTGCAGAATTACTATTGTTATCACCTTCGAGCCAAATGTGTCCTATTGGAACCTAATATTAATAAAGAGATATTACAATCTAGTAATACTTTTTCATTTTTTATATATGTAATAAAATCATACTGTATATGTAGTGTAACCATGACGAACTTTATCCCCAGGAAGTCCTGTAATCCGTTTACAAATATGCTGCTGTGGATTCGATGGACATTTCGCAATAATTATGTCACCCTTTGACATTCGTTGCAAGCGTGGTGATATATGTTCCGTGAATAAAACGTCATTGCTGTATATTGTGGGTTCCATAGATGGACCTGTACACTAAAATATATAAGCAATGAATAACTGCATTTATATCTATCACTATTTATAAACAAAATACATAATACATTGTGAACAATACTGGCTGAATTCTTCTTGAGGTAGCGATTTTGGTACCACGATCATATTCTACTTGGAGTTGGTACTCTATGTTAGGAACTATAACACGACTAACGTATTCCTCTCTAGTATTTCTTTGCTCAATGCGTAACCTAAAAGTCGTACTCTCCACAGTAAATCATGATGTAATCGATAGCGTAAAATGCAAATTAGAAGTAAAAAATTATTACCACAACGAAATCTCCGATGTATTCCAAGGCGCAGTGTGTTACGCATCCGTATTGCAATATAGTACCAAGAGCACCGACTAACTTAAAGGTATATTTGTGAAACATTATGGCTGGTACCACTGAGCATTATCGAATGACAGTATATTTCACTACGTTGATACAACTTTAAAAAGTAGTAAGGATTCCTTTGAAACCATTCCCGTCTAAGCCGAAACGATTTATTTTGGAGCTCGTTAAATTCGGCAAAGAACTTGAGCAAGTGTGAATTGCGTTCTGTGGATAATTTGTCTCGACTGTCGGCATAGTAGGTTGTTTTCTCCTACTACTGACAACCGGCAAATGAAACAACAAAAATACCTACAAGAAACAAAAATAATTATTCTTGTCAACGTTAGTTCTTATCAAAATCGTTCTTGACACTACTGGCGCACTTAGTAAGACTGTCTAGAGTTTTCTTGTCTTCGAACGAGGTAGCTCAGTTAGTTTGTGAGTGGCTATCGAGTGTGAAACTGTTTCTGATGGTTCTTGACAATAGATTATACCAGAATGAATTCCTAAGAATTTTGGTACGCCTTTCGCGATTAAATAAACCATTTAACGGTGCGCGTAACATGCTCTCGAGCTGCACTGAAATAAGAAGAAATTCAAAAGAATCAACGAGTCAATTGGTGAGCTTTCTAGATATTTCATTTTTGCCCCAATATAACAATATCGAAACTCGTGGTCCGTTCCAAGATGTTCACGTTAGAGGCACTTTGTACGCCCTCGTACGTACTTTATCTAAAATGGTCCAAAAGATACTTTTTATACTTTACTTAATGTAAAAACCATCGGATCACTACTAAAACTTTTATTGCACGCTTACCACTATTCAGGGAGCAATATATTTTTCTCCTAATGATTCATTTTCACTGTTCTCTTTCTCCTTGGTATTCCTCGTGAATCACTCACGGATTCTTTCAAGGTAATTTCTCTATCTAAATAGTCTTTATGGCAAAGAAGACTTGTTTCTCTCTTTATCTCAACGTTACTAGCCTTTTTTCAAGGATCATTTTTCTGCTTGTTGAATCGACACCGGCTACTTGTATCCTTGGTCGCGTTCTAATTAATTCACAATGTTTCTAAGCGCGAGATCGTTCTGATTTTTCATGGAATTCTATTAACGATTGCTGTAGGTTAAAATTCCATTGCATTTTTAATCAATTAAATTCGAGGATTCTAAGAAAAATTTGTTAATAAGACAAAACAGATACAGCTATATACCTACTACTAGATTCATGTATCATTCTGAATGAGACTTACGAATGTATATTAATTACGTGACTTAAATTTAAATTCATTTTTCGAACCGGATGTCTAATATTTACCTGGAAAATGGAAACCTAACGTATACCGTTGTTGTCACCTATTAGAGGCAACAATGTACATACACTTTATTGTTAAAAAGTACATATCTTAATGAAATGATCGCTTACTAAGCTCCGATAGACAGATATCATAGAAAGTTTAATATATTTGCCGACTAGTCGCTCCTTCTAGATAACGCGTTAGTATAGAGTTTACTGGTATTACAAAAATGAAAATAGGTCTGGTACTCGATAAATCGAAGTACTGATTAGATTATCATTAGAACATTTTAATCCGTATTGTATACATTCTGTACTCGGATAATCGACAAGACGTTTCTTTGTTTTATCTCATTTTACTTTAATTTATAATATTTTCCTGCAGATAATTCGTTGCCAGGGTCGTATTTGACGTTAGTAATAAGACATTTAGTAAATCAGTTCCTATGGATAACGGGCATTGATCGGCACTTTCGATAATAGCAATTTGTCGATCAAACTGATATCTAATAATATAGGTCACACGAATTCGTTAGATAATTTTAATAAATCAATATATAAGATACTCAAAATAATTTTCTTCTTTCTGTCCTACATTACTATCATTACAAATTAGCCTGTCTGTTGAACCTCATGGTATTAGCTAGATTATCGTACCGATTAACTTTTACTAATCGCGCGAAATTGTTTAACTTATAACTAACGAGATTATTCATTTGAAGAGACTGATTAGGTTTGTCCTAATTTCTCATTGATTAAAATGTTTGCTTATTTTAGATTTAGATAACACACAAAAGGAATTATGGGGCGCTACACAGGAAAAAAATGTCGACTTCTAACGATGCTATGGCTGACATCTTTCTTTTTCCTGGTCGAGTTAATCGTCGGCTATGTGACAAACTCTATGGCTTTAATTGCCGACAGCTTTCATATGTTATCGGACGTTGTGGCACTTATCATCGCCTTCCTCTCTGTCAAGGTTAGTATCAATATTCTCACTATAATAAAAAATATTGTCTTGAGGATCACTTTATACTCATTTTTATTGTGAATGACAGATGTCACCCAAGAAGTGGTCGAAGAATACTTTCGGTTGGGCCAGGGCTGAAGTACTGGGTGCACTCGTCAACGCCGTCTTCCTCGTTGCTCTATGCTTCAGTATCACCGTTGAAGCTTGCAAGAGATTCATCGAGGTCGAGAAAATTCATAAGGCCAAGCTGCTTGTGGCCGTCGGCGCCCTTGGTCTACTGGTCAATTTAATTGGACTCTGTCTGTTTCATGGTAAAATGGCAAAATTGTTTCACTATGTTGCACAATTTATTTTTCAACCTTTTCAAGATCAATACGCTTATTCACTTACTAAAGCGCAAAGGAGAAATCTCTCGCTCTGATGAAAAAAAAAGAATTTTTTTTGTATGAAACTACCTTAGTACGCTTTCGTAAACTTAAACCTTGAAGGACTGTATTATGGTTTATAGATTTAATTAATTGATTAACCCTGACTTTATTTATTAACCAGGCCAACGATCGAACATTGAGAATAAAATCTCGTGTATAGGAACACGTGATAAGTAAGTCCCTTGGTTAGATTAATTTTACTGCAATTATGTAGGTAATGCAAGAGGAATGTTAAACTGTCATAAGGAAGTGACGAAGCGCAACGCAGTTTCCGTATCTCAAAGATGTTCGAGTCCCGCCTCGATGATGTCCCGTATAGGTCAGCTAATGCATCTCTCTTTATTAGACGAATGTGCATTTATTTATCCATTCAATAATGAAATGGAATGGTCGAAGCAATAGCAAATGATTTGTAATCGACACTTGGTTGCACAGAGCGAGAGAGTTTAACGATAGCGACATTTCCATGCTGCTTGTATTGCAGCGAAACGCGGGAATGTAATGCTGATACTCTGAAACAAAAGTTTTTACTAATTTTTAGAACATGGAAGCGAACACGGACATTCTCATGGAATATCTCGAAGTCACAATAGATTAAGTACTCTCGTGGGTACCGATGATAACGAGAATGACGAAACTTATCGGCCACCCCCGCCGCCAGTTAAAAAAGCACACGGACACAGTCATGACCCAAGTCAGATGAATATGCGAGGAGTCTTTCTTCACGTACTTTCAGATGCTCTAGGCTCTGTAATCGTCATAGTCTCGGCTGTGATTGTTTGGCAAACAGAGTGGGAATATCGGTAGGATTTTAGTTTTATCTAATTAATTTATGGCCATAAGAATTTTAAAAAAATCATTTAACAGAATTGTCAATCTAGGTACTATATAGACCCTGCCTTATCTCTGCTGCTCGTTCTTCTCATTCTGAGATCTGTCTGGCCTCTTCTTCGGGAGTCTGCCTTAATTTTGTTGCAAACTGTTCCAACTCACATACAGGTAATTTATATATCCTTAATTAATGAGCTTTTGCATGTTTACAATGAAAGTTTCTTGTTAAATCTATAATCTGTTTGCATATTTTATAGGTCGATGCTATCCAGCAGAGGTTACTGGATAACATCGATGGTGTCTTGGCGGTTCATGAATTCCATGTATGGCAATTAGCTGGTGATAGAATCATCGCCTCGGCACATATACGTTGTCGCAATCTCTCAGAGTACATGAAAATAGCTGAACAGGTCAAAGAATTCTTCCACAATGAAGGAATCCACTCTACAACTATACAACCAGAATTTATAGAAGTGAGTATTTCTTTTAAAAATAAACATCAGTTTAAACCTTGATTCCTGTGAGCCAACTGGTATTATTTCTGAAACAATTTATATTTATATCGCTCGAACATCTGTTACAGTATCATTCAAATACCGCAGTACAGGAAACTCCAACAGAAGACTGTGTCCTCGACTGTCCGAAGACAGACAAACCTTGTAATCTCGCGACGTGTTGTGGACCCTCCAAACAGGTAATTTATAATTGCCATTAGTAATTTAACTTCTTGAAATTCCTTATATCCTTCTGTCACGTACTTCATCCCAATCCGCACAGTATTACACTAAGAGAAATGAAAGTCCTGCTACGTCCCAGAAATCACGATGTCTTGGTCGTTGTTTGGAAGGTATTCACTCGGAGTCAAATACCGTTTTAGGTACCTTATCCATTCCTTTATAATAATTAATAATAATACCTTCGCTTTTATGAAGTCATGTTGCGCATGGTTTCTATACTGTTGAGTATTTTGTCTTGATTAATTTAGGGTCGTGAAACACCATCCCCGAGCGAGACGCCATACGTATGCCGGCAGCGAACCACAACTTCGATAGGTGGTACAGAACAACAGGGGGTAAATGAGATGGAGCGCGGTCATTTACTCTCCATGCCTGATTCGCATCACTCCGCCCAGCTACCACATCCGCAAGCAGTCCCACCGAACGTGTGATTCGAGCTCTCCGGAGGATCTCAGTTAGGTGACACAGAGGGCTCCCTCATGAGGCTTCTAAAAAAAACACCAGCGTCTCCGAAGGCCTTTCTTTTACTGATTCTGAAGGTCCTCCGGAAGCTGTCGCACAAGCTAGATGAGAGAACACTCCCTTTTGGAGATTTTTACATAGAGAACTTTCAAGAATCTTTAAAGGCTCTTCAGGAAATGAATCTGAGACTTTTAGCGAAGTCATATTTTAAAGTCTTTAAGAACTCGACAAGGATGAGGAGAGAGAAAAGAGGGAATTTAGTATTTGGAAAGTCTCTGGAGAGCTCTTGGGGTTTCGGGAACTCTCACTCTTTCACTTGACGGCCTGAAATGTTTGGACAGCCATTTTAACTTCACGAATTTTCTTATTTCTTTTTTATCATTCCTTTTCTTTCTGCTCACGTTCTACGAAGAATTAGCATTTGCGAAGCTGGAAAAGATTCGTTAATTATATCGAATGCCAAAGGCATTGACACCAAATGATTAATATATGTGTATAATTATAGAATGGCCGAGAAGTAATAGGAAGCCAACGGTCCTTTAGCTGCCTTCCAAGTATATTCTTGCACATACACAATACACGATACTATATTACGTTACGGATCGATATAGGGTCTTAGAGTACACTTCACACGATTTTTTCTTTTTTTTTTTAATACTTTTTTCCCGTATTATTTTTGAAATATAATGGGAGAAAGGGAGAGAGGGAAAAATAATAAAATTACAATCAAGTGATTGAATAGAGATCACGAAAATTGCTGAGAATATTTATGTTAGAACAAATTTCTTTGCTACTTACAGAAAACGCATTCTTTTTATGAATTGTTGTTTCCAGTTTTAGTGACAATTTACTGGACGTGATAAAATGTGCACATGAGTAATCTTCGAATAAAACCGCGAAACTACCGTATCACGAAAATTTTATATTTAAGTTCGTGAGATAGACATAATTATCATAGTATTGAGGTTTTGGAATTGGAAATAAATCTTTTTTTTTCGAAATGGTTACGAGTGTCTATGTATTGTCTTTCAAAGTGAAATGGCAGAAAAATATTCAATGATAGTAAGCAAAAGCTATTAATAAGGCACCGTAAGTGTAAGAACTCGAGCTTTTTTTTCAGGGGACGATGGGAAAAAATGAAAGCACGAATTGCAAACAAAAATGAACAACAAAATTCCTGTAACTTTCAGTTGCTTTATTTGAAATTATTGTCTCTTTATAAATTAAGTAATCTCTCTCTTTCTCACACTCATTCTGAGGCTGTATTTACTTCTTTCTTGCATTTATTACCTTTGAATTCAAACTAAATGTATTCAATAAAAAACGAGAAAGCTTTCTCAAGCCATATTGAGGAACCTTTGACGGTCACGTTAAACTCTAAAACTTAATAAGGACTCGCCGCAACGCTCACGACTTCGACTTACAAAGAAACAAAGAGAATAAAAACTTTTTTAGCAGACATAAAGAACACGTGTAAATAAACTAAGGAGAAATATTTATATCAAATCGATGTTATTACTATGCGAAGAAATATAAGTTTTATGCATCGAAAAAAGAAAGAAACCATGAATTCTGTAGAAATATGCCTTTATTTTAATTGTAAGACTTCGGAAAATACTTGTCAGTCCTATTGTGACATTATAATCGATTAAATGAAATACCTTATTTATAGAGATGACGATGGTTATACCATTTGCGTAACCTGTTGATTTATCCAAGAGAGGAAATTCACTACATTGATATATATACCAGGAACTCCTGCTGTCGCACAGCCTATGCCCCAGGCGACCATACCCACAACTTGAAAAGCTCCGAAGCCATTTTGACAAACTAACGGAGAACCGCCATCTCCCTAAGAAATAAGAAATTTTTAATTATATTTGTTAGATAAATGACGTCTTTAATAATAATAATAATACTTTCTTACCGTGCAGGCATCCTTGCCCATTTCTCCTCCAGCGCAGAGGAAGCTGTTACGATCTAGGACAAAGAACTGACCAAGACGTGTACCCCGCAACTGCGTCTCGCATGTTGTCTGACTTAAAATTGGTACATCGACTTCTTTCATGATACTCTGATAACTTCCGCTTGATCCAAATGCGTTTTTACCCCAACCGGAAACCCAGCACCTTTAATAAAATCGATGAGCAATAGATGTCCAGAAAGAATCCTTATTTGTTCAATGTGTAAATGAAAAAAAAAATACCTAGTTTGTGGTGAAGGCATTGAATTAGGCAAACAAGCTGTATTAATGTTCGGACTGGATGAAATTGGAACATTGGAGGCAAGTCTTATAACGGCTACGTCATTTTGTAAATTTTGCGAATTAAAATTTGGGTGAATGAAGAGCCTGGCTACTTGATATTCCTGATAAGGATATTGTTCGGTCGTGCTTCGTGCGTCCCATTCTCCCAGACGTACTTTAAATCCACCATTACTGTAAATATTATTCTGTGTATATAATATATAATAACATTCTGTTTCTTATACCTACATTGTTAATATCAAAATGAAAACTTACCGATAAGCGGCTACTTTGTGAGCAACAGTCAAAACATGGTTAGAATTAATTAGAACACCAGAACCGATATAATTATTACTAGTTGTCAACAAGGCAGCCTGCCAAGGATAGGCACCGTAGCTCGCTTGTCCTGTAGGTTGAGGAGTTGCAGGAATTTTTCTTAAACCACAAGTACCATCAATGACGTTCCCACCTGTTCCGTCGCAACAGTATTCAAAACCCGGAGTACAAAATGTGCCCTACAAAGTAAAGTATATCAATGAACATATAATAGCTATTGAACATTCTTTTATGATAATTAGTTTATCCATACCATATTAACAATCCTTATATCAATTAATGGAGAAGAAGATGAAAATCTTTGACAACTTCCTTGTGGTACACAGGTACACTGCTGATTACCAGTCGGTAAATTAAAACCTTAAATAGACAAACAGGATGATAAACATTAAATTGTATTAATCGTGTTTACCGTTATACATTTCAAATGCACTGGCTAGAATTAAGTATTATTTGTTTTACCAGGTGGCGAGGATGGATTTGATCCAGTGAAAAGAAGAGTTTGATCTTGTCCATCGGTATGTTTGATAGAGAAGAGCACAAAAGACACTAAAACAATTGAGAAATACATTTTTTAATTACGATTGGAAAAGATATTTTCTCGTTAAAAACTTTACCGAGGATACGAGTATGTAACTTCACCATGAGACTGTTTTATAGAGATTCTGCCGGAAGGGACTATATTTTTTATTTCGAAAAAAATTATTCTGAACCACCAGCCGAGGCAGGAATAATACACGACCTTCTCCTGTTGGACGTTTTAATTCTAAGTAACAATGCCTGCAAAGCGTTACGTTATTGGTAAAAACGACAAATTACTTCCTCTCGTAAAACTATAGTCTATTATATTATTTGCTGCATATGAATGGAGCTTCGAGGATTCCCAGAATGACTCATGTTTTAAGTACAAAACGTGATTTGACGTTGAAATTAAATTTCTTAGCTACTCATATAAACTCATATACCATATATATTCTAATAATAATAATACTTAGGTTATTGACATTAATGTTACAACGACATGTAACAGATTCATTGCATAAAATATATGACCCAGTTCGATGTAGTTTTATCATAGACTTATCACTATTCATATTAGATCAGTCATGCATCGTGAATCAATTATGTTTTTCCAGTTACCACGAGTTCATTAATTATCAGATTTTTTTTATAGAACGAATAGGGAATCATAAATTAGAAATCGGCCGCGGTCTTCTGGTCAATTGTGCTATAAAAAGAGACTATCTGTTTTTTAATTTCTGAACGAGTGCAACAAGTTATCAAATGTTTTATGACTAGATTAACACAGAACGTTGTCCACAAGCCTGATAAAGGCAGCCAATCATGAGGTCAGTAATGAGGAACCATCTTATCATCGTTATCAGTCTTGATATCACTTGATGTGAAAATTAAGCACAACAGTTGAACTTATAAATACAATTATTTAACTAGCTACTAATTACTTATTAAGAATAAACATGCGTAATACTGCATCTGTGTTTTTGTTCTTTACACTATTGCTTCATCAACACCATTTTGCATACGGTCAGTACAATAGCTGATAGTTACAGGATGTTACTGTTAAAGTAGAATAAAATTTATCTCGGTTTCCATCGTGACGATAAGAGATCGCAGTTTCCATTTATCACTTATTATTGCTGTAAGCGTAGGTCGAGGTTGCGGCGATTTAAATCTCTGAAAGGTCAAAGATGGCCGCCAACAAATTACGTGATGCCCATTGAAATAGTTGGTACCGAACAGTTTTTTATCGTTGACAAGCCTCACCTTGAAAATCACAGTTTTTTAAACACATCGTTTATACATAATTGTAATGTCATCTACTAGTTCAATTCGAAAAAATAAGCAGGTACATTTTATGGTCTTTATAATTTGTATTAATATTTATTGTTAATAGGTTTAACATGCTACCAATGTAAAAGTGTATCAGCTACCAGTTCTTGCATTACCAATCCTGAGGAATCGGCGGTTTGTGAAAAAACCTACTGTACCATTTTCAGACGCGAGCTTCAAGATCCTGCTGGACTCGTCATTGCCTTCTATAGAGCCTGTGATGATTTTCCACAGTTCTTAAATACGGTCGTCGACACGCCGTTCCATAAAACGTATTATCGTGCATGTACCAGTGATCTTTGTAACGAAGGAAATGGATATGATGAATTTTCTGTTTACGAAACAGATGAATTTGATTCTAATATTATATATGTTCCTGGGATAGGATCATTTGGAAATACCATTGTACCTACATTTTGGATTGTCTTTATAACTGTGTTGAGTCACTTTTGATACAATAATACTACCTTGTTTGTGTGTTAAATTTCTCAAATATTGTAAAAACACTGGATTTTAAATGTTTAAAAAGAATGGGGGATCATAATAATAAAACGAGATATTATGTTTATTAATATATAATAATTTCTTCCTTGCTTTACTTAATGGCTTTATTTATCTCTTAGGGGAACATGTGTGTTAGTATATATTACATCTTCTTTCTTCTTCTATTCCTTTGTGGCTTACTCCGATTAAGGAGATGTGCTAGTTATGTATTAATTCAATTTTGAATATTATTCTATGGCCATGAGTTGTAAAAAGATAGACGGATAGACTAATGTAATATGTTTATGATTTCATGCTGCAGTACCGACGGTTACTATTAAAAATTGACTTAATGCTCTCTTGGAAACTCAGCATTAAATGCACAGTTAAATTTGTTATCTGGATTGTTCTGGGTGCGTAGTTAGTCACTTATGATTTGACAGAGACTTTGGTAGGTTTCAAAGCCACATGATATTTATAAGTCTTTTAAGATCGGCACAAAAGAGTTCTATTAAAATGGAAACAACGTCAAGATCCGTGCACTACGAAGAATGGAAGAGAAGGGTTTGTTTCTTTTACAATAGTTCCAGTTGATCTTTAAGAAGCACGTTGGCGTCTTATCATTTCACTTAGCGTTAAATAACAACGATAATTCACGAACAGATAATATTTACGAATTGTAAATTCAATATTCGAATGCCTTTATAACCAGATTTATATGTAACAACAAGAGTATTCTTTCAAAGTTTATTAGTGTCTGACGCGTCTATCATTCGTTGACTGCCAATAGTTTTATATATGAACTAAATTTATCTTAAAGGCATTTCTGGGTCCTCTTCCACGGGGTTTCCTGAGAGTAGAAGATGAAAGTAACCCACAGCAGCAGCAAGAAGCTGCTGATCAACAAGCTGCTCTTGCTTTACAACAATTACAAATGCAGAGTATGCCAATGCCTGATACCCGAGTTGGTCGTTTAAGTATAACTATCAGCCAGGTTAGCTACCCTTTGAATAATCAGGAGACTATAAGAATAATACTGTATCGCTAACTAAAATTATATTGCAGGCAAAGCTTGTCAAGAATTATGGAATGACCAGAATGGACCCATATGTTCGATTGAGAGTAGGTCATGCAGTATATGAGACTCATACTGATACAAATGGTGGAAAAAATCCACATTGGAACAAGGTGGTTGAGTGGTATGTAATAATTATTAACTTTATTAGATACATATATGTTTTGTCATAAAAACAATGATGTTATGAAAATGACAGTGCATTGCCTGCTGGTGTTACACAAATTTATGTGGAGATTTATGACGAATGTTCATTTACAATGGATGAACTAATTGCTTGGGGACATGTTGAAATACCTGCAAATGTTATTCAACGTGGAGAAACTCATGAAGGATGGTACAGGCTTAGTGGAAAACAAGGGGATGAGCAAGAAGGAATGATTAATTTGGTCCTTAGTTATTCTGTAAGTCTTCCAAGAATTTTTTGTAATGATAATTATTAAGTAACAATTAAGTGGTGTCCGTTTGCGTAGGCAAATACATATGCTAGAGCGGCGCCCATAATGATGGTTCCCTCTTCGACTATGTTTGGAATGACACCCTATGCACCAGTTAACGTTTATACCGCGCCGCCACAGGTGGTTCCCGCACCGCCGGTGATTTCAAGCTCTTTGCCGAATGCTGAGATCGAGTTGAAACAGGTAAATAATATTTTTAAAATTAAGTAATATCTTTTTAATTCATACAAAGAACTCAATAAAAACTTTATATCCAGATCGGAGAGATGTTTCCAAATGTGGACAAGGAGGTAATAAAATCTGTTTATGATGCAAATAGCGGAAAAAAGGATATTACTATAAATTCGCTTCTGCAAATGTGCGAATAATTCCGCGAAATAATTCCTGACCAAAGTATTATATGTGCATATATACAAGACTATCGAGCTCATCAATTAAATTTAACAGCTATGATTAAATCCAGTGACAGTATGAGGACCGTTAAATGTTGTTGGTGTATTTGAAATTAGCAGCTCGATATGCCTATAGAAATATATATATATACACACACACATATCTATACTTTGAAATGCCATATATGTATTTTCTGCTAACTTGTATTTCATTCAGAATGTAATATATTTGTAAATTATTACGATTGCTACGTGTTCTATTTAATTCATACCCATGTTTTTTGGACTATAAAATAAAAGTAAAAAAAATAAAGGGTTATTATTCAAAAATTTATGTTATTATTCGCTATTATAAAACATTCTCGGAATGTTCATATAATCCTTAAAACATTTAAAAATATAAGTCAGGTTTTGATCCTGTAACTGATTAAAAGAATCACTACCGGTAATTTAGTAACGCGTTCGTAATTCTCAGATTACATAAAATAGATTCTTTCCTTTGCCATTTGTTCTTAAATATTAAACTTTACAAAGACCAACTTCTATTCTCTGATATTTTACTTTCCTCAGCATGACCACATATAGAAATAGGTATTCTGCCAATGCGGCAAATATTTAGTTAACGGGTCTGCCAAGATCCTTGCGAAAGGCACTATGCTAGAAATTACATTGAGCATTGAATATATTTTAACACGACTGCAATGTTCATAAAATGGTGAACGCAACAGATAGAGCAAAAGTCCAAGCTGTCTTCTATAGATTTCCATCTTTTCCTCCTTTGTGAAAGCCGCAAATCGACCCTCTTGGTTGTATATCCTTAAACTGTTAAAATAAATGAAGACAATTTAGTTCTCATGCTCATTCTGACTGGGGAAATACTTTCTTTTACCTTGCAATGTCCAGAAGAAAAGAGAGAAACCATGGTTTCCATTGTTTACGTCCACATATGGATACACATCCGAGGTGTAGAAGCGGTTTTAAAATATAAAGCGTCTGAAAGGTAATCTTATAGTAGATAAAAAAAATTAATTTTTTTCTACTAATGAACTTTTAATATACCTCAGCCAAGATAAGTGTTTTTTTCGTCATGGGTTGTATGTCTACCTCTCTGCTTTCAACTGGAGACAACGGTGCCCAATTTCGCATTTGAACCGGTGGTGCATTATTTACTGAGCGTACGATGGTACCAGTACGTTTTAGCGCAAAACCTTCCGCAACAATTGGCGCTGACTGATTATCTTTTAACTTCTCACGATTCAATGGAGATATTGGAGGATTCTGTGTGATACGCTCTTTGAATTTGTAGACTAACAGAAGTCGCAGGAATGCTCTGAAGATTATTTAAAAGAATTATAGATCAAAATTGGATTCTATGACTAATGGAAATAATTAAAACACTGTTGAATTTACTTGAATACTTGAATTAGAAGTATTGTCAACCACTTTCCAGATTCTCCGTATATACGTTGTGCTGAGACTTCTAATAATGCCTCTGTATATTCTATAACTGTTAACCAAACCTTTATTTTTGATTGTAGTTTAGGAAGTTGCGAACTGTGGAAAGTATTACTTAACAATATTCTATCGTTCAAAAGAACTATTAGATTTGGGATTGAATAAACCAGCTCGGAACTTGGAGCTGAATTATCAAAACGGCCTGAAAAAGAAGCAAGAGAATTTGTAAAAACACAAAGTGGCTGTATTAATTATATCAGAAACAAGGGTATCCCTGTATTAATTAAAACTTTCTATGATAATTAAACAAACCAGCTGTAAAATAGGATAAGCATCGTAAAATGCTTTCAACATCTCCAGCAAGTTGTGGGTTTGCAATTATCCATTTTTTGTAAACTTGGTAAATATTAAGAATTCTATAATGTAATGTATTGAGGACCATGGCTTACTGCAAGTAAAAACATTACGGTTATATGCAGGATTTAAAATAAATGTCATATAGCTTTCAAGCAAGTAGTTATAGAAGACAAATACCTGTTACTTTATTATATAAGTCACTATCGACCATACAAGGCCTACGGAGTTATTAAAATTGTAGGTTTTCTTTATCTTATTTGTCACAGTCTAATGTCTTGAGTTCCGTTATTCTAATGGTTATATTGAAATTCATTAAGAGGCTAAATAATGTAAACATTATAAAGGCTGATTTACGTGAGACCGAAAACGAAGCAAGTGTTATAGCAAGTTTTCAAAATACGAGATACTTTCAAAAACCTGAAAATTCGGGAGCCTTGTCGTTAAGTCCGTCGAACAAAAGAGAAATCCAAGAGTCATAGATTAAAGTACAAATTGCATGAGTAAAAAATGAAAATGATGACTACTCAATTAACCTTAGTTGAAAGTAAAATGACAACAAATTATTCTTGTACATTTGAATGAAGTGACGTAATATAATGAAAAATGACAATTACTTAGTCAATTTACGTAGGAATAAAAATATTGAATATTGCATCCACAAACAATTGTCATTTATGTATTATATACCGCTCATTGAGAGTACAGTACCGCAATAAGCCAACTAATTTATGATGAATATTCATTCATTAAGTAGAAGAGTTACTCAAAAGTCTTTTTTAGGGTAATTCTGTATATATTCCTAGGAGTTTGAAAAAATCAGACTCTATTCCACCAAGATGGTTTATTGTTTAAACTCGATTTAACTGTGGGATTGATCAACGAGGTACTTTCGTTTTGAAGATAAACCGTACTCTACTGGTAGTCTACGTATTTAGCTGTGCCGGTGGAATCGGGCCTCGACAATTCACAAGCCTGCTTCACATAGGAACCAACGTTAGGTACCTACTGCACAGCACAACCTGTTTTCTAGAACAACTTTGTACTTTCGATCCAAACAAAAACAAAGCAAGAGACGTCAGTTCGCGAATGAAAACAACGGCGCACGCATGAAATTGACAGCAGACGACACTCGACACTGGTGAACAATTAAAAAGAATAGGAAAATTCGAAAGAACGCAACTTAACGAATCTACAGAAAATGTCTTCGTCACCAGCCCGTGTGGTAAGTTGGAAAAAGCCCGCGAAATTACCTAACGGAATAATCGCGTAAAATTCACCCTGTAGATACGCCACCAGTATTCGCGGCCATTGTACATTTTATATTCACATCAAATGTTCATTTTCAAGTTAAATTTAACAAATAGCGTATTGCGGTCGAACAAAGGATTTCCTTTGATTTTCTTTTATTCTTTTCTTCCGACCCCACCATCCTTCTGTCTACCAGTCGTCTTTCTAGATTTCGCCTCATTCACTATCTCCCGCCACGCCATTCGCTAAGGAGCGTGCATTTTTAATGATAACTAGCGGCATATTTAAACAAAAATGCAAAAACTGAAATTTACACGGTTCACACAATATCTTATTGGGTATTTTACCCTGTCAGACATTGTTTCCTACATTTTCCAGATTTAATTATCATCGCTTATCGGTTTTGTTTATAAGATTAAAACAATAACGTGCTTAAAGTTCGACATTGTTTGTTATCTCTTTTCCCTCCTTTCAGAATTGATCTAAATAACAGATTAAGAAGAGACGAGATGAGCTAAAATAGTATACTAAATTCTCTTTAAAATAATAATGCAATTGTAACCCTTGGAAAGTTGTTCGTTGAAACGTTATTTGTGCCGTTGTAAAATTAACTATACGTCTATTAACTGAACATCGATCACAAACTATTGAAATAACAAGGCGGAATAGACGTTGCTTCGATACATAATAGTTGCAGTATTGTTACTATAGGTATCATTATACTCATTTAGTATTTTATTATGTAAGGTATTGTAAGGCATCTCGTTTCACTATGTTTGGCAGCGAGCAATCACCAAGAAATTAACAATTTCGCCTCATAGTCGACTTAAAAATTCTATATTCTCAATGGAGGCCGTTCGCTAACCACTTTGTTTTTCGATGCGATATGGTACTTCCTGTGATTTATTTATAACTCAACGATCGCAACCCACGTTAATATTCATTAGCTGTTCCTCATTTAGATTAATATCGGCATATTATTGTTAAAGCTCGTACATCGTATAATAAGGAATATTATCGAGGTATTAAACGGAAATGAATTGCTATGCATGTATCAATTCATTTGCGTCCAATTATTTACTCTAATTTAGTTACTATTATACCCTAATAATCGACTGATCCTGTTCGCAGAATTCGTTGATAAATTTATCTACTAACAAAATTAATTAATTTTATATTTCTTATTTACGTTTCAGTTAAAAAGCATCGGACCCAAGCTGGTGCCATTCTTTAAAAGTGTTTCAGTTTATTTTGTTCTCCTGGCAGAGCAGCCGTCACTTTTGACGGCATGCTTCAAATGTCTACCAATTATCAGTCTTATTGTTTTTGTTCTGCTTCATGGAATCAGTTTATCTAAGGAGTAAGTGTGGGATTTGATTGGAATATTCGATATATGAAAGATAAGATAAATTGTTCTCTCTTCTAGATATACGTTTTCGCGAAGAATATTAACAGGATTGGTATTTAGCTGCATTGGCGATGCATTATTGGTTTGGCCTAGCTGCTTTGTACCAGGAATGGGAATGTTCGCCATTGCTCAAATAATGTATATTTACGCTTTCGGTTTTAAACCGTTAAACGCCTCTCTCGGGGCTGTACTTTATGCCATGTGTACTCTAGGTAATTTTTAAAGTTTTTACGGTATATCTTTTACTTATACTTTCTGATTTTTGTTTGCGTACTATTGATTCGACCTGTTACAGTCATTTGTATACTTATGCCTGGTCTTAATGGGGCTCTGGCCATTGGTGTACCCATCTATACAGTATTATTGACTACCATGACCTGGCGTGCTATATCTCGTGTACAATTTTTTGAGGTAAAATCCGTAGATTTATAGTTATGATTAACTAAGAATTGTTTAATTGGATTAATAATATTCATTTTTTCATTAGGAATTATGGACCTGGACGAAATTGTGTAGTTGTGCGGGCAGCATTTGCTTCGTTGTGTCCGACACTCTTATTGGATTTCATCATTTTCACAGACCACTTCCTTATTCGCAGGTAAAATGATAAATATTCAACTGAATTGGAATAGTTCTTTCTATGCTTTGACATGTCCATTATAGATTTCAATTATGTTAACTTACTACGCTGCACAACTCGGCATAGCTCTCAGCGCAGTTGATTCAAAGGAGAATAAACAAACGGTAAAGGAACGGTGAGGACACGGTCCAGTAAAGTTTTAAGGTTTAATGTAGATTTGCAGAACTAACGGTTTAAACTGGTTTTTGATTGTGAGATTTAAAAAATTAGTCAAGACCGGGTTCACTGTATGTGATATTTTTGAAGAGAAGGCAAGTATTTTTAAAAGCTCGGCCAATTCTATTGGATGGCATGAAAGTTTATAGGAGGCAGTAATTATTAATAGAAAGTACGGCAGATAATATAATTCTAACGTGCATTATGCATACTCGTATTATAGTTTATTAGGAATTGGACAGATTAGTCAAACGATCTCCATCGTGTTTAGTAGTGAAACTTTTTAGGTATACGTATACAATTGACTTTTCATTGTTCCTCTTTCTCGTCTCATGCTAAAGTGTAATTAACATAATAAATAAATAAACTTTGTCAAAGTTCTTGAAGTCATTCTTTTTATTAGAAAAATACAAAATTAACAATATGGGAAATACAGCTTATCTACTCCTCGAGATTAACACTATACAATTATTAAGAGTTCATAATTATTAACGTGACTTAAAACGATATGATTTGTACATAATTAAGGTCTATGAGAGAGATTAAATTAAATTAAATTCAATTAAATAACACAACATCTTTGATTATCCTTAATCCACCCGAGCTATATCTTGGTCTTTTTTGCTCCTCCTTTCTTCTGTTTTGGCCTCTTAGTACTTGTACTAGGTCTCTCATCTTCCTGGTTTTCCTCCTTATTCCCGAATCCGTACTTCGCTGCTAATTTCTCACGAATTAGCAAACCCCTTATCAATTTCTTCCAGTTTCCATAAATCCGCTTGTCTCTTTTTTCTTGAGCACGCTTTGCGGCTTCAATTTGTTCCGTTTCCCAGGCTTCCCGAAGGGTGTCTTCAAATTCCTCGCACACGACAAAGCCTTCAAATGCTGGCACTGCGCCCATTCCGCCAAAATTGAAGCCGACGACAGCTGGTGCACAGTCGATATTCAACTTTCTGGCTACACGATTCAATGCTGGTACTGCGTTATAGAACAAAAATGAAGTACATAAAGTTCCCATGCTTAAAATCAACGATTAATTCTCTTTGGATTATAGGACATACAATTAATATGCACTGTTCCTTTAGGAAGCATACACATTTTAAATAAATCTACGTTTCCATATTCGTTTCGTGGTACAATCCCATCCTTCGCAACAGGAGGAACGTACTGTGTAGTTTGCCATTTACCAAAGAGTTCTAAAGGCTGATCCTTGATCATCATACCTGAAAACTTATTACGTATGCTACGTGAAACATTATTTTCTTTATTGCCATCGTTCATAAACATATTAATAATGTACTATGAATCGTAATACCTTGTCATACTTCGGCATTGCCTTAACGATTTTATAGGATTCCTCGCCAGGTTTCACAACCCGTGCATTCTTTACCCAAGTCTCTCTGGAACAGAGTGTGTGTACACAATGCCTAGAATAAATAGCCTCTCCAGTTTTTAAATGCCCTAAAGGTACAGCATCCGGTGGATATAATGCCTCGTATTTTAATAAGTGTCTTTGTAAGGCATATAGAGGATGACCTTTACATTCGCCCACGGTTTTCGGTAGAGGCTGCTCCAATTCCCTATTTCATAGATAAAATAAGGATGTATGAATGGAATGTTAAATTATAATTGATTTGATCTATTTACCTTTGCAAAAGCATTTCATCCTCAGCCTTGGACAGGGCACTTTCTTTCTCTTTCCAGTAAGAAAGACTTTCGCTCCACCATTTTTCATCGACTCTTTGCTTTCTCGTTACTGTTAACCATTGTGGGCAGTATCTTCTTGTCACGTCTTTCAATGTTCCAGAGGAATTCCAGGCTACTACGTACAAAACGGGATTCGTAGCTTTTTTCTAAAAAAAAGTCGATGGATAACAAGTTTTTCTATCGCTATAGTATTCAATTTAACACTATATTTTACTAACATATATTTCCGTAACGCAATGTATCTTCTTCTCCAGTACGCTTACACATATCCAGCTTTCTTCGGATTCGACATAAACCTCGGCCCAAACATCTTGTCCTTTTTTCATTTTAGTAGGATTGCCACTTTCCTCGTCCGAAGATAGCAATTTTTTACTCTTGCTGTACTTAGAATCTTTGGAAGTACTGGCTTTTGCTGTGGTGGAAATTTTTTTCTGTGTATCCTTAGGCGCATCGGATTCACTTTCCGATTCAGAAGACATCTGATTTGTTGTTAATTTATATTTTCTATCTTTAGCATTTCGAGATCTTAATTCTCTCGTTTCTTTTCTGCTTACAGTTTTAGAATTTTTAAGCCCTTTGATTTTTGTCATCTTTTTAGTTTTTGATTCTTTAATATTTTTTTCACTTATCATATTGGAACTAGGCTCTTCCTTTACCTTGTCTTTACTAGACGATGGTTCTTGCTTTGTTTGAAAAAGCTGATCTCTGTTTACTTTTAATGGAGGTGCACAAAGATTTAAAACAAGTCTACAATTTATTCCAATACCTCTTAATGTTGCGACAAAGAGCAAACCCAATTCTTTGTAGTCTGCCACTTTCTTATTTTTAATAGCAGATAATAACGACTCATTGGTAATAAGAGCATCATTATTGTTCATTAGAATAAAGGATTTACAAAACCAGCCTGTGAACTTTTCTAAGTAGGCAAGATCCAGCCTGCCTTTGGGATAACTAGAGGAGGACACTTTTGCTGCAGCAGCAGAAAGAATATCAGGTGCATTAATAAGTTGATTCAAATGAAAACCATGTGAGAGCCAACAGAGTAATCCAACTTTATGGATTAGAAGTTGATTAGTCCGTAATTGTTGATTCATGCGATTTTTAAGCAAAGTTTCCAGGTCCCTACGGTTCCTTTTTTTCCTATTAAACATAATATTATTTCCGGGAAGCGTAATCGTTACACCTCCCTCTGGAATGATATAGTCCGATGCCTGTTGAGCTTCTGATTCTTCCATATCAGCATCTGTATTACTCCCTGTATCATCATGTTCAACTTTGTAATTAGATAATGTGACTGGAGTCTCTCCCAGAAGTAAAAGATCCTCAATTTCTTTTGAAAGGAGACTCGATCTAGATATCGCCTTTTTGTTCTCATCCTCTTTTTTTGTATCATTTCCTTCCTGCTGTCTAGCAGCAATTTCATGTTTCTCCCAATTCTCTAGGTTTTTCAATGTTTGCGTAATAACTTCAGCAGAATTTGTATTGTTGACATCTTCAAATTCATCCTCAGAATCTACAGAAGTAACTACCGATTCAGTTTTGAGGTTAGGTTTCGGTTTATCAAAGAAAGAGGAGTTGAAATTTATCTTATCAGCCGAAACCAAAAATTCATTGCTACTACTTGAACTTTCATCGTCAGAATTCATTTTGGCAACACTCTTGGCAAATAACTGCTATGTCAAATTATTCACACCGTATTTGCGCATCAAAAAAATGCACTATCTCTGTTAGTATTCCCTGGTATTCCCACAAAACGGATAGTCCTTTCGAATGATGTTACCACCAACACTGATTTGCAGATCGCCATTTAATTTTAATCAATATACAGCTCCATCTGCATTACCGACAATGCGCATGTAACAATAGTCGATAAATTAGAAATTTATAACAATGATAATGTATCAAAAATGTCTATTGATACTGTCCCTCAACAGTGCAGGTGTAGAATACAAAAATAAAATTATTTCTAAATATTTGCCGATATCAATAGTTCTCTGAACCGAAAACCGAGAGAGCATGGCCATGGTATGTTATAAGTATCGGATGGTGGCGTAGTTTGCTATAAACTATTTTCGTTAGTCGCGCAGTTTCGCAAGATGGCAAGGGGCGAGGGAGTCCTTTTATCAGGCTGCCCACGCGATTTAAATATAAATCGGGCGCGAAATTAGTCACGATGCTTTAATAGCCAATTGCTAATACTCAAGCTATCGGATGCGTCTCCTTTTAAATGGATACACGCCAATATTCCAAATTTCAAGGATCGGTAGCACCATTGTATATTGATACTTATCTTTTTATGATCATCAAGGCTTGCTGAAGAGATAATATAAAATACGTTTCTTGCCAAGAAATAAATATAGTGTCGCCATCTGTTTAAGGGTGCAGGAAACTACTGATAATAACACGTACACCAAAAAATGTATGACATTTCAACCCCCTAAAAAAACTTCTATGTATACTTGTTCCAACATATCTTCCATACTGGCTACAATCACTAACCATCAGACACAAAGTCTTATAAGGCTACCCCTCTTTACTATAGTATTTTCTCCATGTCATTGTTAACCTGCTTTCGATAGTGTAGACATCTGTCTCATTTGCAGCCAACAGTACTCAAGAAAAAATATTCACATCCCACGTGCCTTCCTCGACTAGTAGTCACTACTGTCTGTCATCACTTCTGAGCTTCTCAAAAAGCTCTTTAGCCAAGTATCGTAAATTCAAGTTGATCCCACGTGAATCATGGATACATATTAACAAGCTCACTTAAACAATAAATATCTATTCTTATTCTTATTCTATAGGATAGAAACCTATAGGTTGTACAGCACAGACTAATTCTTATATTTACTATATAAAAGTTACGTTATACAGCAAAGTCATAAATGTATAAATATATGTATACTTTATAACCTTGAATATTTTTCTGCAATTAGGACCAACATAATTGTTATTACAAAGATGGCTAATATCTTGATTAAAAATCGTTGTATGGTAATATAAAAATGATCAAGGATCGAGGTACGATAATTGGTGGATCACTAACGAAAATATTAGAACTTTAGAAAATGTATGCTTCCAAAATGGTGAATATGAATAGTGAGAATGAGACAGACTGAGTTGAAACACATAATATAAGAAAGAGAGAAACAGAAGCATCCGGGCTTAGGCAGCCGTGTAAAATTAACCCTGAGTCAGAAGCGAGTTATTCCAGTAAATATTCTCCATTTAATTAAATAAGCTCGTTGCATAATCCAGCTGCTACAAGAGGAAGGTCTACGAATACGACACGACGAATATTGTCTGAGGGTTATAATAGGTCAGCATTACTCTGCTTAAAATATATGTAACAATGCCGTGTAGCAAGATGGATGAAAGATAGACAACGCTGGTCAAAAAGGCCTTGATAGTACGCACCTGGTTGGAGTCGCAAAACTGGACCAGGCAATAATAACCTAACCTATATTCCGTGGTACTATTTAAAGAGAACCCCTTCAAGTGTTCCATTTTCTTAGTTACCCTTTTTTACAATTCATATGCGCTTCCAACCTAACTATAAATAAGTAAAATTCTCCCACCTAATTCAAGGACAACATTCTGTGATAATTATCAACAACTTGTGCTCTACATTCTTTATTTTTGTTAATATACACACGTTTTGACTTAGCCTACGCATTCCTACTAACAATTCTCGTGTTTATCTTGTTGTAATATTTTTCGTTTTCATGTTACTACTCTAGTCTTCTTCTTTATGAGCATATACTAGGTGTACGAATAAAATTCGTATATCCACTAAGGAGTGAAATTGATCAGAACTGAGTTTCAAAAAAGACGCCTGTGACACCAAGGAGATTAGAAGTGTCGGAATGGTTCATAAATCAACATCGTTTGTTTTATTCAATACGAATAGCGAAAAGTGGTACAAAACTATTATCATGGCTTAACGCTCCCGATAGACTTATCGGGCATATAGGAAAAGCACAGTGTTGAAAGTTGTGTATGTATTTTTAGGAGTAAGAAAAATAACGCTGTAAAGTTACCACTGTCAAAACTATGACTATTTTGTTGCTATTGTTATTATCAGGTACGCGATACTATAACTACCCACAAGGACACTTGTTCCTTCTTTACTTGTTCTTTTTCTACTTCTGCTTCTTCTTCTACGTACGGCCCGATACCAACGCACGGCTAAGATTAGAATCGAAAATTGTGGAAAACACGGGCTTATCCCTGGTTCGCGAGAAACTAGCTCGCGTGGGACGTCTTCCACGGGGTATAAAGAGAGCACGCAGCTTGCTCTCGTCACTTCAGTCCTCTTCAAGAAACTAAGGATGGCTCTCGAACGTCAAGTCCGCGCTAAGGTACGATATTCTGGAAGCCCTTAAAATCTGCTGCCATTTCAATCAGATCCACTTCGCTGATAATATCTTACGTCAATATATTTTTGGATAAGACTTTTTTAAAAACGTGCTACATACTTCAGAAGACTTATTTTACTGGAGCATAATTGATTTCGTGAATTCTAAAAGATATAGACAATTATATATTTAATTATTAATTAATTTAATCGTCTTGTTACAGCTCGCTGGAAAACGCGACCCCGAGCAGGAGAAGGAAGCTCAGGAATGGATTGAATCCATCCTGGGCAAGAAGTTCCCACCTGGTGAACTCTATGAGGATGTTCTTAAGGATGGACAGGTCCTCTGCCATCTGATGAACAAGATTTCTCCAGGATCTGTTCCTAAGATCAATACCTCTGGCGGACAGTTCAAGATGATGGAAAATATCAATCTGTGAGTAATTCTCTAATGTTAAATTTGTCCGATAGAGTGCATAGCAAGTAACGTGTCAGTTGTCACTCGTCACTACAATGTTTAATTTATAGACAGAAAAAATTCTGACAGAGCACTGATATATTAGTCTACGCGTTATATTGTATACTGGGAATGCCAAGAATTTTGAACGTATTTACGTTTCGCAGTGTAACTCTATATAAATTATACTTTGAATAATTTCAGCTTCCAGAAAGCCTTGAAAGAATACGGTGTGGCGGATGTTGATGTCTTCCAGACCGTAGACTTATGGGAGAAGAAAGATATCGCACAAGTCACGAGCACTATCTTCGCTCTTGGCCGTACGGTATGTATAATCTTAAAAAAAGAATTTTCATTTTCAAAATTATTAGTGAATTAGTTCAATTATGCACAAGCTGGGCATTATGTAATATATCCGACCTTGTTCGCATTCCATTGTAGACGTACAAACATCCTGAATGGACAGGACCTTTCCTGGGACCCAAACCCTCTGATGAGTGCAAACGTGACTTCAGCGAGGAACAGCTCCGCGCTGGACAGTCCGTCATTGGTCTTCAGGCTGGATCCAATAAGGGTGCAACCCAAGCAGGACAAAGCATTGGCGCTACGCGCAAGATCCTTCTTGGAAAGTAAATTAAATAAAACGAACATAAAGAATGGAGAATCGTACTCGTTGAGCACGAGGACCCATGAGCACCCGTTATTTATATTTTGTATGTATATATTTATTTTACCTTTTGTAACTGAATGATATAATATTATTATTTACATCAGAAAACTGTGTTACTCATTTTGATACCGATATTTATCATTTAAAATCCTTGCTATGATTAGGTAACGTAATGAGCAAGTAGTAAGATTTTTTTAAGTCCTTCGTGGTATCATGGAATTACATATAAGAGATGATTGACATATTAGGGCAATAATTGATATTTGCCGCTATATTCGAATTGATAGAATTGCGTGAATCGCGACTACATAACAGAATGAAAATAGTAAAAGCGGAGTGTTGTCAGCTGGAAATACAATCGAGGCGAGTGGCTTGAATAAGTTTATCTCGCAAGCTTGTGACAAAACTGGTAAGGCTGCTGTGGCGTCTTTGAAACTATTTTCGAGGTGCTTATACCCGAGACTCGCGACAATCAGTAGGCTTCATTTCTCACATCCCTAGTTTCGCGTTTCAAAATGTTTCTCCAGCCAAGCACCGCCCATTGATTATTATTGTTCTATTCCGAGATGATCATGTGGTAACAGATCAATGAAATGCAACGCGATAAGTCAACCATGTGATTTTGAGCCTATCGTCATTTAGCACTTTTGGAAACACGTAACTGATGTAATAAAATATGCATATTTTTTACATGGGAAATGGATTTGAATTTCGTCATTATGAGACATATTTCATCACGTGATTATCACGGTAGCTTGTCTCACGAATTATGATGATATTTATGGATACTTTGGCAGACAGTTCACCTTGTTTTCTTTGTTCGACGTTTCGTCCCTCTGTCGGATCTAACACATGAGAAAACGCAGATGAAGTGTTACATATTTTGGCAGACATTGTGCTCGGATGCGATGTGTACGTTATTACGACGGCCGTTTTTATCAGCTCAGCTATGCCGCTTCGCAACACTTACTTCTCCAAGTTTAGAATCTTTGCTTGAGGTTGGTTAGGTTAAACGACGCTTCCACGTAGCTGCAATAAACTGATGATATTTCGAGAGCGTGACTCGAGAAATCGACAAATCTTTTATTGTCGGAAGCAGGTTGATAACAAAAAATTATAGAATACGATTTTACCAACGCAATAGCACAGTCGGTAAATAGAATGATCAGTGGATCAAATCGAAATTTTCTGATTCATCGATGGATAAATATTTTTATCGACAATAATTTTATCAACGGGAATTGCACGGCTGTACTTCTTATCAGTTGTTGTTATCGACGGAATAGAAAACTAATTACCGACGTACACAGAGAAAAATGGTGTTTCATTTTAATTGCAAAAGATGCACGATCTCTTTCTTGCTTCCGCATAATTTCTCAATCATTATGATAGACTATGGTATTTCATGATATCCAGCGAAATTCTATTATTCTCAGTGTATCGACTGTAATTACTATTTCTACCTTCAAAAAAATGCGTATAGTTTTATGAAACTACTTTTTATCAAAATCAAATGTACTGCGTTCTCTAGACCTTTCAAGTACTTTCTTGATGCAATACGCCTATCCCACTTTTTAGAACTTGGAGGAATCTCTGCAGTGTTTATTTTTTCAGAGTTGCGTGAGCTTTACACATTGATATATATGAGTACTCGTGCTTAAAGAAACCTGTATTTGTGTCTCATCTATTTACGAGAGTAGAAGTTCCTTTTGGCGAATGAGTCAGTCTGTAGCAATGTATAGAATATAATCCACGATATTTGCCAAAAATCCTACTGACTTATTTTCATGCCTACGCCATTTACATCATCTGTACTATAGAGTCTATGTGATGAAGTCACGCGATATTCGCAACCTTGTTCACATTGTAGAAGATTGTCTCTCGCAAAATTGCCAACAACCTAAAACCACACATTAGGAAGTAGAAATTTGAACAAATCGTATAAAAGGTATATAATATTTTGTTTAGTGGTTCGTGTGAAAAATCTTTAAAATTAAAAACGTCTTATATCTTGAAAATGCCCGCGTTGCCATCGTAAACGAAAGCTCTTTGAACAGACATAACGATCCAGGGGCACAAATACAGGGTGACAAAAAGTAAGAACATACAGATTCTCATGGAACGTGATTCGAGGACTCATCTCTAGCATCTGTCGCGAACTTCTTCGCCCACGCAAAATATTTTCACGCTCTCACTGTCACCACGCGAGAACTTTGTATTTTAAGCGGGCAATTAACTCGTGCTCTTACTTGACCCTCCACAAAATGGCCGCCACTCACTAACTAGTAGCGGAAGACACAGACTTCCAGTACAGAGTACGTTTTTATCTCTTGTGCTAAAAATAGTGAAAAATCACCATTAGAATATCATAAAGATTTATCGAGTGGCAGCATTTATTATTAAATTATTTTTCAATCACGTTTCATGACGAATATGGCATCTTATATGTCCCATACAGATGGCAGCTCTGCGATGAAGCTTGTCGTTGACTTTTCAATAATAATCGATTTACAGAATTAATCATTACTGATAAGCGAATGGCGAATTGGTTAAATTTGATGATATCTTTACAAACTCATAGCTAAGAGTGATGAGTCAGAGCGAGGTGTCTCGAGGGCGTCTGCTAGTCGCAGTCTAAATTTGGTTACCTTAGCCAAGGGATTGTATTACGCGCGTGGGATACTCTCTAATATTTTGGGTGCCCGGACAACTAGGCCATCTTGTATATCTATGTATATATAACAGCTTCTCCATATCTACTCTATCGTTTGAATAGCCCTTCGCCATTAGGTAGAATGCAAAACATTATTAATGAATATTCCGCGAAGCGTACAGTCTGACGGTATACAGAGAATTTTCATATTTCGAAAAATATATGAATTTTTGTAGAATCGTGATTCATCTGAATTACCTAACCATTCGCATGATATAATTTTACTTTTCAAGGTTGTGTAGACATAATAATAAATTGGCGAACACGTGTAGCGGAATTTCGAGTTGCTATTTTTTCAAATTCAAGGGCAGGTTCATAAAGTCAAATATAAATTGGATAGAAAAAATGAAAAAATAAAAGAAAACTGAAATCAAATTGAAAAATTCCTGAAAACGAGTAAATGAGGGCTGGTAAGCATTGACCGTGTAGAAGGTCCCGTTTCGTTTCATTTCGAAAGCCTTGGCCGAAAGTCACAGCCATTCTGTTACGATGAATGAATGAATCAGGTTGTTCTGTCTTGTGTTCTCAAAAATGATAATTCAATATCAAATGCATAAATGCAGCGCCGTTAAAGTCGTTCAAAAAATCTAACTCGGTACGACTATGCATATAGATACAAGTGAATGCAAATAATAGAACATAGGTGCGTTGCACCGCGATTACATGCAGTGCATTGTTTGCGATTGGCCCTTTTGGCGAGCGTTTCGCGTCCGCGTCTATTTTTACGCGCGAAAACAAACGTAGGGGAAATATCGGCAGGGACATCGTCAGGAGGAAAGGATGATTGAAACGGCAAGCGAGACAAAGGAAGGAAAGAAATTTAATACATGAATAAAGAACACGATGACGAAATAGTAACTGTGTAAACGAAGTTTTTCGGATGGTAATTCGAGGAGTTTACGCAAATGTGCTTGGATGCTATAAAAGGAAAATTTCGAAGCGTCCGAGGGAGAAGGGAGAAATTTTCAAAGTGGGAATTGTGGTATGGCTACGCAGGTCAACGATCCCTTCTATATATACATTTTAGTAACAGTGCTGGGATATGGATTCTCTTCCTCCTCCGCATGCATTTTCTTATTTTCCTTATTTTCTCCTAAAAGCGAACAGAGCAGTCGCCATGGTACGGAAACTAATAAACGCTTTACGAAAAGAAAAAGAAAATGACTAGAATATTTTTTCGAACGCACGTGTCAGTTTCCACGGTTCACTGAAACCATAATGTATATAGTATACGTTTTCTCGGAACTTCCAAGTGACTTCGCCACGAGGTATAGTATACATAGCATAGCTATGTTGGCTTTGGCATTTATTTTCCTTGAAAAATTTTTGTAAATAAATTTTATTCATTTTAATACAATTTTTTCTTAGCTGACTTCGTATGATAAAATTATATTCATCTTGCAACAATTGCTTGGTCGATGACTAATGCTTGAATATGTAAGTGCAGGTAATGTAAGGATCGGAAAGACCAGCCAAAAATATGTCATAATGTGTCATTTTTTTAGTTTGCTGTGCCTAAAAAGAATTGTTTACGCTGCGCATCTAAAGTGCCGTGAGCACTCGACGTCGTGACACTTCTGACGTTTTCGAGATTTTACAAAAAAAATTATCCAATTAAAATAATAGCGTAAATAATAGTTGAAATTGTATAGTCTTTAAGAAAATTAATAAATTTTTATTTTCGAAATAATAGGGAGTCATTCTTAATTGGATGTTTTTTTGGTTTTTTTTTTCAGATGGAGCATAAAATAGCGTACCGCCAGTTGCAATGACTGACAGAAATTTATATGAAATAACCTCGGATTCAAACTCGCCGCTCTTCCGAGATGACGTTGATGACATCCGCTTGCCAGAAACATTTCAAAATGCTGTGAGAGGCGAAAAAAAGGAAGATATTCGCGGCAAAAATAGTAGCGTCGGTCGAAGTAAAAAATATCCTGCAATGATTCGTTATATCGTGACTACTATTTTTAAAACGAAATGGCCATCTAAAATTCGTCTCTTGATATTCCTACTTGAATTATTTAAACATCATTAGAATGTTTACCCGCCTATTATTTTCCTAGTTCATCTCTTTTTTGTTGTTCAAAAAAGAATTTTTCCATTCTCGTGTAATTCTCAGGGTTATATTCCAGTCCCAAATTAGCCGCCCATACCACACGCCTGATTCGTGGATAATAAATCCACCGGCGAATAATTTGCTTATTTGATTAAATATCCTCAAGATCTCAGTTTATAATAAATATCGAAAAATTGCATAAATTCAAGAATACCATTGAAAAATTTACCAGTATACGAAATGCATATATATATATAGCTAAAAATAAAAGCTAATTAAAGCAATAGCAGTGCTTGACAATCAGTAATAAGAATCCATTATAAAATCTAATAAAAAATGTATTAAATATATATCAATACAAAAACTATATAATTCATAATCGCATTGCATGTTGCTAAGGGATTTCAAAGATGAGGCTCGAAAAGTAGGTGCTAGATAAGAACTAAGGCTAACGTAAGTCCTATAGGTATGTATCTATGTAATCATATAGAAGGGTGACGTTAAAAATAGAAATTTGAGCAAGAATTTATTAATAGTAGATGAGTGTGTGCCGGCAATGGCAGGTTCCCGTTCCTCGGTGGTAGAGTCTCGTTTGCAGCCGTCCCCGTCCCTGGAGATCTCAACGTCCCTTGCCACGACAAGACCAACCTCGTTGACCCTCTCCGCGACCCCCTAGCCATGGAGCACTAACGTTCCGATGCACGTGCCGTGTGCAAACTTTGGTATGACTAGCCCGGTCGCGCGGCTCCAACAGCCATTCGAATCCAGTATTAGTGCGGTGTAGAGTGCGGTGTCCCTAGCTCCACAAGACCTCTTTCACCTTCGATCGATATATACCTAGTGGTGAGTACCAGAGTGCATCGGTACCTTCGTCGTCTGCCAACACATCGGAGACAGTGAGATATACGAACGGGAGATACTACTTGATACTACTCTACTGTGGCTTCACCCTCGACTTCATATTCGAACCAAGTTCCGCGGATACCTATAAGCAACACGTATGACCATACGTTTGCCTCTTCCACTGGCTCGTGTTTGAGTGCTCCTCGGCGCTCTTGCTACGGACTTTCTATCGTCGTCCATTCGTTCGTTCATTTAATCCTTCGCTCATTCGTTCGTGCGGACTTCGTTCGTACTCGGGTGTCTTCGGGTGGGCGCTGTGAGAGCGGAATCGCGTGCGGCTTAAGCGAATACACCACCCTGCGCCTGGCCTAATACGGCGTCGCTAGGCCGGCTTGTACCGATATAGATTCGCCATGTTACCGTTTCACGGAAATAGAACCAAACTCGAGCGATTGTTTACCTTTGAGATAAATCTTAGATAACTAATCGGTATATCGATCAAGCATCCTTGGATTTAATGATTCGACTACGATTTTCTTTTTATCGGTTTACTTTCCTTTCGTCTTTATTTTCTTGAGTAGACAGGCGGTTATTTCGATTTTTTTTTACACGTCGCCGAGTACTGCTCGGACTCTTTTTATTCTCTGAATTTTTTCAAATCATCAGAGAATCAACGAGAGCACGGCGACTGATCTCTCTCAATTTTCAGTATAAGCAAAATGCCTTTCAAGCCCGTGGAACACCCAAAATGCCCGAAATGCGGCAAGTCTGTCTACGCCGCTGAGGAGCGTGTTGCTGGAGGCCTCAAGTGGCACAAGATGTGCTTCAAGTGCGGTAAGTCTGCTTTTCGTACTACCAAATCAAATACTATTATATTCCTCGCGAGACTTTGTAGTACCATATACATGTCAAGAACGATCCATGATTTGTACAAGACAAAAGATATTAGTAAAGAACCATACAAGGTCGTATATGATAGTTAATATAATTTTGAGAAGTCAACTAGAGTCAAACTAATTGAATGTGAAGAAAATATTTTTGAGAATTTCAACAACGCAATTCATCATGTTACCGGGTGGGGGGTGTCTTGGTACGACCTTGCTAAAATAAAAATAGAAAAGTTCGTGTGAGGGTGTTACTGCCAGGCCAGGACTAAAAGTCCAAGGTGGCTTCCAGGTCTCTGCAGCAAATTGCTCGACTCGACGAACTGCTCCGAGCACGAGGGTGAGCTCTTCTGCAAAGTCTGCCATGCGCGCAAGTTTGGCCCTAAGGGTTACGGATTCGGAGGTGGCGCTGGATGTCTGTCGATGGATCAGGGCGAGCACCTGAAGAGTACCGAGTGAGTGCGCGTGCCAGCTCGCCTGTCCGGGCTCTCATCCTACCCCCTATGTACATTACCCTTCGCCAGAAAGAAACGACAAAACAAGCAAAAAGAGCCAGCCAAAAAAAGAAGCCCTGATCTCCCACAACCCCCTCAAAAAAAAAAGGAAAGAAAGAAAGATTGGAAGAAAGATAGAAAGAAAGAAAACAAGAAAGAGAACGTATAACAAAAGAAAAATAAGCAAGTGAGCAAGAAAATCATAAACCAGATCGTGAATGAATTGCCTCAATAAAAGTACGAGATATTCGAAAGACAGATTATTAGCATTTAAAAACCAAATAACATCAAAAAATGGTTCTCAAAAAAATCTCGTACCATCTGCTAGTGATAACGACAGCATCGTCTTATAATGAAAAATTCGTTTTTCTTAAATTAAAAAAAAAATCAATCTCTACTTGACCATCTTTCATCCAAGAGTATCTCTTTCTTGCTCGCTCTTGCATTTTCTCTATGTCAATCTCTCTCTCACCAATACCCCTTCTTTATGTTACACAAACTTGGATTCTTGTTTTCTCCCCCCTCTTTCACCCTCTCTCTTTCTATCTCTTTACCTCAGTCTTTGTCTGTTTCACTGTTACTCATTTTGTCATATTCTCTTTTCGATATCCCTGAGAATTTTTTTTTGAGGAGGCCCGTCGCACGGTCATCAGAGGCTATTTACCCTTAGATCTTAGGACCATTTGTACCATCTGTATTAAGGCCACGTTGATTAATAAATAACACTCGATTGTGTGCAAAAATACCGGATAATAATTGTTGCGATGAACGCTCTACCACCATACCATACCATAATATTTTCTCTATACATATTATATACCAAGTTCACGACCGCCAACCATGTATCCAACTATATGAATCCTGCCTCGTTATTCCCATGCCTGTTCGATGCCCAAGTATTCTCGTTACTGAGTATGTGTCCCGCCAGCCCCGCCGAGTCAAGCCAATCTCAAACTGGAGGATAAATAGTAACCCGAATCACACCCACAAACACATTCACGTACACGGTGAGCACCGATCTTTCCGATCCGAGTGGCGATCGTCTTCCGCTTCCGGTCGATATATATATATATATATATATTCATATACGTGCGTATATATATATGTATTCTCCTGCACGGCCTTATTGATCTATACGAACCTTCTTTCTAACATCTTATGGCTAACCCAATGATGGCTGTTTACCCATTACCCACCACGCACTACCTTAACTTATGTCGATCCGGTGTCATCGAGACAGAATTCATATATATATATATGTGTATATATATATATATATATATATATTTTTACGTATAAACGTATATCATACATTTATGTATATCTATATGTATATACGTATATATATTATATATATATCTATATAAATTATCCTTCTGATCCGCTTCTTGGCTCTCCTATCAGGGGCTCGGCGGATGCCACGTGCGTGGCTGGGGACTCTAACAGTAAACTAACATTCTCTAATCTCTCTAATGTCTCTTTGTAATTACTTTCTCTCTTTGATCCTAGGTCACTCGTTACTTTATTCTTTAGTCACACTTATTCGTCCGATCGTATATTACCACTTAACTCTATACGAAGACAAATAGAGATTTTCTAGCGTGACAAGAATTCCAAGAGAGCGAATGTTCATGCATATTTTATTTTTGTTGGGTTTGCCATTTTATTTTGATTTTTGAAAAATACATCTGTTCGTAGACGAGCGTAAAATCGGACGAGCTGACTAGAGAAATAGCTGGTAAATAGCTTCGGTGAATTTTTCAAAATTTATCTTTCAGTTCGATCTTGTGACATTAGAAGGATTTATGTATTGGATAACTTTATCGTAGTAGGAGAAATAATAAAGAGAAACGAAAGTAATAAGTACTGTGACCAGTCCAAGATAACTCCATATGACATTATAATTAATCAACTACTCTCGTATGCCTAATCAAATAACTTTCTAAATCCGTCTGACTCTTTCTGTAGTTAGTTGTCGGGTGATTTCGTTTTGCTTCCTAGTGATATGCGTAGTGGCTCATTGAGTTAATGATTGTTGTTCAATGAATTGTTAGGATAATGGATTATTTTTGACAGGGGAAACAGAGGATCGAACGCCATGCTCGAATCAAGGGCCATTGCTAAGGCACCCGAAGGTGAAGGCTGCCCCAGATGCGGAGGATACGTCTATGCAGCTGAGCAAATGCTCGCGAGGGGACGTGTAAGTATCCTTGGAAAGAGGATTGCTTTCGGAGGATCTGGTGCCACGTCCTATATATAAGTTTCCACGAGCTGCGTCAATTGAGCCAGTTCTAATTTTCTAATAGTAAGTAGAACGGGGCTAATTTGATCGAGTGATGAAAGAACGTAAGGATATCACGAAAATAAGCGTCGAACATGTCGCACCCGCGTGGCGCAGTGCCAAGTATTAAACGAGCGCAGTTTCCTTGGTAGGATGACGATGGCACCCGGTCCAGGAAATGATCCGCGACGTACTTGAGAGATCGGAAAATTTTTGTTATACATAATTTTTAAAAAAAAAATGAAGGAAAAATAGCGAGAGATAAAAAGTCACCCTTGTTGGGGACTTTTTCTCATTAGGGCTACCATAGGCAATGCTTCAAGTGCAAAATGTGTCATCGGAGTCTTGACTCTACTCTGCATTGCGACGGTCCTGATCGAGACGTGTATTGTCGAGGTATCGTCGAGAGTAAATTCATGTACCCTCTGTTGGAATGTAATTTTTCATCCCTTGCTGTTACGGATATACCCCAATTCTTTTACATCCGACTTCATCGCGTGTTATTATTAGAATGCAGTGTCCAGTTAATGGCAACCAAAGTGACTCACTATATAAGGACAGTACAATTTTTATTGTTTCTTTGTGACTGAGATTTACGTATTTTTATTAATCTTTTATTCCCCTTCAATCTACCTTCGAACTTTCATCGAGTGACTAACACGTACCTCTGTGTTCATCTTAGCAATGGCACAAGGAATGCTTTAAGTGTGGTGCCTGCTCCAAGAGGTTAGACTCTGTCAACTGCTGCGAAGGTCCCGATAAGGATATCTACTGCAAAGGTAAGATGGCGCCTTCCGGAAAGGTAGCAATATAAGAAGAGCCACTCACTTTGTAGTACACTGTGGAACCATAATTAATGAATATCATTATACAGTGTGCTATGGCAAGAAGTTCGGACCTAAAGGTTACGGTTACGGCCAGGGTGGTGGCGCCCTTCAAAGTGACTGTTACGCGAACGGGTGGGTTCACCAGATAACCAGTTTATCAGTTTATCAGCTTCTCGGCTAAAGACGGAGCTTTCTTAGGATACGCTTTCATTAATATCTCTTCCTTCTTTTTCTTATATATACAAATATCCAAAGTACATAAACTAAAAAAATATAAAAAAAAAAAGAATTATCACAAGAAAAATTGACAAGAGCTTACTTAACGCTGATTCACGATGCTGCTTATCTTGTCTGCTTAACAGCTTGCTATCCGAAGAAATTCGGCCCCCGAGGTATTGGCCATGCAGGGCTTGTTTGGATCGGGCTACAGTGCGATATCGAGGATGAGGGGTACGCACACCCCTCGAATCTTTTTATTTGTCCTCAGCTAATGCTTTGCCGTTGACGTTATTCTCCCTTTTGTTTTTTTTATCCATTCAATTTTTATTCTATTATTCGCAATCGTAGCACTGCATCTGCAGTGACGGTAATGGCTACCACCTAGCTTGGAGCTTTTCTCATCCTTCAGTATAATAAGTCCCGTTTACTGTGTGGAAATAGAAAAGAAGAGCAATAAGTTTGTTACTAATTAATATGCTCCTTGGTGGCTAATTTTTTTCATAAGAATACCCAATATCATTTATACTGAGCGACGATGATCATTTATAGCGACGCTGCTCCTCGTACAACGGTGATCGACACTGCCATTATCAAGGCACCCCCTGGCAAAGGGTGTCCTCGTTGCGGTGGGGTAGTATTCGCCGCCGAGCAGGTATTAGCCAAGGGTAGGGAATGGCACCGAAAGTGTTACAAGTGCCGTGACTGTACCAAGACCCTGGATTCTATCATCGCCTGCGACGGTCCCGACAGAGACGTCTACTGCAAGACCTGCTACGGCAAGAAATGGGGACCTCACGGTTACGGTTTTGCCTGTGGATCAGGATTCCTGCAGACCGACGGCCTCACGTGAGTTACCTTACAGACAATTATTCATTTGTATTTCCATCCTAACGCGTATCGCACGACAACGTTAACTTGAATTTATCTGTATTAGGGAGGATGAAATCTCGGCTAACCGACCATATTACAACCCGGACACTACCTCCATCAAGGCACCAGCTGGTCAGGGCTGCCCTCGTTGTGGCGGCATGGTCTTCGCTGCTGAACAACAGTTAGCCAAGGGTACAATGTGGCATAAGAAATGCTTCAACTGTGCCGAATGTCATCGACCATTAGATTCCATGTTGGCTTGCGATGGACCCGATAAGGAAATCCACTGCCGTGCCTGTTATGGAAAACTCTTTGGACCCAAAGGATTCGGTTTTGGACACACACCCACTCTTGTTTCTACGAACGGTGACCACACTGCACCATCTTTGTGAGTGTCTGATCTAACGTCAGTTTCTCAAATCTCAAGTGTGCAATTAAATAATACAATTTTAATTGTAGTATGGACTCCAAGCCTCAACTTGGCCAGAAACGCAATGATGGACACGGATGCTCCCGCTGCGGTTATCCCGTATACGCGGCTGAGCAGATGATCTCGAAGAACCGTGTCTGGCACAAGAGATGCTTCAGCTGTGGCGAATGTCATCGTTCTCTCGACTCGACGAACCTGAACGACGGACCCGACGGCGATATTTACTGCCGCGGATGTTACGGACGCAACTTTGGACCTAAGGGAGTAGGTTTTGGCATGGGAGCAGGCACTCTTTCGATGGCCTAGGTAATAATCTAGGAACGGTGACATATGAAAGCAAGATCCAATATCATCCCTTAGATAGGACCCCATTCTTCCTTGCACGATATCCAATCCCGCTCCTGAGTCCTAAAAATTGTTTTCCATTCTGCAAACCTTTTCACCTAGATCCCTAATATTTTCTTTTGCGATTTTCTTTATTTTTAACAAAAAAAAAAAAAAAAAAAAAAAAAAAAAAAAAAAAAAAAAAAAAAAAAAAAAAAAAAAAAAAAAAAAAAGAAACGAGTACGAACGACCAGCTGGATACTGATGCCCGACCACATCGATACGTTGAACTTCGTTTTGATTTTCTTCTTTTTTTTATTACTATTGACCGCACTGCTACGAGATTCGAAGAGTCATACCATTCGTGTACTCATATATTTTAACGAGGGCGTATATACATATATTTATTGTGTATTGTCGACTAGTCCAAAGCGATTATTTTCAAATAAATATTTTTTTGAAAGCCCCTTGCTGACCAATCACGCTCTTCCCAGCCAACTAGTTTTACCTTAAAAATTTCACTCATGAATGAGGTGAGGTAGATTTATACACATGCTTATTATTAGGTAAAAATCATAGTGATAAGGACAGAGAAATTAATTGTAAGATAGTGATCAACGCAAGTCGAATAGGCGACTAGAAAAAGTACGAGTGTGGTGTAAAACACTAATTTTATATATTTATAGCAACAACTGTACAAGTTCCAGTCACACATAATGATATAATATTATTTAACCTTAACAATTATTACGGGAGCAATGGTAGGGTATTCTGAGTAGGCTGCTATCGTCGGACGATAAAATCAAATCTAGATTATATCGAGATGAGTTCTTTGAGAAGACCTGATATGGCTAAAGGTAAAAGTCAAAATGGGCTCATAAGATCTGAATGATCCAATGCCAGTGGTAGATCGTTCTTACTGGAATATTATTGAATATTTTGACATTATGTTAATTCTTTTCATAGACGTGCATTGGACGTTAATTCGTTTCATAGTCGTTAAAGGGACATCGATGGAACATTTCTTTTTGCTAGTTAGATTTCTCAGGACAGAGAATATTCCATAATTTTCCAAGCGTTCCAAATATTAATCTAGTTCATATGGCAGTTTCCGAGAGTTCTGGACAAAAACCATCAGTTACAACAAATTTTCCAAGGAATATAGTTCTGCGTAAAAAAAATTACTTCACGCCAAAGAACACAAGAAAGATTATAATCATGCTCACCGAGGATATGCAACCTACTCAAGGAATAACGAACTGCAGGGTATGAGGAGTCTATTTACATTACCGGACGAAGTCAGTTAATAGAGGTTGGCGGTTTTGAGTGGCAGTGGGTCGAGAAGATACGGCGGCAGCGCAGCGCTAAACGGCCTAGGGCTACAGGATCCCCATGAAGCAGCATTTCCACCACCACCGCCGCCATTACCGCGGGTATTTGGCGAGCCCGATTCGCCATCAGCATGTTTCACATTTACTAAACTCGCACCCGAAATAGGCTTTATCTCAGCCGAAGAAACAACGCCACCCGGTGGCGTCGCAGGGCTTCTCGGCGAACGGCCTTCTGCTTTGACGTTCCCAGATACTGGACTAGAGGCGCCACTGTCGCCTCCAACGCCTTGCGACGACGATTTCTGCTGGGCTAGACGTTCCTGCTTACGAAACTTTGCTCGTCTGTTCTGAAACCACACCTGAAACACCAGGTAATTGTTTGTAACGTACAAAGAGACTGGCGTTATAAACTATAAAATGGAAGCAATAAATCGTAAGACATCATTTTATTAGAACATACCATCAACTATGTCATTGGCGGTTTCGCATAGATAGTATATTCATGTGTGGAGTGAATAGCAGAGGGTGGCAGGCTGACTCGTAATTGGCCGTAGTCGGCAAATAAAATATTTAACGAATAAAACAAGCGAAGCGCCGGTGACCTGCATGTTAAAGTAGCAGGTTTATTTGCTCGGGTGTTCGTCTGACCGGGGGCTGGTTAAAGGGGGCTGGCGAAACGGGTGGAATAACGGGGTTCGTCGGTGGGGAGTTTGCGGGGGGCGAGAGAGAGCGAGCGGGACACCATGATGAACGTGATTGCCCTTTCCGGATGGCAAACACTGCTATTGGATTTTTATAGACTGTCCCGTCTCTCCGACGTTCATCTGCACACATTCCGCACCGCATCCAACATTCCTGAAAATATCTCTATAACCGTCATACGTGCACGTCAATCCGGACTGCATCAAACTTTAACAGTCATAGATTTACACGTAAAATCATGGTTATTCCTTGGCTGTTAAATGACAATAAAAAAAAATCATAAAACAGTATGAACATAGTTCCCATGTATTATAAAAATATTAAGGAATATAATATCACCTAAATAAATAAGTGATGTTTTAAAAATGTATTAATAATATTATGACCATGAACTACGCATGATACTATTACTCCGCTGATACATAGAGTATAAAGTATGCACAAGTAAAGGTTAATAATCTCGTACTTGGCTGATCACCAAACCTTAAACGGTAGGCGGAGCGATACATGTGCTAGTATTTGGCCACGGATATAAAAGTAAGGTTAGGGACGGCGAGTTTCGAGGGTGTTAATGTTAAATAAATACTTGGCTAAATAAAATGTAACAAGGCGCCATGACAGATGTAGCCCCCTTCGTAGATAAATATTTAATCGAGGCCTTTATACTCGTTGCCGCTTAGCCACGACACCATCACCCCATACAGAAACATCAGTATGACCCCCCCTAGTCCGAGACAAGGGTGGACCACACAGACAGACATATTCATCTATACAGTATATTGAAATATACCAAACTATACTGACATTAGTTAACGCCAGAATACCCGGGGGTTACTCTTCTCAAATTCGAACTTCAGTTTCTGCTCTAGGTACTACATATCCCTATGTCCATACCGTAACAAAGCAAACACCGCAACATCTGCCCTCGACTTTTCATCCCTTCGTTTCAGGGTGCGAGATTAATACGATAGAGAATCAGGAATTGCCAGAAGGTGAATCGAAGGTATTGGTATGCAGCCGGCGATCTCTGAACCTTCTACTTGGTTCCTTACTTTTGTCTCTAAAGAGATTTACAGGATTCACCCTTTTTCTCACGTTTCACCTTTGATTTCTTCAGATTTACTTTACTCTGATCATTGTGCCATTCGCATCGTCCAATTCTACGGTATCGTAATCACATTACCTGAAACATAAATGTACGTCTGTTGAGCCAAGAAGCACGAGACTCGTCACTTCGCTTGTCACTTAGGCCAATAGATCTCTCACGCAGGGTCTGCATCTGCAGAACACGCTACTCGTTCGGAAACAAAGACTGAAGCTGGCAGTGTAAGAGGGTGCTGGAGTTACAATCCAATCGGAAAGTGAAGAAGTACCGACATTTTTCTTGGATAATTAATCGTGAACGAGCGAAGGGAAACGAGCAATCTAATCAAGGAATGCGTGTGACTCGGTGAGCACGTGTGCAGTAGACGACGTATGGGGAGAGTCTGTATATGGAGGCAACTGAAGCCAAGTCTTAATTACAGGATTGTCGCAGGCACTGTCACTACTGGACAGTGTTTCCCGTATGAACTCTATCCAGCTGATTCGAACCCTCTTACAACACAGTTCCATCGCTATTATCTCATTTTCATTACTCTGACGGTTTCCAATCAACCGAAGTGTAAATGACGATTTAAAATCAATTTATAATCGACAGTATCGTTCGAACCAGCCTGGATTATTGTCGTAAACAAGATATGACAAAAACTAATGTATTAAATTACAAACATACTGATAGTACAGAAATGCGATTTTGAATCTTGACGATATATACAATTTTGAGTAATCCGTCTTGGAGATTGTCTGTCGTGCTGCTGATATCCTGCCTGTTACGGTAGTTATTGTTTGTGAATCTTTTCCTATTGGTTCCCGAATTTGCTCGATGTGACATGTAATTGTTTTGCCTTTGCAAATGGTCAGCCTGATTGTTTTTTGGTACATTGTATGAGTGGTTGCTATTATATTCCCTTCGACCATGTGATTGGGATCGATTATGGTGTATGTTATTGTTACGTCGGTAACTGTCATCTGTACATCTATTGAAAAATCTCTTCTGTCGATGGTAAACGTCGTTACATACTCCACGTGGATTTGAACCTATCTGACTTTTTTATTGAAGCATGCCTATTTTTCCTGTATTCCCATGCAGTTAGTACGCGATTAATGGCTTCTTTGAGATTCTTTGGATTTGCCCAGCCGACTTCACTTTCTACATCTGAGTTTCGTAAACCTATATTAAAACTTCCAAGTGCTTTTTGTTCTAAACATTTAATGGACGCTGATGCCATGACAGGCGGGTTATTAGAAGTAATAATTTTTTTCGCATTGATAACCGCGTCTGTGATTCTACTTTCAAATTGTAGTGGAGTTTCGTAACGTTCTTGCTTGACTGTAGCTAATTCTTGTCATTTAAATTCTGATAATTTTCGACAAAATAGTTTTTTCATTTCTCGTAAGAGTGCAGTGTTTCTCTATGGTCTCGAAATTTCATACTTCTTTGTCTGCATGCCCGAGTACCTTTAATCTGATCACTTTGACTAGTACGGGTGCTACCATGTCATTGGCGTGGTTGCATACTCTGATAAAGGAGTCTGCTGTAATATTTCTACCTATCAAGGTAGATATTATGCCATACAATTCTTTAGCCGAGAACGTTTGTCTGTCCATGTTCTCTGTGTTCCCCTCAGTAAGGCTCATGACGGGGTATGCGTGTGTATGAAATTTATAGTTGAAATTGCTCTTAGTTGATGCTCGAGTTATTATAACTTGCAGAACGACTGCCAGGATTTGGTTCATGAAGTTGGTACTTGTGTTGGTCTTCTTGCATGGCCAGGGTTACAACTTGCTGATTTTCCTTATGCCGCTCCGCTGCCGTCAGTATTTAGTATGGTCGGTAGTCAAACTATACACAGTGTGAACCCAGGCTCAGGAATCGAGTTTCGAAATATATTCAAAAGGATATCTTCCTCGAAGGAGATGGCGACGAACAATAATTGTAGGGCAGCCCCGATAGGTTTATTTGATGAACTAATTCACCACAGCAGGATTGCGGTTAAAAATTATTACCCGAATAAGCGTTGATGTTAAACGCGAAACTGAGCAGTAAAACTGAGCGTAAGGGGCATTCTGCTCCCTTGTATTTATAGTAAAAATCCGCAGACTAGCGGGATAAGGAAGTAGTGGTTGGATTCGTAATGTGTCAAAGGTTGTGCGTGCTGTTCTTTGGCGTTTGTTGGGACAAGGATGTCAAGGGCTGGAAGAGCCAGAGTCAGTTACGGGATGTGAATTTTTCATTAGCCCAGGTACAGGTCGTGATCGCCGAATCCTTGCTGTTGGTTTGGGCAATTGTCTTTCACAATGTGGCGTATGGCATCACACCATTTAGTGCAAAATATTGTGCTATATAAAGAAATTCGAAATTACATGGACAGTATTAGGTGACACCCATGTAAAAATTCTTTTTATAATTTCAGCCTACTTCGAGTGATTCTAGACTTGGTTTGACAGTTGTTCCGAGAAAAATTTGTCTCGTACATATATATATATGTTGTTGTGCGAGTGTGCTATTTGGATTTGTATAACTTTTAAGAATTAAAAGTACTAGACTTTTTCCCATGGAGCCCCATAAGCTCGAAGAGTGTTATCATTCAAGGATAGCCGAGGGAAACGAGCAGTAGCGTAGATGACGCTCAGCAGGACAGTTTTTAATCACTCTAAGTGGATCTACATAGTACTGGCAATTACTGTAGCACACTTGTGCATGGGCCCCATGGGTTTACCATGGTTCGGTGCTCTCCCAGAACTGCTACAACGTTCTCTCGCTCTTTTGGCACCTCTGACTTCTCACTCTCTGAAATGTTACAACCCTCTGAACTACCTTCGTACCTTCCCCGTTAGAGCTCTCACCCTCTTTCAATGTGACTTTAGTTATAGTTGAACCCTCTTGCTGGAGGGTGCCATCATAACTGGCACCCTTCCTTTGAAGGATTCGCCAACACTGGTGACACGAAAAAAAAGAGAAAAAAAAGAAAAAATTGCATCATTCGAATTTTTGAAGTTAAGCCTGAACATGTTACTTCACTCGCTAAACACTCTTCGTATTAGGCACCTACTCCTACTAGACACACTGTATTAAATATTCCTCATGAAATTCTCACAAGCCTTAACCCTGTAACCAGTTGTGTCTGTATATCAATGTATTAATATTGTACAGTGCCATGCAGACTTCGCATGTACATTATTAATGTAGAAAATTGAGGAATCCTCCCTGGAACTGGGATGAAATCAATCGGTCTCCCATGTAGAGCAAGACCCAAGGGATTTTAGTCCACGCTCTTGCCTCGGTACGGATGTTACACGCCGCAGGAGCCTCACGGAACGTATCGCGTTTATTATGTGCGATGCTGCCGCGTGGCGGCAGGCGGCACACTTGCCAGTCCTGACTCACCAGTCATTCCCTATGAATTACAATTCCATTAATCTGCCTTGTGTTGTGCATAATGTTCACCGTGATATATACCCATGTTTCGTATCTATCCCTATATGCCGAGAAAGGGCCTGGAACGACCCTCGACACGATTGATTTACAGGGTTCTCAAGTGGCCAGCCAGTGTCATTGCATTGTGCTTAGAACTGTAACGCATACTTCATCGAACAGTGCGAAAGGGCACTAGAACGATTGTAGTATGAAGTAAAAATTTTTTGAAAATTCATAAAAATTTTTGTATTTTGAAAAAAAGGATTTTAAGACTGTGCTCGCCATTTCTTGGGATTTAGATGGCAGAGATTAGTATGGTGCAATAAGGTAAAAGTAACGTAAGCAAAATCGTACTGGTGGTTGAGATGAGATGAGAATGGCAGAGAAAAGAGAAGAGAAGAAGAGAGAGAGAGAGTGAATGAGTGAGAAAGTCCTGGGGACTGTGACGGGTGGGAGTGGCGGAAGAGTGACAGAGAGAGAGGGAGAGGAAGAGGAGGGGAGAGAACGAAGAGCAATGATGGCGGCTGTGAGGGCGCTAGGCCAACAGCAGCGAGCAGCACCTATGGAGGAAACACAGTGTGGCGCTTGCGAGAGGAGAGAGGAGAGCGAGAGAGCGAGAGAGGAGGAAAAATTTATCGAGCAGACGCCATGACAGAGAGAACGAAGCAGAACGACGAATGGCGTGGCGTGTGCCATGGCCAAACGGCCAATCGGCGTCCGAGACGAATTAAAGGGACGCACGGGCAAAGGGCTGCTGCGGCAGAATGATTGAGGGAATCGTACGAGAAACAAGGAGGAGGGAGGAAGAAGAAATAAAAAAGAGTACACGTAACGTGACAACCAGGACAAAGAAATTCGATAAGAATTTTTTCAAATTTTTTTCAACTTTTCTTTATCTTGTCCTACGATAATTTTTTTTCAAATTAAATAACAAAGATTTGATATTTAAAGAAATTGTAAATATCGATAAATTGGAGAAATATCTTTGACAATGATATTTCAGGTTTACTTCTATATTCAGATGTTGCATTCAACTACGCCATTAGCCAAGTGGACGCAAGAGCCCTTCAAGGTGATTTTGCCTTGGAAATGAATGGTGGTCGCCGTGCGACCGCAAACTACTAGAAAATTGATTGTTACGCTCTCCTTAATTATCCTGCGGCCAAGGATACACCCGTACACCGTCCATTTTCATGTTTCTGCGGGCTGTGGGTATTCCAGGCCCGGGGGCACCCCTTTCGCTCAGCCGGACCAAATGCAGTTGGACTACTTGGATTTTCCTGAATCTGATTTATCCGCTTTGAGTAAGAGTCTATGTGCCGTTCCCACTTTGTACCTAAATTTATACCTAATTTCAATTCCACATTGATTTTGGGCGAAATTGTTTCTGGCTACTTGAACAAATAAATATTAAAGAAAGGCTATGCAGAAACTCCAATACTACCCATAGTAATTGGAGTGGCAATTATATATATATTTATATATATATATATACATTGATTCGATATTTATGCGATTTCCTTTCATAATAATATATAATTGAATAGAAACTAAATTATTCCGTTGCATCGATAAAGCTTTTCAGTTTCTCTAAGAGCAAAAGCGGACTATGTGATTATGACAATATTAAGTAAAAACCCTTTAATATAGTTAAGAACTCTTAAAAAATATAATTATACAGTAGACATTTTTTTCGTAAAATCTAACAAAATCCCCACTGGACCTATATAGGTATACCCAGGAGCCCAACGAGTCCTCGATTTTCAAAATGAAATTTCTACTAGTATAATGAAACACATCAAATAAAAGTGCTAAAACTGGTACCTTTAGGTCAGTCAATTGTCACTAGCATATTCGACAGATCAGTACTGAGAGCACCTTGTACTATTGAGATTATTCCAAATATAATTCTCTGCAATAATGGCATTCAGGATTGCCTTAGAATTTTCTCGTAATGTCACGATGTTAAGACGTCCGATCATCCGGTTATTCTCCGTTCTATTCTCGCGATTGATTAAAAATTCATGAAGTCTTCACGAAATCGAGTAAGACAGATCATTTCCCATTTCTGTCTGTCCATCATATCCGACTATTCAACTTTTTGGTATATAAAAAGAAATTACAATTTTTGCCCATCCTCAAATAGTGCATACCATTTTTTTGGAACGTTTTCTTAACCTTCAACCGACAGACTCACTAGCGTATCTCTAAGGTGAATAAAACTGATGTTCTTTATAGGTAAACGTGGATACCGTAGAATATAGTGATCTGGCAAAGAGCATGGAGAGGAAGAAGAGTTCACGATAATCCGTCAAGAACGTTGGGCAATATAATCCATCAGGTCTTGACTGGCGGCAGGTGCCCTGCGAGAACGAACGCGGCGGACTCCTAATTTCATTAGAGCTTCCCTTCTGCGAGGGTGGTACCAGAAGAACGGGACAGAAGGGGAAACCGTGGAGGAATGGACGTACAATCTTTCATTCTATGCCGAAGTCATAAAGAATTCTTGAAAAGAGAATCTGGGTGCTATGAGGATCTTTGAAAATAATATTGAACCGAAGGTTCGATGTAATACCATTATCCTGTATGTATTTATATATAATATTTTATCGTTATCCCTCACCTGTACTCTGGCTTCCGTAAGGTCGATTTTCATGGCGATTTCTTCACGCGTGTAAATGTCTGGATAATGGGTTTCTTGAAATGCTCGTTCCAGTTCCTTCAATTGTGCTGACGTGAAGGTTGTTCGTATCCGACGCTGTTTTCTCTTCTCCGCAAGACCATCGTGACCGGAATATGCTTTGTATCCTAATCCACCTTTAAATTTAAATGATTGTCATCAACACTTGGATAATTCAATTTTAAGGATAGTTGGACTATGGCGGTGACCAAAATTGTTCAAATTAGCTCAGATTGGTAATTAATTTCGTCATCTTTCCTTAATGTCACAATTTTATCGAGAAAATTATTATTAACTTAGTACGCACTCTAGAAAATAGAAAACAAAGCTCAAATATTCAGTTCAATCAATTTTATAAGCATGTTAAGTAAAGTCTCCAAAAAATGGCTCATTCGTTACGTTTTGTACACATTTCGTGAATACTATTGATTATATCACATTGGGCTTTTGTGGAGATTCTAATCTGTATTGCAGGCATGTTATTGGTTAATGATTATTACAAACCATGAAAACGAAATTTTTCACACTTCACTTAATATGCTCGTATAATTGGTTGAATTTGATATTTGAGGTAAAATTTGTTATATTTTCTACAAAGGTTAATAAGTTAATACTAATTTGCTTAATTAATATAAACTAAAGGAAAGGCGACAAAATGAATTACAAATCCGAGTTAAATTTGCACGATGTCGGCGAGCGTCGATGTTTTACTTCCCTTATATATATATATATATATATATTTATATTTCATATAAAATTAACAATCCTCTTATTTGGATTTCAAAGTTTCTTAATAAACACACACTGAAAAAGGGAACTGAACAAACTTCTAAATACGTACGAAAATTGAATTAATAACGCATAACTAATTTCTAGATATTCCATATATAAAACAATTGCTACATCTTTACTGGATAGGATTATGAACAAGATTAACGTACGATCTGCAAGATTTTCAAAGAAAGCATCAAATTCGTTGGTGACGTATAGTAAAAATGTAGATGTAAGGATTTCTTAAAGTCCTAGTAATTCTTTGTTTTTTGTAACTAGCACGGGACTTTCAAGGATTGAATGGCTGTCAGTATCTGATTTCTTGCCAATATCCAAACACGACAAGAAGAATAAAGCTGTTTTCGAATGTCGTGCAAGTTGCAGTAATACTCGAACGTGGAGTAGCTGAAATTGGTTCTAGGATAAAGATAGTAAATGCTGGATAGTGAAGTTACGTGCAGTAGATACCAACGCCGACGAAGAGGTTAGAAGAGAAAGAGGAGGTTTGGCCATAGCAGTGAGGAACGTAACCATAGCAATGACTACGAGAAGGCAGAGTGTATGAGAGGGAGGTTATGTATGCCAGAGAAAGGAAGTGAGGAAGGAGAAGGGTAGTGTGAGGGCGAGTGTGAGAGAGAAGAGACATCCATTGATTTTCAGTGCCATCTTGTCGTCGCTTCTCCTCCAAGCTGCCTACCGACCAGGACGGCTTTCCCGTACTATCCTGACTTCTTTTATTCTTCTGCTTGACTTCCTCACGTCGATGGTCAAACTACCTCTCCCTAACCTCACTTTCTTCTACTCTCCTTAAGCTCTCTCAGTTTCTCCCATTCTGGTCGAATTTCTTAGAACGAGCTTTCTACTTCTCGAGACGCGAATTAATCCATGAGGAATTTTACATAACGAGAATTGTAGCTCGAATACTTGCGAAACTCTCCTAAACAGCTTCATTATTAAAGGATGCTGGAATGAATTTAACACGAAGGAGGTAACGAGAACGATAAGTATGATTAGGAAGAGGATTCTTCCTGCGGGCCTGTTTTACCGACTGAACAGTGTAAATTGATACTTATAGAATTTATATAGCGTGAAAAGAAGAAGTTTAATAATTAGCACATCCCTGGTACAGGGAGATAATATATTTGTAATTAGAAGTAAAAGAAGAAATGGGAGATGCTGAGGAAGTAAATGATCGGTACTGATAATGAAAATATTTCAAAGTAAATTATTGAGCGAGCATGCTAATAATAAGTCTAGCATTAATAATTGAATTGATAATTTCATTGAATACCTGATATAGTTCATAGTGTTCACTCACCCTGTAAATTAATAGCCGACGGAAAGATCGAAGCCGCGTGCCGATGGACATCTTGCGACCTAGCAGCCATAACGGAGCATGGTGTAGAATGGGCACCATGATGTGCATGTGCATGGGGATGGGTGGCATGATGGGAACCAAGAGGAGCACCACTTCCCGTACCAGGTGTACCTGAATTACCTGGATAACCAGCAGCTCTCGCCGCAGTGTATCTGTACGCGGCTTGACTCATTTGGGAGCAAGAGCTTAAATCGCCATAACCACATTGCATCTCCGATGCAGCCAAAGCGCAACTGGATGCTTCAAAACCAGCTGCAGCCGCAGCCGCAGCTTGGTTTAGATACGAATAGTCCATTGCGAATATGATAGTTCCTTGCCAGTTGCCGACGGGACCCCGTCCCTCAGGATCGGTTGCCTATACCCTTTTACAAAATTGTAACAACTTCCAACACTGGATATCCTGGTACCGATTGGAATGGACCTCCAAGAATATATAAGGTCAAACTTCGATGTCGTCGGTCGTCAAATTTGAATGGACTTTCAGATGCACGATGGCCTTTACAAGTTATTGATCACTGCACCAATTGATCCGCCACTGATTTCTTTTTTTTAACGACACTCCGCGTAACAACTGATCCCTATTACATAGATTCTCTTATAAAAATCACGTCGTCCAGAATACTCAAATTCAGGATCCAAAAAAGCTGAGTTTTTTTTATCGAAGCACTTGGAATGTTTCGACCACGTTTTTGTAAGAGTTCACGAGGTCCTCCTGACGGGTCGGCCTGGCTGAGGCGAGGTTCGCGCCACCGGCGGCCTCGGCCCGCACGGCCAGAAGAAAACCGTCGGCTGCTCTCTCGACGGGCACCTTCCACGAGTAAAGGGTGTCTCTCCACCTATGTCTTACTCTCTCTTGATCGTGCGCGATCTTACTCTCCCTCTCTCTGCCTATTTGAACCTATCCTCTCCTTGGCTGTCTCGCTCTCTCCCTAGACAGGTGGCTGGCCCTCTCTCGTTCTCTCACGCTCTCCGTCCCTATTGCTCTCTTGTTCTCTCTCCGGGCACAACGAGGTTATGAAGTAATCGGATCAGCGATATCAAATTATTGCGATTATCCGTGATAGCCAAGTTTTTCGTCCCGCTAAGAGCGCCCGAGACAACCGACTGGTGGGTTTCCTCAAAATCAAATGATAAGCTTAATTCAATAACGGTGGAGGGTGTACTAGGGGCGGTACTAACCCCACGCTGACTTCGTACTACCCTTAGTCGAGATGGGAGACTCCTATTGGTTCAGTAGGAACCATCCTTGAAGCATGCGTAACCATTGGAACGCCCAACAACCCCCTAGTGTGGTCTGCCTTCGTTAGTCCTCATTCTATGTTGTTCTTGTATAGGTATCTACCTACACTCCACCTACAGTCGGCTATTCTCTTCTTGGAGCCATCCCCTTCTGACTTCATCCTGGTAGGTACGCTTCGATAAAACCATCCCTCTCGTACGATGATGCCTAATGCCCCGAACGCGCGACCCTTGATTTTACGAGCAATTCTAGTAAGTGACCTCTTCGCTCTTGACTGACGTATCTTTCTCTCGTCGTCTTCGTCCATTTTTCTTTCTCAAACGTTTCAGTTTACCTAATTCTCAACCATGTACAATTGACTCTACCTTATCTCGTACCTTCCATCCAGACTTCAGGAAACCATATTTTTTAGACCCTAGAATTAGAATATTTGTCATAAAAAAATCTTTGGGTAATAACACTTACTTTTTTAAAATTATATATTCAATCCATGTATTCTCGTATGTACGTTGCATAGTATATTATGGCATTAATAATAAACGTATCGATTGTATTTGTTATCACATGCCTTATGCGACTGCACATGGCGCACTGATTAGTTTCTAATGTCCCAATAGTAATTTGATACAATTAACCATGGTAATACGATAGCCGAGGGCAGTGTCCTTTTGAAAATAGATTAATCTTCTTTCCACAGGGTATTACGGGAACGCCAACAATTTCTAAAATCATAATATAGAAGTAAGTTATCGAAATAAGCTGCTCGTCTGTTATTTCTGTTACTTACATGATTTTCTGAGGTCTCCTTTTCAAATCCTCTGATATTTAAATATTCGATTAAGAAACATCTTTCAATATAGTATCTGCATAATTCGTTGTAAACGAATTATTTGACGTCTACTGTCATTATACGCGTGGAAATAAACTTGCAACAGTCATTCTTAAACATTAACATTATATATGACTGACAGGTAGCCTTAATCCTGTTAACTCGACATTATTATATTTCTTAGTCATTCGATTATACATTGCGCCATACTGGTTGCTTTTAAATCGTTTGCCAATCTGCAAGTTCTAATCATACCCAAGAAATTATATTAAAATTTGTATTAAATTCTTGGCAGTAAATTTCAAACAGACACCACGTGTTCAATTATCACAATGTCAAAGTTTCATTAAAATTATTATATTCACCAATAACATGCAGTCTGCTGCGTACAATTCAACGGTACTGAAAAGAAAGAAAAAATAAATAGCAACGCAATGACTTGTCTGACACATGACAAAAAAAGAAAGAAACCTTGTAATACTACGAAATCGTGAAAAATCATATAAAACGGGGAACGAGACTGACTGTTATTATATCAAGGAAAATCTAGTGAGCGAAAAAGAGAGAGTGTAACATGAGAATACGTAGGTGGGAAAGAAAAGAGGGTTAGAATCCTCGCAATACGAAATTACGTCGATGTCGACGAAGGGTGAGAGGACCAGAGTAATATTTAATCAACTTTGCTGGGAGAATATTATTCTCCGAACAAATCAAGAACATATGTACAAACTCACACTGTGTGCTATTTACCATGGACACACGAGCGTGCGTATAAACTTCATGGATTTTCTCATGTTTACTTGCGCATATGTATACATACAGTATGCGACCACGTATTACAAATCTCGATATATGTGCCTATTCGAGACCCTCGTCAGACCCGTGGCAGGATCAGGATGAGCCACCAGTAGCATAAGCTGTACCAAAAGCAGTAACACAAGAGCAGCGATAACTAGCAGACATGTGCATATTTGTATTTTGGCGCTTGCGTATGCTCAGGACACTTTGAGGCGGCCACTTCGGGCATAGAAAACATAACCTACCAGTACAAGCTTCTCTAGTTATACTGTCTGTCACAAGGGAGGGGATAATTTTTCCCCTATTCAAGCAGACGCCACCTACCTCGGAAGATCCTCCCTTAGTAGAACATCCTTTTACATGCGCGAACCAACTGCCAGTTGACTGTTGTTGGTTACCCAGGAGCTGAGCCATCCTGCGCGACTATAACGCGCCGCGTCGAGACTCACGGCGTCCTCGATCCTCTTACTCCTCCTGGGAATGTCGGGACAGAGGCGACGCACCGTCACACCAAGGAATCCCATCTCATCTGATCCCATGACAACGTCACAGCTTCCCCAGGCTTCCTGACGCGTTTCTGTCCTTACTCCCTAGGGATGTACTGCTGGGGGTTCCCACTGTTTGCTTCGTGAGAACAAGTGCAGTGCAAGTGTCGCAGGATTCACAGGGCTTATACACGACACACTGGCCGTAGGGTGTGGTGGCTAGAATGCTACTAAGCATTACCTGCTTTTGTACTGTAGTAAAAGTCGAGGACCATGCTCAGTCTAATATTTATCATGATTTCGTACAACTATATGAACTGCTGTATCAGTATGTTAATGTGTATCAATAACTTATTGATAGTAAGGTTAGGAATGCTTTGTTCTCTATGATTTGGCTTCCTGTGGAGAATACAAAGGTGTCTTATTAGATGTCTGTAGATTTGTTTGTCAAATGCAATCGAAGGAATGAAAATGGGAAAGAATATTTGGGAGGTTGTATGATATATTTATAGGTTACGTAACGTGTAGGATGATACAAACAATAGCGATTGGAGCTGTGCTCAAGAAATATGGATAATCATTTGATGACAGGAAATGGTGTAATACATGGTACTAATGAGGTAACAAGGATCTCATTACGTTAGAGAAGATTGTCCTGTGGTGGGTTACGATTGTGAATTTATGTAGAGCTCTCTCTAACTCTCACTCTCTATGTGCGCTCTCTCACTTCTCAGCGCTCGACTCGCTCCACATAACATTAGATGATTGTGAGTTTGTAATTGCATTAAGGGCGTAGAAGGGGCTGGCGGCTGGCTATAATCAGTTTAGCTTGCAGTAGCCAGGAGAAGGGTGGCTGGTTGCTGGTTGCCAGACTCGACAGAGAAAGAGAGAATGTTGACTCAGGAGTGAGAAGAACGATAGAAGCCTCAGGAGGTTCAGGAGGGTTTATTCGTTTCTGCGGAGTCGGAGAATATCGAGAGCACCCGAGATCCTGAATTACGTCAAACTCCTCTCAGATTGGTTCGTTCCCGAGGGACTTTACCGATCACTAATAGGCAATTGCTTACTCTCTAATATTATTCAAAAGCGTTTTTAGTTTTATGAATAATTTACCTTCATTTTAGTTTGCACTGTGTTTATCCAACTGTTGGTAAATGTTCTTGGACTGATGTTTGTTGAGTTTTTCTCAAGTAATGACAAGAATTTTAGTATTCATTTCAAGTTCATCTTTTTTTTTTTAAACTAATTATTAATTAGATCCATAAATCCATTTGGTTATAGCTTATACTATCTCTACTAACAACTTCGTTCAAATTTGATTAGTTACAAGTGGCGCCACATAAAAATACTCTGCTGAACGAAGTTATGAATTTGTAACAACAGTCGGTAAGGCAGGTACAAAATGATTAACAGGCAAAACAGATTAATAGCCAAAATTATTTATTGAGATAATAAATTAATCTTGACCAGCATCAACATTTTCTGTCTGAAGTCCCTTAAAGGTCGCAACAGGGATGTATGTGACAAGTGTGTACAATTTGTTTGCCGAATCTTCATCATCGTTCCTTCTTCTGCTCAAGCGGACGCGGACGCGGAAAGGAACATTCCTGAAAGTCAAAATTAATCTCGTTACAACTAGCTTACATTAATTCTACTGAAATCTTGACTGACATATAGAATAATATTGCATAACTCTTCACATGTACAAGATCATTTCAAAAGAATAAATTAAATTTGTAAATATTGCTCTGTGAGCAATGCTTACCTAATTCCTTTAGACCAAAGTTGCTTATTCAAACGGGTGTCAACCCTGACATCTGGAGTTCCCATTTGTTTTTCAGCAAACTTGCGAATTTCTTTAATTGCACGTGGTGCACGTTTCTTAAATCCAACACCGTGTAAACGTTTGTGCAGGTTCACAGTGTATTCACGAGTTACCACCTCATTGATGGCGCTCTTTCCCTTTTTCTCTCCAGACTTGGCCATTTTTCACCTGTAAAGAGAATCGCACGGTTCATTTACAAATACTGTATACACTTATTTAGTTTAGCAGTTGATAAACTAGTTGAAGCACAGAATTATAGTTTAAATATTCTCCCAACATTGTGACATGCTGCAAATATTAACCTAGCCATGTAAACAAAATATAACCTCAAAGAATAGATCTACTCGTGTCCGGCTCACAATGTATTAATCGTCACAGTATCAAGAGAATATAATCAGATATTTAGTTAAACGGAAAAACACGATACAATATTTTACGTAGAACGAATATTATTCCACAGTGTAATAACTGATGTCAATGGATTTCTTTTACACAAAATTTCCATTACCTCTCCGATCAAATGGATCTGCTCAAAAGAATCTCCTTTTGTTACCGTTCTCAAAACTATCTAAATTACGTTGGCAACCATTTGAAACTATATCCGCCATTTTGGCGCTCATGTACCGTTTGGAAAAATCAATTTCTTGATTAATCAACGATAAGTATTGAAAATTGTTCCAAACTAAGAATACAGTATTTACGCATGTTAAAAAGAAAATTTGATATTGTAAATTAATGTTTTAATAATTACATTATTATCTTTATAGTTATAAGATCCAATTTTCTGATTTTTCCCCTAGATCACAACATAGTTTATGGCGATTACGAGAAGGAGAAATGCGATGGTTTTTGGAATACAGGAAGCGAAAATCGTAAAATGGTGTCTGTTAACCTGCGATGTCGACGAGGTTGTTTTTAATAATCTGAATCGCGTGAAGCCGCGTCGAAATGGCTGGTGATAAACCGTGGAACGCGGAAATGTGGAAGTCATGGGAGAAACACGGCCGAAGCGACTTGTAAGTGGTCACCGTTTAACGGATGAAGAAAACGAGGAAAGCGATAAGAAACGGAGAATATAAGGAAAGGCGAGAGAGCGAGGAGAGAGATAGCGAGTCGGGCGAGCGTGGCGAGGGAGAGAAAGAGCGAGAGATATATATATAATATATAGAAAGAGCGGGCGAGAACGAGAGACGTGCTAAAAGTGAATGAAAAAGCGCGCGGCCTTAGGAGGGCCGCGACAAAATAGTCGAGTCGCGAAAAGGGTCTTGCACGTCACCGCGGATATACCTAAAATGATATGCCAATAAATAAGTCTCTCGGCCCGACATTTCTTCTCGCGAACACTACCTACTTCGAGACATTATTCAATTCAATTACCGACTGTTTGCAGCCTCAAGCTTATCAAGCACAAATTTAAGGAAGGCAACGCAACAGGTAAATTATCTTTTTGTTTCCCTTTATATCCCTTTATCTTATCTCACCTCCTACTCACTTTGCCTTCAACCATCTTCCTTTGTTTCTGTGATCACTGGCCATTTCACTTACACTCTAAGTCTTGTATTTAGTTTCACATTGTTTCTTAAAGCTCAAGCCTATTTGGATCTAATGAATCAAGTGGAGCACATGCTGTGTTGGTTTACTGCATTTTATTACTCTGCACTTCTTTTTGTCCCCTGAAGATTTTCAATATGAACTCTTCAATTCTTTTGGGCACTAATAGTCATTGCTGGTCATTCGAGAGAGAGGGAAGGGGTGAGAAAGTGAGAATCAGGCTGATGCTCCAAAAGCAATAGAAAGTTGAAACAATACTTCAAACCGAGAGAAGTTATTACCTCAATTTGTATTGTGATTTTTAATGTGCTTGTTCATTGGAATATCTTAATAAATAAAGCTTATTCAATTTTGCTTATGGCCTTTTTTATTTCCTACAGCATCAGATAGAATGTTGATTCGTAATTCTATAAAGTTTCACCTTACATTCAGTACTCACACACCTTTTCAAACCTCATGCTTGTAACTCATTCTTTAGAAATCTTATTTTTGTTTTTACAGAATGGAGACGAGGATTGTACGAATTGATATCGAATGGAACCCTTGGAACCATAAAAAAGGACAGCGTTGTCTCGACTTTGGCTGAAGTCATGGTATGTATTTACCATAATTCTGCTCTTAATAACATCTGAATCTTTGGATTATTTATAACATGGTTATATTACTCTTTTATATGCAGACTATCGACGACGCAATACCATCAGCGATCGTAGACGTGTTCACTTTAATTGATGCAGAGGCTCACAGTAACGAGAGAAACAATTTTTACTACATCGTCAAGGAATCAGAAAAGGTAACCGCCTTCTCACCGTGTGCTCGACATTTCGGTGATCGGCAAAGAAAATGAAAAACTCATAACTTATTCCCAAAAATAGTTCAGGATGGAGCACACTCCGTTTATCGCGTAACAAGGATATGGTGGATTTCTTATTACTAATACATTTCGAAGCTTTGATCTTCCTGTTCCTATTTACAGTTCCTCACAGACAGGATACTCAAAGAACGTCTGGAGATTGAAACCCTCCAGGATGTGGGTACATTGAAGAACCGGAACTTCCAAACGAAGTTCATAAAAGTGAAAACAAAGTTATAGTAAGTATCCTGAAAACAATATGGAATCTCTATTTTGGAAAAGATCTCTACGTCCCAGCCTGAATGTTTCAGCTACAAACAGCGAAAGTTCAACTTGTTTCGCGAGGAGAGTGAAGGCTACTCAAAACTGATAGTGGAGCTGAATCAGGATCGTCCAGAATGCGAAGTCGCATCCGTCTTGGAAATCGTCAAATCTTTGATCGGTACTGATCAGGACATTCTAGGGTGTTTCTTTTTTTTTATTTGTTTGACCAATCTTCTTCTTAGGGTACTTCAATTTGGACCCCAACCGCGTACTGGACATCTTATTGGAAACCTTCGAGAATCGTCCAGAGGATGATGGCTTGTTCATTCCGTTGATCAGATCATACATGAGCGACCAGCAGGTCCTCTGTGAGGTGTTGGGATTTAAATATAGATCAACTGCCATGGCTACGCCATTCTCCCTGCAGAAGGTCACCGCCTTAATGCTTCAACACCATGTCATCAAGCTTGATGATATCCTACCCTGGCTCGTCCCCGACGATCGGAGTATCATCAAGGACCATGAACAGGCAATGAAGCAGGCTAAGGAATACGTGCGGAAGCTGAGCGTCATCTCAACAAAGGATAAAGAAGAAGTTCCAGAAGAGAAGGAAGTAATCCAGGTACATAAGCCGCATAACCACTACTCTGATTCCTATAGATCTTTGTTTTCGTTTTTATGTACATTTTATGACACTTTTCAATATCTGATTTTCTTGAAAGCAGGATAAATATTCGACAAATCAAAAATTTGGATTATGCGAGGCTTTACTGGAGGTTGGTGCTTGGGACATAGCACAGAGCTTATTTAATCGGCTACCGGATCATTGTCTGACTGAACAGAAGCCCATAGCATTAGCTCTCTGCAAAATGATTCAATCAGTAATCGAACCGGTTTACAGAAAGTAAGTAACTATCACATTTGTATGACCTATAAACATAATAATTCACCACAATATTAACTCCACATTACAGACACTGCATAATATCTCCAAAACTGCCAGGGCGTAAAGTACCTCCATTAAAAAGTCCTTTGGCCCCAAAGTCAGTGCAGGAATTAGAAGACATTCATGATCATCTCCTGCCAATGTTAATAATCCTTGGACCAAACCTTCATCACGATCCAATTTTAATGTACAAGATAATGCGTCTGTGCCATACAGCAATACGTCAATGCCCTTTGGATTCTAACAAACTTCCTATTGATAAAAACACAAACCTTTATTACGACGTCCTTACAATTCTCGACGTAGCTCTTTTACCGTCCTTATCCTTCATGGACTGTAATTGCTGTGTCGCTGAGGAAGTCTGGAATATCCTGAAGCATTACCCTTATCAGAATCGATATTGCCTTTACGCCCGTTGGAAAAACGATACGCCCCTCCAGCATGCTGCTCTTCTCCGCAAACGTGCGGATGCACAGAAGAAAATAAAATCAATCATGAAGAGAGTGTCCAAGGAGACGATTAAGCCTGTAGGACGTTCTATTGGAAAATTAACGCATTCCTCACCTGGTGTTCTTTTCGATTATGTTCTTATTCAAATTCAGTTGTATGATAACTTAATTGGTAAGTTTAATTTCATTATATATTAGAATAATGAATAGGATTTTTTGTCGTGCTTATTTCAATATACTTACGAATTATGACATATTCAGGACCTGTCGTGGACTCTTTAAAGTATTTGACGAACATTTCGTATGACGTCTTGGGATATTGTCTCGTTGAGGCACTCGCTGGTGCTGATAGAGACAGATTTAAACATGACGGGACGAGTATTTCCCTTTGGTTACAATCATTGGCTTCGTTTTGCGGAGCCATTTTCAAAAAATACAACATCGAACTCACTGGGCTATTACAATATGTTGCTAATCAATTGAAAGCTCAAAAAAGGTATCTAAAGTCCTTTCAATATTTTGATTTTTACATACAGGTATACTTAGTTATATTTTAACAATACAGTTCTTTATATGATTCTTATGGGGTACGATAAGCTAACACGACATGAATATTCTGTTTTCAGCTTAGATTTGTTAATAGTCAAGGAAATTGTACAAAAAATGGCAGGCATTGAGGCTGCCGAAGAGATGACTTCGGATCAACTCGATGCAATGGCCGGGGGCGACCTTCTTAAGAACGAGGTATCATATATTCAAAACGCTTAGGAAAATTAACAAGAATGAACGTTACGTTATAGTATTGCTTCTTCTTTCTTCTCAGGCTGGATATTTCAGTCAAGTGCGGAACACAAAGAAGTCGTCGCAGAGACTCAAGGAAGCGCTCGCAGAACATGATCTGGCTGTGGCGCTTTGTTTACTAATGGCTCAGCAAAAGCACTGTGTTGTTTATCGCGAAACTGATAAGTCTCACTTGAAACTTGTAGGTAAGGAAAATAAAACTAGTAAATTAGTCATGTATCCTAAACCTGGAAGAGATCTTTATTCATAACTTCGCTATGTTTTAGGAAAATTATATGATCAGTGTCAAGATACTTTGGTACAATTTGGAACGTTCTTGGGTTCCACAATGACAGTCGATGAATACGTTGAGCGTCTCCCATCTATACATTCGATGCTACAAGATAACCATATTCATTCAGACGTAGCATTTTTCCTGGCAAGACCTATGTTTGCCCATGCAATTAACGTGAGTGTTGAAATGAAATTAAGGACAAATAAAAATTTATTTATGAGCATTTTCAGCTTATAAGTATTCTGTGATCTTGTAGATAAAATATGATGCATTACGAAAAGCTGATCCAAATTATAAAAAAATGTCAACTGCTATGAAGCAAGCAAAATATGCAGAAGCGGCTCAGGCAGTAATGGCTCCGGTTGCTCTCTCCGTCCGCCCTTTGCATCCACTCAAGGTCTGGGAAGATATTTCACCGCAATTTTTAGTTACTTTCTGGTCCCTTTCTATGTATGATCTCTACGTACCAATGGAGAGTTATCAAAGAGAAATTAACAAGCTTAAACAACTTGCGGTACAAGCTGCCGACTCCAAAGATATGGTGAGTGCTATATAAGGGGGCAAAGTAAGAAAACAATTAAGATGATAATATATCTGATTATATTTGTACCTCTAGAATGTTAGTAAGGGGAAGAAGGAACAAGAAAGGTATACTACACTCATTGAGAAGTTACAAGATGAAAGAAGAAAGCAGGAAGAGCATGTAGAGAAAGTATTCGCTTACCTTAGGTAAATTCTATTATTGCACAATTATTATTCCAAGTTTGTCGAATCGTAAAAAAACATTCTTCTTGACTTTGAATGTCTTCAGACAAGAAAAGGATTCTTGGTTTTTATCACGGAGTGCAAAGTCTGCTAAGAACGAGACGATAACGCAATTTTTACAATTATGCCTGTTTCCAAGATGTACTTTTACTACAGTCGACGCCATGTACTGCGCTAAATTTGTACATACTATCCATTCACTCAAGACTGCTAATTTTTCCACGCTTCTTTGTTACGACAGAGTGAGTTTACATTGCTAGACTTAGTAAAATATTGATATCAATTGAAAAATATTAAGCATCTGAACTTAATACTTTTACTTTACATTTAGCTTTTTTGCGATATCACTTACTCGGTGACTTCCTGTACGGAAAATGAAGCTAATCGTTATGGAAGATTTTTATGCGCCATGTTGGAGACTGTTATGAGGTGGCATTCGGAAAAGGCTATTTTCGATAAGGTAAGGTCAATTCTGTATATTCGTTTATTTCAAATTTGATATTAAGACTAGGCATTTAGATTTTGTTTCTGAATGCTCAGGAATGTAGCAATTATCCGGGATTCGTAACCAAATTCCGCGTGAGCAATCAATTCTCTGAAGCAAATGATATGGTGGGATTTGAAAACTATCGTCATGTCTGTCATAAATGGCATTACAAAATTACTAAGGTAAGTAAAAATTACATATGTATAAAGAACAAGAGCAAAAGCAATGGATACTCCTGAACAAATATATTTTATTCTCCAGGCTATAGTGGTATGCTTGGACTCCAAGGATTACGTGCAGATTCGTAATTCCTTAATAATTTTAATAAAAATTTTACCTCATTTCCCTGTCCTGGCGAAACTCTCGCAAATCCTTGAACGTAAAGTCGAGAAGGTGCGCGAGGAAGAACGCGGACAGCGTCAGGATCTTCACGTCCTGGCTACATCTTACAGTGGTCAACTCAAAGCAAAGACACCTAGTATGATACGTGAATCCGATTTTCACCATGTGGGCGATAAAGTACGTTGACGCAAGGCAGAAGTGGTTATATACTATCAAAATGATATTTCATTTGATACTTATTTTTTGTATAGGCTGGAAAATCTCAGGATACCACAGCAAATAATGATGTTACGGAACGAGTAACGAATGGCCTTGTAACAAAGGAAGTCAATCAAGCAAATGGTGAAACCCGCGTGGATAAAGATCCTAAGGAACGAGAGAAACGCAGTAATCCTAACCAAACTCATCAGTGAGTATTAGGACGAAATGATATATATTCCATTTCTCACAGCCAGCTTCGTCACACAATATATTTATTCCCGATACAGTGAAAATTCGGAGAAACTAAGAAAAAAGGAAGAGAGTAAAGAGGTAATAGAAGTTCGCGAGAAGCACGTCAAAAAGGATGAACCAAAGGAGGAGGAACCGGCCGATAAGAAAGATCGAAAATATTACAAGGTATTTAAAAACCTTTTATAAAAAACGTTAAATTATAATGAAAAATGTTAATGGATTATTTTATACATTTAGGAGGAACATTACTATGGTGGAGGAGTTGACAACCTCGACCGTGATCTTTCTAGCGTATCGAACAGCAGTGCCAGTTCAGGACCACCACAAGATGGTCCCGATCGAGGTAATGTCTATTGTTCTTATCAATTGTTATTACAGAAATATTTATTTAAATGTTATTCTTATCGGTTCTATATTTGGGAATAGGTTCTGATGTCAAACGAAGAAAAGTTGACAGTGTACCCAAGGTGAGAACTAATTACACAATTTTAATATATGAAAAATACGTACAGTGTATTCTGCTTTGGTTTGGCATTGATTTTTTGTTTGATTTTCTAACAGGAAAGCAGAAGAGCGGAAGCTGGAGCCGAGAAGAAGGAACGTTCAGGAAAGGCAAAAGTACGGGACGAACAGAAGGAACTTCGCCGGGAGAAAAAGCTGGGCAGGAAGAGGGTAAATTAATTTTGTAACATTTCAATCTTTCATTTTTTTATTACAGAAAAATTACTGATAAAAACATTTTAACAGTTCAATGTTACACTTGAAAAACTGATATTTTAAATTCAACTTGATATAAACTTTTAGCAGTAATCGGGGATGGTCATATAGTTCATTGTTACGTTTAAATAATTATAATTATTTATTAGCGAGTTTTCATGTTCCAGGATCGAGCTGAAGAATCCGCCGCTGTGACCGAACAAAAACGCCGAAAAGATGACGACAGAGGTACGCTAAATCTTTTTTTCTTACCTAAGAAAGCAGGGTGTCAGTCTCATAAGTACTGCGGCTATTTCTTAGCCAAGTGTTATGTGTTGGTACATACAATTGATTTAAAAAAATTATATTTATTAGCAAAAGGAGCCCATCAAAACGGAGACATGCCCGAGCACAGAGAAAAGCACCACTACAGCAAGGTACGCATTGATTTACAAAACTTCTTTATTTGCAGACAATCGTCAAGAGACATTAACGAATTCGATCGCTCGAATAAAATTTGAAATCCGCACTGTTAATTTTGTTTTTTGCATAAAATATTGAATTAGCAATGTCTCTGCTATAATATGCTAACGCATCATTTTTAACCATAATTTATATAAGTTCACAAAGCTATATTGTTTTGATATTCTTTTTTCTACTTGTTGTCATTCCTCTTTCTACACTTAAGGCCGTGTTCAATCAGTTCTAACCGTAGAAATATGAACACTTACACTGCGTCCAACGTCAGAAACTGGGGCAGTTTTCAGATCCTTATTTTCCTACATTGGTTATTATTTTACCGACACATTGATGTTCCCTCAATGCCCATTTGATAAAGAAAGAGAGAAAACTCGATATTGCAGTAACAAATATTTTCGTTTCGAGAACAACGTCCAAAAAGAATCACGTACTCTCTGACAAGTCACAACACCATTACATCTTGTTTTCATACGTTATTCTTTAGATAAAAAATGTTTTTTACACATCAATATTTTTTTTCACTCCTTTATCTTATCAGGCGAGCGTGAATACCAATACTTTGACAAAATAATAAAAAATACAGAAAAGTAACGATGTAATAAGTTTTTCAATACCTGACGTCATCGCTCCGTGGATATACGTGTACTGTAATATTATGTTAAAACTAACTAACAACGGAATAACGATATAATGGTGGTTTTCTAAAAAATTTTTGAAGGAAATACATACATTAGGGAAAGGCGAAAAAAAAAGATATGGGAGAATCAGGAAATGAAGCAGGTGCCAGATTCGCTATACCTAACGCTTTTACTTGGCTCCCTTTAGTTGATAAAGACGTCGGCTTCCGGTATGTTGAAAAGACGAAACGGACGACAGTAGAGCAATGAAAATGAAAGGAAAAGAGCAAAAAAGTGGCAGGCGAACCTAGGTGACTTATCAAGTATACCCTAAACAATTTCTAATTTTTCTACTCGACCAACAAAATAGTGCATTAATCAACTTCTCGAAGGTAAACATTCTTAAAGCGAATTAATGCAAAAATGTATCTTTTCAGGAAAAATCGCCATATAAGGAGAGAGCTCATGAACGCGAAGGACGTGAAAGCCGAGATAAACAATATCCTTTTTTATACGACACATGATTCAATAATGAAAGCCCGACACAAGAGAGTCCGTTGCTTTGGCTATTTAGGTATAATGGCAATGACATTGTTCACAGTGCTAAGTCAGTTACTGCGGGAATCTTTTTTTCTTTTTCTTTCTAAGGCAACCTTTCCTACGATTATTCCTTAATGCAGATTCACTAGGCGAAGTTCGGACCCAAAACGAAGATGATGCAGAACGACAGAAGGAACCTGACTTAACATTTTATATCCTACGTTTGAATGTTGTATGTAATTAAGCTAGAATTGAAAATAATCATATAATAAAGATGAATAGTGGATAATTTGTATATTACGTTTACATTTTAATTTTATACGAAAATAAATGGATACTCCAAGCCAATGCTTTACACCTTTGTTACTGCTTTTTTTTTCGTTTCTCTCTCCCTATTTACTTATTCTTGCATTCCTTTTTCTATTTTTTGTTTAATACAATTATAGCAATTCCTTTATATAACGTGTCGATTACGATTAACAACGTTATACGTAACTGGTTTGGCTGGTACGTATATTCTGGTAAAGAGATAAATTCTCGACGTACGAAATTATTAAGATATTATTCAAGTACAAGAATGTAATGATAATAGTCGTTTTCCTTCGATCTTAAGGACACTCTTCAATCTCGATCCACTTCACCATTTTTTTCGAAAACTCGTTCAGATGCCAAGGAATTTTTACTGTTGCTTGCAATCATCAGGGTTCTTCCATGGAACCCCTGGTTTAGGCGTTATAGTAACCACATTGGCAGATTCATCATCGTCGTCATCGTCATCATCATCGACGTCGTCGTCATCACCTTCATCCTCTTCATACTCATCATCCTCGTCTTCAAGAGCTTCGCCTGTCGGAGAGAATATTATCAGATCGATCATTTCCTTTTTTTTTTAAAGAAATTTTATAGATTATGTAGATAATACTAAATTATTGCAATATTTACCTGTAAAATATAGGACAGCTCTTGGAACAATACGTTCTCTGATGTAATGTCCAACTTCAAAGTCACTACTAAGCAGGGCTTGAGTCTCCTCATCTATATCAGCGTCAGAATCCTCTGGCACTAAATATATTTTGTAATTGAAAAAAGTTAATATTGTAACATATTATAATACATGGGAATATTTTAAAGAGATAAAACGCACCGACAGGTGGTGTGAAGAAATTAAAGAAAGAATCGTTTTGCACAGTTTTCGTAATTGTGCGCATTGAGCCTCGAGATTTGTGCTTCTGATTTTTCTTAATTGTCTTAACAGTTATGTTCTTTCCCTTCTTCCAATTAATTGTGCATCCCTAAAAAAATTATTTTTTGTTTTTATTTTCAAAGTATCTTGGAAGTCATCATTCTATTTTATTTCACAGAAAAAGGCTCACCTTGCTCTTGTAAATCTCAGGACCTTCGAAACCAAACGGATCAGACTTTTCTGGTGTGCATTTCATATAGTATTCCTTAGTTAGCACAGAGTTCAAGAAATAATCATTGGGTTCAAAATGGAACTCCAATGTGAATCCCTAAGGAAATAAATAATTTCAATTTAATCTCAGACCATACAGAATAGGCAGTGTTGATTACATGATTCTTAATTCTTACCATAGGATTAGATTCCAAAAATTGAATTTTTATATCAGTCAGATGTTTAAGAATTGGTTCATCGTGTTCCTGAACCATTTCAGCAAGCATACCAACATTTTTGAATATCGTCAGCCAAAAGTCTGGAATTCCTTTGATATTTTCATTCTCAGCCCTATGTAGAAAATATTGCAGTTTACTTTGTATCCAATGCCCCTCTGTTAGATCACTTGTAAAATTATTCCAACATACTCATCCTTAGACTCATCCTTTGCCTCTTCAATTTTCACCTTTGTCTTCATATCATTAGTGAGATTCTCTTCTTCCTCGTCACTCTCCCAAACGCACTGTTCCTCAGTTGGCTCATATGCACCAGAAACAATCTCACTACGCTTTTGATAGAGAGGCGCACACTTCTTAGCATATGCGCACTCTAATTTGTGAACCTCCTCATAAAATTTTGCTTCAATGTTAGTTGTTGCCAACTGTAATTGCTTAAGCGCTTTAATTCTACGTTTCACAGGTGCTGGCAAATTCTATAACAACCAATATATAAATGAGATCCTGTATAGCCAATCCATGAATGAAATAGTTTAGTGATAGAGGGGAACATCTGTTTCATGCTAGGGATTCTTAATTGACAATGTTCATTTGTACAAGGTAATAAATGTTTTTCTATTGACTTATATATTACCTTTGAAAAAAAAGCATTGACAATAAGAAATTTTGCTACAGTCTTCACATTTATCGATTTGTCACTTTCAGCTATTTTGCTTGTGGATCATGCATATAATTGTATAAGTACAATAAGATTCAACAATATTTGCTTTTTCCAAAAGAAAACATACTTCCAACATTTGTGCATGAAGGCGGTCTTGCAAAGCAGCCAGAACATCAGGCCTACAGAGAATCTGTGAAGAAAGTTCTGACGCACGATGAGTGTCATCTTCATCTTCAACAGATTCCATGTCACTAGCATCACCAGCGCGTTCTGGGTCAGTGGTCATTCTGATACTGTGAAGAAAAAGTATAAATCTTTTTTTGAAAGTATTTTCCGATAATTTTAATTAATCAGTACTCTGACTATAGAATTGTATTCTAAAATGCTATTTATGCTCATTGTTGGTCAGAATGCTTTAAAATATAATATAATAATAGTATTAAAATAAAGCCGGCAGTCCCGACATACCGAATTCCATTTGCTATAAGGAATTTCCAGGGAATATGCTCAGAACAAACATCAGATCTATGCACATTTAATTAATTATAACATTCCTCTATAAATAGTACGACGTATCCATTGATCTCGACAGAAACACCAGACCTTTCATTACGAAAAAAAGGAGGAAACGTGTCAGCATTGTTCCATACTAAAGAAACTCAGCTCCAATAGATAAAGAATGTCAGAAGAATATTAAGGTATAATCGTATTAATAACGGAAATGCGCAGTTTTTAAGACAATATAATGTTCATTATAAAAAGGGAAACAGTGAAAGTAAATATAAAAACTGCGCGAAGACGCCGCTATCCGAATCTGACGTTTGTTCCGAAAATTCGCCATGTTCCAACGTGAAACAAAAGGTTACAGGACTTATAAAAATGTGAAGCAACCTCGATCGATGGAAACCTACTCTTTCATCGTATCTCTAAAATCCCATTCAACATGATTTCACATACAAAATCATTTTTTGAAACTCAAAAATGGCTGTCCTATGGAATTTTGATATTTTACGATTCTACGAAGCGGGCACATGGGCTGCTATACAGTACAAGAAATCTTAGTTCTTCATATATTTCCTAGCCATCGGAATCCGAATGAAAAATTAATTATTTCATCTACACATTAGATACTTAGTGTTATTAGTGTTATGTACCGACTGTGGGCTAATGATGGAATTAAAATACGTAAGAAATTGCGTACCCTTAAACGTGGAAGCCAACCGAAGAAGACGAGGGAACGAATGCAAACCGGTCGCTCTGCAATGCTCTGCAATCGCACAGAAAATGGCTTTGTGAAGTGAACACTGCCGCAAGTAGCTGTGCGAACAAGGAATATCCCTAGGAACTTCCTATCATGTATTTTTTGCTAAAATTGTCAAGAAAGAATAAAATAGAGGAATAAGAAATTCTTAGCGAATCTCAATAAATGATTCAATTACAAAACTAGTCATTAAATCCAGTTTCACTTTTGAATATACAATGGCCAGTAAATGAAATAAATGTTGGTAGCCTGTCAATCAGCGTCAATTTTTCTAAGAATTTCCGGCAGGGGGTGGCAACTCCCACGATTTTTCGTGTTCTTCGTATAGTTTGCTTGACTCTACTCAGAGTAGGTAGTGCTGTTGAAGCAAATGTAATAGACCAATCGTGACCGAGGACGCCACAGCATACCGCCACGCGTTGCCATGTTGTATTTTTCTGTTTCCTGAACATTCGTGAGGAACTGATTTTGTTTTTGTGAGGAAATATTAAGTTTGTTGAAATATAGTGCGCTTATAATTAATATTTTTGACATCTAGTTTACAGGTAAGTGATACAAATACCTGCACAGACAGTTAGTATATCAATAGAGTTGTTTAATTTAAATTTATGTTGTTTACAGAAACTTCCTAATGGTTCGAAGTTGCTCTGTTTTGGGATGTCCTTCCATGGCTAATTCGCCAAGTCATAAGTTCCCGAAAAATCCTGACCAGTTTAAGATATGGAAAGAAGTGATATGGTCACCAAAAATTAGCGATTTGAGCGATAGTGCTTTACATAAATCTGCAGTGTGCTATCGGCATTTTAAAGACAGTGACTACCTTGTGGGATATAGCTCGCGTAAACTCAAAAAAAATGTCGTACCATCATTAAATTTACCTGATGTCTATCTTGTCTATGAAGAAGGAGATAAGGTATTCACTTTTGTCACTTTTCTTATGTATAATGTTCTCTTAGGTATTTCAAATGACGAATTATACTACAACATGTGTTTCAGTTTGTGAAGAAAAAAGTTATGTCTCTAAACTCTGTTGATGCCATTGAAACAGTCTGTAATATGCAGGATAATGTTGTGTCTGTAAACTCTGTCGATCCCAATGAAACAGACTGTAATACACAAATGAGTGTAAATGAATCTAATGCAAATGAGGAGCTGTTGAAACCCACTATGCCAAAGCAGCAACAGCTTGAATCGTTGGAGAAAAACTCGAAGAAAGCAGATCTAAAACCAAAGGCAAAATCCTCCATGGCAAAATCATTGAGAAGAAGACAGATTTCCACTATGAAATACTCCAAGTAATAGACAATTCAAACTTTGATGATGTTTGAAAGTATGCACCAAGGGTATGCAAGAAATTGTACCATATGCTTGCTAAAGAAAAAGCTCTAGCACAATGATATATACAAAGAAACCTTTTAATTCCATGCAATAATTTCTTGCATTCTCTTGTAGTCCATTCATGAGTAATATTGTTAAATTAGAAATGGCAAAATAAAGTATTCCAAAACACATGTTAATCGTGGGTAGTCTACAGGGCCACACGTGCAGTCTGTTAAACAATTGTTTTCAATAAAGTTTAGAAACAACCACCTTCAGTAATTGTAAATAATACTGTAGTATTACTATTAAGATACTATGAAATAGAACCTTAAAGGGATTACAATAGTTTTCCTTCAATTTTAAATTTGTGTATATCATTGGTGAACAATAAATCTATTGCAAATTGCTCGATATTGAATTCCATATTTTTATTGTTGTATATCGCTGGCTTTAACGCTAAATAAGCAGTCAGGAGCCTGCTATCAGACCTGGTGTAAACACATTTTTGACTGATTATCTGAAAAAACAAGTGGAGGAGATGGATAGCAATGATAAAATGTGTTGCTTAATGTGGAACGAAATATCGTTACAAAGCCATTTGGACTATATTAAGATCTTGGACCAAATTGTTGGTTTTGAAGACTGACACAATGCAATGTGCTAAGTTTGCAGATCATGCTTTAGTGTTTATGTTGCGGAGCATATGAACTGGCTGGAAGTTCCCATTGGCATATTACTTTTGTGATGCCCAAACTAATTCAGATCAACTGATAAAGTGCATTAAAGAAGTAACTGCCAACGTAATTAAATGTGGATTTACACCAGTAACCTTTGCATGCGATCAAGCCAAGACCCCTGAAGAAGCCGTTGATGCATTCAAAAACTATGTTTTGGAGGTACCTCAATCGGAGTGGAAAAAGTGCTACGAAAATTGGTTCAAACGCATGCAAAAGTGTATTGCTCTTCATGGACAATATTTTGAAAAACAATAAAACTAATTTTAATTGTAATTCTTTGTTTTTTCATTATTAGGCCAGAAATATAAGTAGCAACCCACGTACCACTGTATGATCCCCCATACTTTGTCAAGGGTATGCATATTAATTTGCTTTAAAGGATCTAGAGGTAGAATGTAAAGGGACAAAAGAAAAGGATAGGAAATTTGTATCATGGGATATTAGTAATCTCGCATATAAAATGGATTACTATGCAGATGATTTGTATTGAATGTTGCCAAAACTTACAGTGGAGCATGTTATACGAAAACGACTGTAAAAACCTACTCATAAGGCTTGAAGCAATATTATATGTTTATCTCGAACTGTCATGGATAAGTTGTGGGAACGATGGTTCTAAATTAAAAGAATCATTAATTAACTTCACTTTGGAGTATCAAATTAGCACAGATCGTAGCTTCATTGTCAAACAGGCATTTCGCAAGTGTAATGCTATCCGTAATAAAGCTCGTAAAACCTAGAATTTACTGTTATGTTAAAACGTTATTCCCTCATTTTCTATACATTATGAATAAGAATCTTTAAGCTTCAATAATGCAAAGCCGGTAGCCTAATGCTTTTTGAATAACTTGTTACGAACAGCCGTATTGATGTTTAGTTTCTCATTGATTACCCTGTACAGATGGCACTCGAGTACCAGTGTTCACTTTTCACAGGAGGAGAGTTGCCAACCTCTGATTTCCGATTTTCATTGCATTTAAAATAACTTTTAAAAATTTGTAAGATCTTTTGGAGTAAGGATAATAAGACATTCGTAATAATTATGAGCATTTAATTTTGGTTTCCCTGGAATTACTGGCGGTTATTTTGTTTTATGACCGTGTTAAAAAGGGTACTTTCCAATTGCACAATTTGTGTGATGTATATACGCAAATGTTAGCACAAAACCTGTAAAGAAAAATGAAACAGCAGATGTATTAAATTCACTAGGTAGATTATAATCACTCGTGTAGATTGTGCACGCAACGATGTATCAATAAATTTTCACGTAATTGGTTAAAGAAAAACGTTTGACCATTATTTATAGAAGGTATATTCATTTAAAGAGTTTCTAGTCATTCGACAGTCGGATAATTACTTCAGCTTTATTATTTATATAAGTTATATTTCGTAATAGACTATCAGCCAAAGATAAATACTTGAAATGTTTTTGAAAAAATCATTGGTTAACTGGAATGATGGAAAATGACTACGTTTACATGACAGTCATAAACGGATTTAGTTAATACCAGTTAATACTGATCGAAAGGAATTGACAGTGCGAGAACAATCATCTACATTTGTCTAGTGATATTTCAATTGGAGAGCGCCCAATAACAACAGGACGCACGGGAAAAAGGCGAACACATGATTGGATAGAAATTTCGCGCCGTCGCAACACAGAATTACCAATGCGAATTTGCTGCATATTAGGCAGTATCATAAAAACTCGCCTTTATTATGCTAAAATTTTGATCCGGACAACTTTACACAACTTTTCACTTCCACTAGAGGCTTTAGCCGTGGGCTTCAGCGTGTCGACTGATAGTGACAAGAGAGTCTCATGTCTTATTATTATCTCGTCATCAAAGTCACAGCAACATTAGTAACTAGTATTTGCCCCAGAGGGGGATAAAGCTAACAAGAAATAAGATCCCCTGAACAGTGTATATTATTATGCGCGAGACAAACGTGCGACGGTGCCTCTTATTTTTGGCCTTTATTCATTTGGCTTATCGTGTAAATCCGACTTCCCACGGCCACAATAATGGTAAAGCTCAATTTCAGTGATACATTATGTATTAAGTAGGAACTGGATCATTCTGACGATGATTCGCAATTGTTTTCATTTCTCCTTGAAATTTGCAAATTCGAATAAATGGATGAAGAAAGACGTTGATTTTCTTGATTTCTTGTGATACAATCTGTGCCATTGATGTCTGTTTTAGGATTTTTGTAAAACGATTTTTCGCGATTGCAAACGACAAGATCCTTGACTTCCTATTGATTCCTCTATGTTAGATCAGTTCTCGAAGGTCATGGATCGAGCGATCGCGCAATTACATATGTACATACGTTCTTGTATTAATTTGCTTGTACAAATTTTTCGAGTGTATGAATACTGTATTAAGGGTAAATTTTCATCAGCTCGTTATATGATATCCTTTGCAATATTGTTCTATATCTGAGAATAACAAAACAATATGTGTAATGTATGAAATATAAATGATACACAACTATGTGTTTATATGATAATATATAATATGACGTATTTCATAGAAATTTGTATTGTTATTCTTGTTTATCTTTAATATGGGAAATTGTTTCTATATATTTCAGCATTTGTGCAAGGTGACAATGATGTTCAATACCTTTTGGAAAATATTCCAATTTCCAAATATAAATGATACACAACTATGTGTTTATATGATAATATATAATATGACGTATTTCATAGAAATTTGTATTGTTATTCTTGTTTATCTTTAATATGGGAAATTGTTTCTATATATTTCAGCATTTGTGCAAGGTGACAATGATGTTCAATACCTTTTGGAAAATATTCCAATTTCCAAATATAAATGATACACAACTATGTGTTTATATGATAATATATAATATGACGTATTTCATAGAAATTTGTATTGTTATTCTTGTTTATCTTTAATATGGGAAATTGTTTCTATATATTTCAGCATTTGTGCAAGGTGACAATGATGTTCAATACCTTTTGGAAAATATTCCAATTTCCATGCACAAGGTTTGTAACTGTTTTGATTATACTTTAATTAATTATTGTTTATGTATGATTTTTCTTTTGAAATAAATTATAAAAACCAAATTTTACATTTGATAATAGGGATTCACCAATTCAGTGGATGGTACTGGGTAAGCATACATATATACATGAAACCAATGGTGAGTGGAAATAGGACAGGAAAACTATTATTTGTTAAAAGATAATATTGTGTTAACATAATCTTCACTTTCTTGCTCTGTCACTTTTATATTCGATTTTAAAAATTGTTCTACTTTCTTTTATAAATATATTTGTTTAATCTAATACTTTTGGATCTTATATTTTACCTTGTCTACATTGATTCTTATTTATTTTTAAATTACTTTCTTACTAAATCACACTTTCACAGCTTTTATCTTTCCAAATAACTGAAATTCACTAACTGGTTCTCACAGGGAAATTGTATCGTAAATCTTTCCTATTTTCAGTCAGTAAGGGTAATGGGTTGAAGTTATCTTGTCTGATAAACCATGCAAATATTTCTTTTAAATTCCTTTTAAGGGACCCTATATTGGAAGAAAACTCGCAAGATTCCTTGGCACATATTCAGTTTGAGCCAAATATTTTGGACTTTAAAGAAAGGTCAGTATTTTGCATGCATGTATTGCTCATTAAACTTAACTATGGTAGATAAATGTATAATCGCGGAAGTATCCATGGTTATTTCTTTTTATTAGACAACTTGGTGTACCCCATCAAGAAACCGTGACGCTATTCAATAGAGATGAAAACAGAACAATTCACCTTTCTGCCATCTCTGGTAATACACAGCACTTTCATTCATCCTTTTTTCAAGACAAGGTATGTCATCTTTCTCAATTGAAAAGTTACATAATTGCTATTATACTTTCTTTGGAAAATTCCATATTTTGTTAATTAGGTAATCCCACCATTGGGAAACACATCATTCAATGTTGTCTTTCTTGGTCGGGAGGAAGGTGAAATCGACAGTCATCTTTTTATTCACACGTCGGACGGTATGCTCAAATACCAGGTACAATTATTTTGTTAAAACATCCATTAAAAAATATATCATAAAATTCTATTTATTCTGCTTTATACTAATATATCTATTGCACCAGGTCAAAGGTATCAGCATCAGCAGTCCTTACAGATTACGACCTGTAGTTGGTGTGAAATTGCCATTAAATGCTTCTTTCACCCCTTTAATTTATATGCACAATCCTCATGCCGAGGCTATGCAGGTAATGAAATAGTTGATATTAGGATTTTGTTTTAATTTACAAGAATAGAATTCCTATATTGAATTTGATTAAAGGTGGTTGAGATATATAGCAGTGGTGGTGAGTTTCAATTAGAATTGCCATCGGGTCAATCGGAGGGACCCCGTGAGCTATGGGAAATTCCACCATACCAAACAAAACCAGTTATCCGATTGCGTTTCAATGCGTACACGGAAAAGAATCACACGGCTTATGTGAGGTGATTACGATTTTTTAAATGCATAATTGATAACATGATTTTTGTCTAATATGCATTTTTTTAGATTTAAGGTAAATAATAGCGCAGAAGTGCTCGTGGTGACTGTCGAGGTTGAGGTCAGTAGCGGGGCTGGTCTTCATTGGGGTGGAAGTTCCGGTGTTGTAAACTTTGGTATGGGTGGTTCTTTACAACCACCAATTCATTATCCAATAGCACTAAAAAATTCTGCCAAAAAGTCTGTGAAAGTTTTGGTGAGCTTTCATATACAATAACAGTCTAATTCTAATTAACTTTCCGAATTTAAGTTTATACTTACTTTTATTGTTTATTTTTCCAGAATGTAATTAGTACGCCGGTTTCGAAAGCTTTGAAGATTAATTTCGAACCAGTCGTTATACCTGGCGATACTGAAATACCAATATCTGTGGGAACTTTAGTGTATGATTGTAAGCATTATTTTGTTGGAACAACATGCTACATCGAATGACTCATTTGCGACGTATGCGCATGATTTTTTTCTTAGGGAAGGCAGGTCTGGATTTACAGCATTTTAAAGGGAAACTGATGATAAAAGGCGTTGGTCCAGGGGGATCGAGTCAAAAATTAGCAATTCCTTGGATAGCTGAAGTACTTCCTGGAGGATTAGAAGTGAATACTTCGGTGACACATTATTGCTCGCCGTTTTCGAGTCAGCCCCGAAACTTCAGTGTTGTTAATAAGTTTCGGCAGCCCTTGGCAATCACAAATGTTTCACTGTCATCCGAAGCCAAATCTCTCTTTACAGTTAGTAAAATGCATTTCTAACCTGATCGTGTGCGGCGTAGTAATTGATTAATTATGAATTCGCTTTTTATATTAGATCAAGAATTTTATACCAAGAGTTCTGAAACCAGGACAGAAAGTAAATATTTTTTCTCTACTCTTGACCAATGAAAGAAAGTCAGAAAACCCAAAATTGGAATCCTCAATTTTAATTCATTCTAATGTGTCTACGACTGAAGTTCCTCTCTTGAGTTATGACGGAAAAGTTCGGAAAATAATTCCCGGCGAAAGAGAGGCTGATAAAGGAACAATGAATTTTGGAACTGTTGGCAGTGGTACAGAAAATGAGGCAGTATTCGCATTAGAAAATCAAAATCCAATTAACATTGAGCTTCATGGCTGGGGAGTAAATATGCCAGGAGCTGTTTTAGAATTAATGGGATGTCAAAGTGGGCCGACCGATTTATTTAACAAAGGATTCCGTAATATAACAGTATGCAGTCAGACTGGCAATGTAAGTCTACTATAAACTAATATAGGCATCTGCTTAATATGGATATTAAAATCCATTTGATTTTCAGCAAAATATCAAACCTGGGTACTTAGCTATTTTTAAAATCAAAGTAAAAACTCCAAATGTTGAAGAGGATACGATTGTTGGTGATGTTTTTGTGAGAACGACTTACGAGAGACTCACAGTACCAGTTTACATGCGAGTTGCACATGGACGAATATCATTAAAGAAACTCACATTCACCGATTGTTTTCCTGTAAGAAATATTTAATAGTCTTCAAAGAAATTTCTCTGAGCGCAAATTGCGGAATTTTTGAAAGAAAGTTCATTATATCATTGAAAAAAGGCATCCAGCATCAAAAAGTATTTTCAGTGAAAGAGGAAAAGCTGGGTCTATGAAAATGAAATATATCCAAGAGAGTGATTGTGCTTGGTCAAAGTAATTCAATAGGAATTTCGTTCTTCGTTTTATTTCATACCGTAGCATTGATTGTCATTTATTTGTTTACAGGGTGCCATTTGCATGCAGCAAGTAAAGGTGCATTCAACATTTACTAGGCCAATGGAAGTTACTTTTATAGCACCTGTGCAGAAAGATGATCGCATTAAATATGTACCATTGGAAGAGACGACATTGCCTGTCATTTCCAAAGGCGAAAATCACGTTGGATCGATTGCTATTGATCCTTTGATTACTTGTAAAAATCATTGCTACCTTGGATTGTGCTTAAACACTAGTGGTAATTCCTGAGCATTTATAATATTTACGCGTTTTTGAGCATTGACGAAGACATCAACTTTTTCACAGCCGGCAGTCAATGGCTGAATACGATAAATCTTCCATCGCACACAAGAGATTCGGATTTGAACTTATTGAATACTCGTTACTCGCGATATTTGAATTCAACTGGCGGTGGCTCCTGGGACAATATCACCATGAGATTGGATACGACTGAAGTTCGTGGACACAAGTTCTTCGTTAATATAAAACCATACTGGCCAAGTTTATTAGGAAATTCAGGAAACTCAAAAAATCGGAGTCTGGTTATGTTCCCATTAACTCAAGTTGGCAATACGTCTTATAAGAGTATTAAAATCCATAATCCCAGTTCCAATTCTTTGCTCGTTCAACTTGTTATGGATTGGAGCTATCCACAAGGAATGAGATTGTATCATTCCTTACCAAACAAGTAAGTTTTATATATACATATTAATATATCAATTAATTAACATCATTTGTATAATAATTTTATATTTTTTGACAGATTTAAACCAATTTGTCTGGAATGTCCTTCAACAATTCCTAATGAATTTAAACTGGAAGATATCCCAGAGGATAGAGAACTTTTTCAAAGGACTTGGAACACTTTTGCACCCGTGCAATCGCTTCCGCTTTATTTGAGTCCAAATCAATCGAAAACTGTCCGAATTTCTTATACTCCTTCTATGGCAAGCTCATCCTCGACTCTTTTATACGTGAGGTAAATGTTTGCAGTTGGTTCAAAGAATTAAAAGATAGTTAGGAATTGTTTCTTACATTCTTTAGGAATAACATGACGATTTTGGAAGTTGTACGACTTGTGGGTCGCGGCGCCCATGCTCAATTTAAGTTTGGAAATCGAAAGCCGGGCTCTACTACGCCTTTACTATTCGAGCTTGCCGACAGGCACTTAAAAGATTGTGAACGTAAGTGCACAGTTAGCGAATTTTTATTTTAAAATAGTCAAATGACTAAATCTTTCTGTTCAGGTGAGCGTTTACGTAGAAATCCAGTGCCAAATTTAACGGTAAAGCGATCTTTCACAGCACGAAACACAGGAGAGCTATCAATTGACATACACGGTTTCTACATAAGCGGTTTACGCTGCGAAGGATATGGTTTTAAAGTACTCAATTGTTCGCCGTTTAAATTGAATCCTAACGCAACGCGTAAGATCGACATAGCTTTTACACCGGATTTTACGCTATCGCGTATCGAACGGGAACTGTTGATTTTGACAAGCCTTGGAGATGTCTCTGAGGATGTTAATGAGAACGGTGTCGCTAGATTAACATTACTTACAACCGTTCCTTCTCACTTTCTGGAATCCTGTGCTGGTGTTCTTGTACGACCCTCGTGGGAAAGAGCGATCCATTGGGCGGCCATAACTTTAGCTGCTATATTACTTACTTGTATCCTTGCTGTATCCTTTTTGGAGGCCGACAGGATACTTCGTGGTACCTTGGCTAACTTAGCTAGGGCAAGTCCGGTGCAGCCTCCTCTAGATTTAAGACTCCTTGCAAAGGAAAAGGATGAGAGAACACGTTCTGCATCGGCTCCATGTAAAAAGGATGATCACTTAGATTGGAGTATTATGAATGTCAAGAAAAAGGATAAGGAAAAGGATTCGAAAGGAATAAAAATTCCTGATTGGACACCGGAAGAAGAACGACGATTCAGAATGGACACGGAAAACAAAGAACCTTCTTTTAAAAAGGATGAGGACTCTGCTAGCAATGGGAGTAAAAAGAAGAATGGCAAGAGACAGAGTTCAGGGCAAGATCATGAGAATTTTGAAGGGCTGGTAGTTCAAGATAATTTAATATCATGTACGGTCGAGAAAAAACCATTGAATACTTTAAAAAGTAGTCCTACGAGTAATCGGAGAAGCCAACAAAATTCGAAGAGCAATTCTACGAAGGAGGAATCTAAACCTGTGGATGAAGAAGTGGTAGTGGATACTATCAGTTCAAATTTCATAAACCCTGTCCGGGAAAATAAAATGGAGAATAAAAGAAAACAAACAACTTCAAATGGTAATTCTCATGTACCTTATAAAAAATTTGATACAAATCCTAGTCAGAAAATTGTACAATTCTCTGAAGAAGAAACATCTTCAACGACTACAGAGAGTTCAACTCACGACGATCCAGTTCCGTTCAAGGACTGTGAACGAAGTTATTCAAAACCTGAAAAGATTCAACGTAAGCCAATGATTAAGAAAACAAAACAGCAAAATATTCAGGTTGTTCCGTCGATAGACTATCGTGATAATTACGAGGGTGATTGTGACGACGATGACTACGACAAGGAAAGGCACGAGAATCCCAATCGTTGGAAAACAAACACAAATCGCACCACCACAAAACATCATCACCATCAATCTCGTTGTAACGCAGAACTCTCATTTAAGTTACCAAGACAAATAAAGAATCCACCGAGAAAAGAGAAGGCTTCACAGAAGAGACGGGCTACGGAAAAAACACACTCGAAAACACTTGGTCTTAATGGAAATTTAAGTCAACGAGATGAAATGAGACAGCCACAGCCGACGTTACCGTCACCATTGCCGCCACCACCTTCGTGCTGGAATGAAAACCGTGCAAAGTTCAGTGACGTTGTGGCACGTAACCCGGAGGCGATATCACCGACTTTTTCAGGGTTAAATAAACCCTTACCTACGAGACCGATTAGTCATGACATTACTGGAGAATTTTCTACAGAGGCAAATGTCACGGGTGATTGTCTTGCTCGACCTTCTGCAAGAGAATTAATTCAACCTAATGTTAAAACACTTTTGGGACACCACTCTCAGGATAAATTGGAAAAACAGGATGGCTTATTTGCACAAAGTAATCCACATGCGAACAGTTACTTCATCAACACTTTCAATGAGCCACCGGTAAGTGATAAGAATCATTAACGTTACTCTGAATATTCCGAATCTATTATTTCATCTACTGAATATTTTTTAACGAAGTTACAGTTTGAACCAAAATTGGTACCTTTTACCGATTTACCGGAACATAATGGCAATCTAGTAGATACTAATGCTACACTGGTGCAACAACTTCCAAGAAATAAATTATGGAATAATGACAGTCTGTCAATGAATATATTACCAGATAAAACTAACAATGCGTTCGACATCGATTCCTCAAATACCGCCGATCAGATAACTAATTTTCTGGATGCTCTAAATGGTTTGTCCTCCTTGACTTCGATAGATATATCCAGTAGTGTTGATAATCCGGCGTCCTTAGATAATTGGGTTACTGTCGAAACCAACTGGGAACCACTCTATACGAGAGGTGCCGTCGGCGAGGAACGTTCTGGTGCATGGGGAGTAAATACAGGTGGTGTGTGGGCTGCTGCACCTTGGGGTGCACCAACACCACCATCGAGTGAATTACAACCCTCAACAGCACTGCAGCAGACCGAAACTGATGTTCAGGTAGTTACTTATATTCAATAATGGATACCAATTTTGTTTGCTTTCCTTATTTACCTTCGTAACATTTTATGCATTGTTTAATTAATTATTTATTTGGGGCAAACTATTTTACAGGAACGATCAGGATTCGATCCCTTTCGATCTCTCAGTACAATATGGACACCCTCGTCAACGGACTCCTGGAAACCGAAAGAAGGGGACTAGTGATCACTTCATCAGAGCAGTTCCGATTTTTAATCGAGATTAAAACACCCGAAGCTATATTGATGTAAAAATCATATAGATCTGTTCATGTTAATTCTCATGCTGTTTACCACACATTAACTAATTTTTTTAATGATTCTAATTAATTTTCAACCAGTCCCGCTTATCGGAAATAATTCGAAATTGATGATGGATTAATTACATGAAACGATCGCGAGGATAATTGCGTTAATATTGTACAGATTTTTTTAGAAAACGTTACTTAAAATGTTGTCGGAAAGACTTTTTGAATCAATGTAACCGACTGTTAATTATTTTTGGAATAATAATTCGGATCCTGTATTTTGTACTTTGAAGTGGCTTGAATCACTCGAAATTTGCATGTCTGCTCATCTAAGTGACATGCATTCTCATGACTTTCAGCTGTTTCATACTTCTGATCACCGAATCGAATTAAGAATAATTTGTACAAAGGGCACGGCAAACATTCAGCTGTACCTACTTTGTAAGACTGCTAATTGTTGTGTTTGAATAAAGAAAGCTGTAAAGCAATACCAATCAAGTAGTTTTGGATTAGATCCTTTATATTTTCACTCACTTGACATGATGATCATACATTTGAGCAAAAGGTGTAGATTTAGCGTAATAGGAATTCGTGTAATTGGAGTCTCAGATTTTACGAATAGTATCAAATATAAAACGATTTAGTATAAAATATTGTCAATCGCGACAGTAGAGTAGCTTATAAATTATTAATAAATATAGACACAGTGAAAATTTTTGAAAAGCATCGTTATCGCTAAACAATTTAGTAAAAAATGGATGCTAAATGAAAGTCATTCGATAACCTGGGGTGGTCCTGGGTAATGCACAAGATTTCGTTTGCTGAATCCTTCTAAGAAGCATCTAAAAATCAAAATTAATATTTGAATCATTTTAAATAATTAAAAATATTAACGTAATTAATCTGCATTACCATATTATCTTCTTGAATTTTTCTTTGCAATTTTCTCCGGTTAATAGCAGAACTACTGGTTCTTCCAATAGCGGATTGCGATGCAACATTTTTAACTTGTGGTTTATGATGAGACATAATCTTTCTTAGCAGCAATTGATTTTCCCTTTCAATTTTTCGCATTTCCTCATTGCTGAAACTCATATTACGTCGACCACTACGTAGTTGCCTTATATCTAATCTGGACTCCTCGGTGAGCCGGAGCAATTTTACGTCATCCTCTAGAGATTGAAGATCCTCTTCAATCCGAGAATTGCTTCGAATTTGACGTCGCTGCTGCGTTGTTGTTCGAAATGAGGAGCAATCGCTGAGAGATGAACGCAGAGTTACGTTTGTCATTTCTGATTCTTCTTGATAGGAATCATCAGAGCAAAAGGATTCAGATTTGTAATCTGACTTCTCATCCAGGTTATCAGCATCAGCCTTCTGCAGAGAAGCTTAACAGGTCAGAGGGTACATTGAACAGTTAGCAATAATAATGATTAATATTTTCGATATATTGTTTGTTACAAACCTTGATGATCTATTTGCCTTTCTTTATTATCATCATTGCTATCCAAATTTCTTGAAGTTTCTAATTCTAATTCCTCTGTATTGTCCATTGATAGAATTCAATAATATTCTTTTAGAAAGGATCAGTATGTTCTTACTAACCATGGAAGAGTTGTATTTGACGTGCCTGTGTAAATTGTTGCACCTTGGGAGTAAATAATTAAAAAGACGTTACCCTGGCAACGTGATCGATTTCATGTAGTCATTTCGTTGCTACCTTTGAACTATTGATCGTGTGACGATCAAGTCAGTTTCAATATTCTTTTTACTATGCTCTTAAAGAAAACTGTTCGGCGTATTTGTTTAATAATTATGAACAACAAAAATTGTAATAATTAATTTTATTTTTCTATGATTAATACATATTATACAGATGTTTGTTTTTGATGGAATCATGTTTCATACCACTTGGATTTCGTTTGAGGTACAACAGTCAATTTACTCTTATATTTGTTCACCAGTTTGTCAAAATTTGCGTCTTCTTTATTGACTTTCCTCGCTCCTTGCTTTGGCTGTGAAATATTAATATAAATATAAAGCGTCGTTTGACAATTATATTTAATATAATCATAAATTAGATACCTTTGGCTCTTTTCGACTTAATTGTTGTTCCTTCTTTTTCATCTGCTTTTTTTTGGCTGATTTTACTTTCTTCTTTTCTTTTTTCAAATTTTGAAAGTGGACAGCCGCTTGGTTTTTCAAGTTGAATTTTGACCTCATTTTTCCTTGTCCGGGTTTACTCTGCGTACCAGAGTAGGAAGGTTCCTCGGAATTTTCAGTTATTGGCTCGGAATTTTCAGTTTTTTGGCCCTTCGCTCGTTTTGGATTTGAATCATTTTCTAATTTGCCGTTCTTCCGTTTCAGACCTGAATTACTTTCTAAAATATTTTTTTTCGATTTTGGACCGGAAGTTTCATTTCCCTTCGTCGTTGGCTTGTTTGCAGACCAAAGAGGATTTTTAGCACGACTATTTTCAATTCGCTTATTTTTCGCGTTGACCATCACTCGATTTTCTATAGAAAAAGCGACAATGGGCCTCTGCAGCAGAAATAAACAATAAAATGTATTGATATAATATAGAATATCTTTCGCAATTTCGTTGCACATAAATAACTCACTTTATTTGGCGAAAACACATTTGGATTGTTATTTATACTACGAAGTGCCTTAAGAGCGTCTTCATGATTAGTAAAAGTAACAAAACCAAATTCTTTCGACTTCCCAACTCCATTCGCGTCGACATTCCTTAAATCTCTCATAACTCGTGCCTAAAAGACATTCATTATGTTTATGAATAATTTAATTATTTCATGTGATGTGTAATCAATTAATATTGAAAATGTGTTTAGTTAAGTAAATGATGTACCTCTTTGATAATCGCCTTTGGCCCAGCATGATTCTTCATAATTTGACGAAGTTTCGTATCGTCCAGTGTCGCAGGTAGATTGTGAATCACCAGGCGAACTCTTGAGACAAACATATTTAGATTTCTTAACATCTGCGATTTCCATTGTTCCATTTGTAATCTTTTTGCCATGTCCGATGCAGATACTCCATTAGCAGCAGGACTGCCAGCCAAAATTGCTAAAAATTATTATGAAAATATTCATGTTTTTTAATTATTTTGTACTGCTGCTTTTTGTAGATAGCAAAATCTTACCGCCTTCCTTTACGAGATACAGATTTCTGGAATCTGTTACTTTCTTATCCTTTAAACTTTTTTTATCTTGAACATCATTTCGATTTAAAGCTCTGTGTGGATCCAAAATCTGATCATGAAGTTTCAGTTCCGTGCCGGCTGCTAGACACTTCTCAGCATCCTCAATGTTCTGAAATTGAATTTAATACAGGATTTTGAATGATAGGATTTACCAAACAGTTGCATTAATTAGAGAATCAAAAGCTTACTTGGAATTTTACGAACGCTGTCCCTTTTGAATGTTCTGTTAATGGATCCATACACACTAAAGCATAATAAACAGGTCCAAATTGTTCCATGCACTGTTTAAGATCTTCATTTTTGGCTGAGAATGGAACATTTTTTAAGAATACTGTCTTCCCTTCATTTACGTCATTCGAGATTATTCGAGGACGCGCAGGTTTGTTTTCTTCTTCTGCTTCATCTTCCTCGATATTTTCTTCTTTTTTTATAGATAATTTCTTTTCATCTTCATCATTATCTTCATCGACTTCTTGTTCAGATTCATCTTCCTCTCTAATGGAAGAATCAGTCTCTTCATCAGATACATCTTCATGACTACTAGTTTCATTGCTTTTTTCAACTCCATTCTCCGGTATTTCTATATCATTATTCCTATAAAACAAGCAAAATTGCTATTAGAAACTATGCAATAATATTGCTAAATCTCAGTAGTTTGCTAATTATGCTGTAATTAATGTTGGATATTCACAAAATCTTACTTATCACGTTTTGAAGCATTGTCTTCATCCTTCACATCATCTTCTTCTTTGATTTCCACAGTTTCTGCATTATTTTCTTTTTTTATTTCTTTACCAAACTTGTTTTTTGGTACAGCCCAATCTACAATGACAGACCTACCCATTAGTGGCTTTAAGTTAGCATAATGGATTGCTTTTGCTGCACTCTGTACAAGTTCAAATTGTACAAAGCCACAACCTATGCGTCTCCCATCAGGTTTTGTCAATATTTGAATTTCTTCAATATTTCCATACTTTGAAAAATGTTCTTTTAATGCTTCTTCAGTGGCTTGAAATGACAAGTTTCTAATAATAATTCTGGCTCTCTTTCTTCTCCTTTTTAGTTTTATTTCCCGCCGTTCCTCTTTTGTTAACGTCTTCGTTTTCTTATGTTTCTTTTCAGCATTTGCTATTTCATTGCATATGGTGACTTTTTCAGAATCTTCCTTTCCATCATTTTCTACCACATCCTCAATACCATCCTTATCTTCTCTTTCTTCTGCATTTGGTTTCTTACTTTCCTCATCAGTAGATATAACTTTTTCTTTCATCTGCTTAGAAAACTGTGATTTAGGTATTGACCAATCTGACGTAATTGTACGTCCAAGAAATTCTTTCTTATTTGTGTGAAATATTGCTTTTGAGGCATCCTCAACTCTTTTAAATTGAATAAAGCCGCAACCCACAAGACTCCCATCTGGACGAGTTAGAAGGTTTATCTCTTCAATTTCACCAAACTTAGAATAGTGCTTTCTGATATCTTCTTCAGTAACCTGTAATAATAAAGCCCACATAATTTATAACATTTACAAATGGAAAACAATTAGTAATGAAATCCGAACAAATTACCTTGAATGAAAGATTGCGAATAATAATTCTCCCTTTTCGATTCTGCACTTGATCAGCACTATATTTTTCTGCTTTTTTGGTCTGTCCTAATCTTTTTTTGTTGCGGTACACCCATGATAGTTTTTGACCAGGCTTACCTTTTCCTAATAATGCAAAAACGGAATTTTATGTGCAAACGATGAATTATAGGATTAAATATTTATTCTTAGAAGTGTGTATGCAATTACCACGATCTACTTTTCCCATTTTTCGAGAGTTTATTATAAATACAATTTGATTAGCGTTAACCACTTGACAGGTGAAAATATATCTTTCTCTAATCTAGAGGTAATAAATAAAGTTCAAGTGAGTATATAATTATATAAAGTTTTCCATTTTTGAAGTTTCAATAATGCTTATGTTTATGTCTAAAGGAGGTTACTCCAACACGTGTACTTGGCATAAGCTATGAAAGAAACATTTACCAGAGAAGAGTAGGAAGATTGCCGATGGGCTGATTTTCTTGAAACCTATTTTGTTTTGGTGTCGACGCGCCACTTAAGCGGAGGGCCGTCGAATCATACCCACGTTTTTGATTGGTCGAGTGTATATAGATATACTACGCGTCATATTTATCTCTATTGAACATAGGTAAGATTACAAAGCGAAGATTGAACGCAACTGCCATCTAGTGATTCCAGAATCAATCAAATATACAGTTACATATATATTTTTGAAGATTGATGGATTATCGGTCTGTTGTCTACTGCTTGCTACTGTGGACTCTGTATTACAATATCTAACGGATCTATCAGCTGTCAAAAAATAAAATTCGTTCCAAACGAATGTAACGATTATTCAACAGCTGCAAAATGTCGTGTTATGATTTTATTATAAAAAGGCTATAATAGAACTCGCGAAATATAGTGATACACGCAAAAAATTATATACCAATAACTTATTTAATCCGCAATATTTCACTCAGCAGGTCCTCTAACAATAATAATAATGAACACGATGGAACTCATAAAAACGCCAAAGGTTTATAAATTATGAATATATAATACTATCAATTATGTCATTTTTGATTTTCAATAATATATTTTTTATGCAGGTAGAAAATGTCCGTATGCTGGATAAATACAGTAATAATCATACTGTTGGCACCTTGTACCCAACAGCAACACATCTGCTTTTCGTAGATCTAAATGGAAAAAAAGAAATTTGGGTTAGTTCATTTCTTTAATTAATAATTTCATAAATATCCTAATTTAATATAATCTTCAGATTCTCTATATGCACGTTGCCAGTGTCGAAAAGCTTCCATTGACAACAACTGGATCACCCTTATATATAAGATGTAAACATTTTTTGACGGTGACATTTGTCATTCCAAAGGAACGTGATTGCTATGATATTTATTTGACACTCTCGAAGCTTTCTTCTCCAGGTTGAAATTTGATTTAGCTTTACTTGCTCTTTCATATCTATGTCAATATTATTTCAAGCAATGTCTAATTATTCTCGTTTGCTGTGATCTATCAAAACAGCTAGACTCGAACATCTCTATTGTTTCTACTATCAAGAAAGTGAGGATGTATTACCACAACAGGCAGGATGGAATTTTTTTGATGTACAAAGTGAATTCCAACGTCAAGGAGTTCCTAATGAGGAATGGTCATTGACTTACCTCAATAGAAATTATGAGGTAAGTTTATTGGTATCTAAAAAATTTGCATTCATCTTGAACGTTATCTCCACTTCTCTTGTTTTTTTAGCTATGTGATACGTATCCACGATATTTATATGTACCCACCAGTTGTACAAATACAGTCTTGTCAGGTAGTGCTAAGTTTCGGAGTAAGGGAAGATTGCCTGTGCTAACCTATCTCCATCCGAACGAGGTCTGCACACGTTGAGTTCTTCATTTGTTATTTCTGTTTAAAAATATATAGTGGCTTTAATTAGTTATATTTGTCCAGGCGGCAATTTGCAGGTGTAGCCAACCACTTTCAGGATTTAATGCTCGTTGCCCAGAAGATGAAGAAATGCTTTATAATATTCTACATACTAATTCCAATGCTACATATATGTATGTTGTAGATACTCGCCCTAAAGTAAGTAGACTGTTCACAGAATGAAACAAATGATCCAAGAGTGTATTTTAAAAAATTTGGTATCCCAGATTAACGCCATTGCCAACAGAGCGGCCGGTAAAGGCTACGAGAATGAGAACTTCTATGACAATATAAAATTCCACTTTTTTGGAATTGAAAATATCCACGTTATGAGAGCAAGTCTGAACAAGCTTGTAGAACGTGAGTATCCTGTTAATCTCTTTAAGTAATATGCTGGAAATATAATTGATACCATATGTTATTAGTTGAAATAGCCTTAAAATGTATTTATCTCATTTCTACTTGCTAAATTTGCACTGCGAAGATAGAAGTCAAGAGTTAACGACAATTTATCATTTTAGTACAGCGGTGCACATCAATGAATACTTTTTTAAGCAATTTAGAAAGCAGCGGTTGGCTAAAACATATTCGCTCTATTCTGGAAACTGCCTGGTTTATTGCACGTGCAGTTGCAAGCGGTGTTACTGTTGTTGTTCATTGTAGTGACGGCTGGGACCGAACAGTACAAGTCTGTTCACTGGCTGCATTGATGCTTGATCCATTCTATAGGACGATCCAGGGATTCCAGGTGCTAAAAACAAAATTGTATTTACAAATTATCAAAAGCTATGATCTATATTGTTGTAATCGAATGCGTATGAAATTTATCATAGGCGTTAATAGAGAAGGACTGGCTGTCATTTGGTCATAAATTCAGCGACAGATGTGGTTTCATCGGTAGTGACGGGAAAGAATTGTCACCAATCTTTACACAGTTCATTGACGCCACGTATCAACTTCTTAAACAATCACCGACATCGTTCCAATTCAATGAATTGTTCCTTTTGACGCTGCATGATCATGTTCACAGCTGTCAGTACGGAACTTTTGTTGGCAACTGCGAGAAAGATCGGCAGATTCTTAGGTTCACATAGTTCTTCTATCGAAATATGATAATTCGTTATTTATCTTACCTATTTACTAATGAGTTTCCTTTTTAGGTTATCGGAAAAAACTTATTCTCTCTGGGGATACATTGCTAATCACGCAAATGAATATTTGAATCCACTGTATTCTTTCAGTAAGAATAATTTGGAAAGCGCTCGTGTTCTTCAGCCAAAACTTTCTGCACAATCTATCGTGTAAGATATCGATTCAACTGCTTGTATTTTGCTCACAAATAATTATTGTAATTACATATTTACTTATTTGCATCTTTACGTAGATTCTGGAGCGGACTGTATTGTCGCTTTGAAAACGGTATTCATCCACGAGAAACTTTTGATGACCATTTATTAACCCTTCACGATCAGTCAAGCTCGCTGGAAGATCACAGCAAACTGTTAATTAAGGTATAACTTCATGAAATTATGAATAATTCAGATACTTTAAATGTTTGATGGTTAATCTTGTTTCTTTTAGAGAATCAATTCCCTTGCGCAACTAGTGGGATTTCGACAACCGAATAAGCTGGATAAATTTGAAAAACTGAATAATAAATTTGACAGGGAAAGTTCATCAGAGAAAATTATTGAAAATTCTAACGATGAAGTTCGGAAGATCCTGAAGTCTGGTCAGTTAGAAAAAGAACTAAAGACAGTTGCATTAGATTGGAAGTCATCACGGAACGTCGAAGAATGTACATGCGCTACTACATTCGACGTGTTTAATCGAAAAGTACAGAATTATACGGTACATTGAAACTGTTTACCTCTCTATCATATGCTGTAACTGCTATTATTTCTTTACAGTACCATTGCTGGTCTTGCGGTAATGTTTTATGTACTCGGTGTATGGGAGCACACAGTGTACTTTCTGGTCATTTAACGGAACGTGCTGTGCCAACCTGTAAATCGTGTTCGCAAGGTTCATCGGCAGCTTCGCCAACAACATCTTAGAAGAAAGACATATTGTATCAGTACAAATAATGGATGAAGGAAAGCTAGACTAGATCCATTTTAAAATTGTAAAGTCTTTTAATTAAATATACTGTAAATCTTATCCTTAAAATTCGATAGATTGACCAATGATTAAATAGAAGAATCTGTCTTGATATATTTGCATATAATCTATAAGAGAGAAGAAAAAGCACTTTGTGACGAATGCACTAAGTAGCTCTGATCTGTGAAATAAATAGTAATCCGACTCGCGAATGTCAAAGAACAGGAATATATTATTTTCGAACATTGCCATTGTTTTATTAATTTACCGTATTTACAGAATCTGTAGAATAGAACTGTGCGAAATACGTACATCTCATTAGAGGGTGACTGCAGCCTTTAAATACCTTCACTAATAATTAATATCAATTAATTGGCGCTAATTAGTGCTGCCGTGGAAAATTTATGCACAAGAATCTCGCGAGGGTGTCACAATCGTTCAGCAATGTTAGATTTCATAAATGATTTATCTTTCTCACGAGTCAGGAAATCGAGCAACGAGATAAACAATAAAGTAAATTTATCTGTTATTAAATCTTAAGATTGAGTATAGATATACGATAGAATTGACTAGTTGATTAAATTAGTCGACGGTATTAGGATATCGAGATAGAATTAATAACACGTGTTTATTTCCCTCGGCTCGATCTTCTATATTCGATTTTCTAGGAGCAACGATATTGTCTTTAATAATTTCAGTATAACTTGATAGAATACTAAATAATCGTAAACAAAGATAAATGCAAATTGGTCCCTATTTGCTCTGTATGGATAATTCATGCTAATTATGTACGAAGGTTTCTTCAAGTTTCACACATTTTTATGAAGTTTCGTGAAGCTTAATTTTATTAAAGTCTCACAATTATGTAAAGTAATACTATGTCAAATTTCACTATAGGCTGGATAGTATTTCTAATAATTTTTAAGTTATCCACTGTATTGAGATTGAAAATGAACACAGACATTTTTAACAAACAAATATTTAGGGTTTCGAGAAAACTTAGAGTATGCTGAAATGACTCGAAAATCTCAAAAACCCTTCTTAATGACAAGTGTTATAGAAATAGTGTATCGATGATCGCGACGTGGAAACGAGAGAAGTGTCAAACAGCGTAGTCAATTAATTAATTAAATTACGAACAGATATATCAAATGCATTAACGTGTACGTAAATTGTCTCGCGAAATCCTTGCGATTTCTTATGTACACACTAGCTATTCTTTATCGTATCTCGAAAAGCATTGAAGCGATTCGGTCGACGTTTCCCTGCACGAATCCTTGCAGTTGCAACTACAAGGAGAATTCACTTTATAAAGGGGCAAGGAATTCTTATGCCGAAGTACAGCAGAAAATCGAGACATTTCGTGAAGTCCAATGGTACACGCACACATAATTTCAACTAACAAACTAACGGTACGGTAAAACCGCAATCCGATACGAAACCTTATTCGTATCGAGGCGAGTTGCGGAATGTGAATTGCTCGGTGGATCATCCAGCCAGGAGATCCTTGCTTGGAACTCGAATTCCTCGTATGACTATTGTCCCAGCTGGGCATCCACTCCAGGGCACTTTATTCCTTATTAGGTTTCCTTCGACGAGGACCGTCGCCGCCTGCTTGCGGCTTATCCTGAAACAGAAAATATTAGTATGGTTCAAAATATAGTTTTTTTTTTTGATAGGCAATTTTTAGTATTGGATCAGATTAGATTTTCTTATTTTGAGAATTTACTTTTTCACTATCTGTGATCTCTCCTGTTTCGCTCGTTTCGCCAGTTTCAACGTTCTCGTCGGACTCTACCTGTTCGCCTGGGTCTTCAGGTTCTTCATTCTCTTGAGGCTGATCCTCTTCTTCGTTAAGATCGTCTCCTTGCAACGGTTCCTTATCCTCATTCTTCTTCGGATCTTTTTCCTGAGGAATTTGACAATTTTTTAGAAATCGCATAACTATGAATCATGAAAATCTAGCATATTTTCAAAATAGTTACGGATAGAAGCAGCACATGTGGATTCATACCTGTTCTGAGATACAGCAGCAATAAACTAGCAATATTACAGGAATTCCAGCTACTAAAATGTACACGATCCATATCCAAGGATGTTCTGTAGTGAAGTTACCAATTTGGCGCCATAGGCTCCACTAAAAAATCGAAAACAAATTGTAGGAAGTTAATTACGGGACTTTTTAAATACAGCTAAAAAAAAGCAGAAAACTACGTCGGTGAGCAAGGTGGGCCACATATACAAGTCTACACTACTATTCGATGAGATACTAAGCGATTTTTAAACTCTTCATCGTTTTTTTAATTTTGATCTACCTCGCGCGATCGTCTGAGAAGGTACCATATATAAATGGAAACTGGTATGGCACAGTAGAAAAAATAAAGGGCCCACCAGCCTGGTTTGTGATTCATCGAACGCATTGCTCGACCCCACAAACTTTCCTAATTTTGAACATATTAAATTGTTCAGTTGATTTCTAACTTTTTCAATAACACGCCCTTCAAGAGATATTACTTACATTTTCCTCAGCGATTTTGACTCGCCGAATTTCGAAACTATCATCGGCCCATTTCCTTGCTACTTCTTCGCTGTCCGTCACAATTAGATTGTCAAAAAGAATATCTGGAGACATTGACCACAGCTCGAATCCAACAGCAGACTAAGCAATAAAACAATGTTATAAAAGTTATGAAGATAACTTAAATCTTGAAAAATATAAGATAGTCCTTACTATCGATGCCATTCGGAATGGATGCTCGTCGTTGAAGTAATCAGGGTTATGAATAAGTCTAGGCTTCCATTTTCCTTTGTAGTTTGGATTGTTAATAAGAGGAGGAAGCCATTTGCCTTTGTATCTAGGATTTTTCTTCAGCCTTTGTTTGTATGGTCCACAGCCAGGGGCGTCTGCACACTTTGGATTGGTAATTTCTGGAGCTTCCCATTCCCCATCCATATCAAGGTCCCAATCATCTGGTTTCACAGCATCCGGGTTCGGGATCATCGCAGGTTCATCCTCAAGCCATCCATCAGGCATCACATCCTCCTCGTCTACTATTTGCACTGGAGCATCCTCGTCCCAGTCTTCTGGCTTGGTCGCAAGTGGATCGGGAATTTTTTCACGATTATCCCAGTCAGAAGGCTGCTTGTCATTCGGATCCTCTATCTCAAGTGGAGGATTTACTGGTGGTGTAAAATCATCAAGAAGTGATCCCTCATTCACAGTCTTGCCATCAACTTTTACTTCAAAAGTATTGTCAGGGCGGAGAGTCAGTGTATACAGATGAGGCTGTTTATCCTTAAAAACTTCCTCCAAGCGGTCTTTCGGCTTTTTACAGTGTTTCTCCTCGATGGAGCCATTCAAGGGATTCTTATGACGGAATATAAAGTGAAGCTGAAAAGAACATACAGTCTCGATTGAATATAAACATTTAAATAAGCTTTTTTCAGTTAAAAATACATATTAAACTCTATATTACTGCAGAGACTTTTGGATTTGTTTATATATACCTTATGATCATTTCCACATTTATCCGGTCCAAACATGATAGAATATGGTGTTTTATCATGGAACTTCTTCAGATCTGCATGTTTGTTATCCAATGAAAGGAGCTTAAGGTATGCCCCACCACATTCCTGACCTTCCTGGAAATTCACTTCATATTGCACAATCAATGGTTTATCTTGAAAGACAAATGGTTTTTCCAAAGGGACTGATATGGCAGCATGACGGGCCTTGCTCTTTAGCACAAGTCCTAGATCTCCCTCTTGAATACTATGTTTAGGTTCTTCGATTATCCAAATTCCTAAATCAAATATGTAATTACTATTATTATATCAATACTTCACGGAATTAATTCACAGAGTTAAAAACAAATTTTAATATTGTACCATCATATTTTGCAATATCTTCGTCAATATCTTCTTTCTTGGCTTCAGATAATATCCATTTTTGTTTAAACAGCTTATCATCGTCAAAATTTTCAGCAAGATAGACAGAACCACTTGGTTCAGGACTCTTATAAGCAGGTTTAGGTGGGGTATCGTTGGCATCTATATCATGAACATGATTCTCACTGGTAGCAAGTTGTGCACAGAATAAGCACAGCAATGCAAGACTCGTGGCAGTATGCCTCATTTTCGGCTTATGAAATTTGCCTGAAAAAAGAATGACAATCACTAAATTATTTAATTTAAAAAAATAGTGAATAACATTTGCGTTACATTTTTTTAGCGACGCCCCACAAAGAGTAAATGCATTTGCCCGACACTTACCAATACTTCGATTACAGTTAAAAAATCTTGATACCGCAACCGGTGAGCATACTTATCGCTTTCCAGCGTATACGTTTTATTTAATTAACTAATAGTTATAATCTAATCTATTTACACGTAGGAGTTTTTGCTCTACTGCGTTCTGAAAAACGCCAAAGACAGCCATAGTGGGAGTGGCTTCTATCTTCTATTGATATTAGCAATTGGCTGACTGCCGCTTGGTGATTTTTCATTGGCAGTATAGAGTGTGTTCGAGAAAGGACAACTTTGAGGGACCAATGCATTCGATTGGCTAAATTTAACGACGGATGGAAGTTTACAGTGAAATGACGAGACCATGATGGACCAGATAAAAGCTGTTGCTTCCTTAGCTCTGTTTCTGCTGAAAGAACTATAATTATTGGCGTTCAAAAGAAAAGTTCTATAAAATAATTCAACGTAAAACATACCTAAGGAATTATTATCTAACGATAAATGTCGGCAATAAAAGTTTTTGTCTTATTAGATGCTAGGACATGGTACCTTCGGAATAATTGTATAAGAAAATAATAATAATAGTGACAATGATAGTAATCAAACAAATTCAATATAATAAAACAATAGTATAAAAAATATGGGAAAGTCCGTTGTACAGTTAGTGCGATACGTCCATTCACAGTTAGTTTCCGATGGGACAATAATATGGTTGGTCGAAGCAAAGACCTATAAACTGTTTAGAGAAGTTTCTCAATGTTACCATATATCATATTCATAAAAGTAGACTACACTGATCTTTCCTTTTGTCTTTACTCTTACAGCGGTTACAAATGCTTTGATTCACATAATGTGAAAGAATTGGTACTTGTTTTACATCGGAATAAATCCACAAGACAGGAGAAGGAAAGAAAACGCAGATTAATTGAAAAAAAATATAATAAGATGAATATAAAGATGTTCCTTATTATCTCTTATTATGAGACTTTACCACTTCACAGAGGATGGCCATGTTTATCAAACATTAGACCTGATTTCATGAGCACTTACTAATTTTACCTTAGTACTACAAGTTCGAATGTCAAACAAAATTAGGCACTTTATCATTTGATGATGAGGCCATAAAGAAAAGAAAAAATCATAAATTTATATTAAATTGTATACCACAGTTGTATAAGTGGTTATACAAATGTATGACTTACATTGCTCAATATGTACGAAAGGTTAGGAAAGATTCAATGAAGTGATTATTTCCCGTGCTTCAAAATTTAATTGACAATACTAATATATAATTGGACAAAGTTGTTTGATTTTCAACGTAAGTCCGTAACTGGAATCGCAAGTCAGATTGAAAGGAAGGGAAAAATTGCCCTTGAGCAGCGATGGTATTAATAGAGCGAAATACAAATAAGTTACACGTCGATTTTCCGAATTACGCATAGTTTTTATGTCACCTAATATTTGTATGTTCGTAATAAAGCATTACTTAGAGGATTCGTTAGCATTTTGGCAACTTACGTTTCGATGAAAATATTCGAGACGTTATTTATCCTACGCAACACAGTTTATACGTGTTTTACTTGATATCCATTTTTATATGGTATCGCAGTATCGTAGTAATTCGTATGTATTTCCTTCCACTTTCCTGGCTTACATTGAACGATAATTGTATCTCATTTTGGCTTTAACGTTTTTTTTCCTTGTGTTTCTTGTATCGAGTTTTACAAAAATTGTTTATATTATATGAAAGTAAGAAAATACGAAACGACGCTAAGGAATTGTTATTGAGTTGATAAACGTAAACATATTTTAAATTACAAAGGGTTGATGGGGATTCGCGCGGGGCAGACGTTTCTTCAATGGGCATGGGGTATGGGACGGGGTTAAGTTTACAATAACTATTAATATTAAGGTAGTATTCGTACAGATGATTTTCTTTCCTTGTATTATGTATAGTTGTAAATTAGTTTTTTTTTAACTGTATTATGTAAAAGGTGAGCTGCATGTGTGTTTCTTTTCCGTATAGATGGATGGTTCGTCGGTGGCGGTGGTTCGGAGACGCGACAGAGCTGCGTGAAGATCGTCTCTCGTTTCTCTTCTTAACCAAGTTTACTTCTTGTTTTTTCCCCCGTTTTTTAAATTCTTTCTTCCTTACTGTCTTTCTTACACTCTGTTCATATTACTGCTTTTCACCTTTTTTTTTCTCGCATTCGCTGTCTCCCTTTCTCTCCCTCTCACTCTGCGTAAGGATGGGTCAGGCTTTATCCGTTTTTAGTGGCACTGCTGTCCGTTAGCTTTAATGCTGAACTTCGGGTTCTCTCGTACAGTGCTTACGGTTTCCCTGCACGGTGAACAAAACAAAGAAAAGAAAGATAACAGCATCGCCCAAAGAGGTGTGAACGACCAGGGTCTTTGAGAAAAGAACATAAAAAAATATGAACATGCACACGGCTTTCACTACATACCAGAATTAAATAAGTCTTTCCGTTTGTGTATTTGTTCTTCTCCTACAAACACTCCTCTTGGCTTTTTCGGACGCACCTCGCCACCTTCCGCTTGAACTCTGTGTAACTTTCCCTCCACTCTTTCTAAAACGGAAAAGTGAGAAACACAGATTTAATCGATGGAGGCTCATTAGAATTTTTAAATGAGTTTCTAACAAAAAAAAAAACTTACGGCGGCATCTACATTCGCAGGACTTTCGTCATTCGGATCAGCCAACATACTAATAACGCTGATAAGAATGGTTTCAACTGTGTGAACTGGTAGCCACCGTTCTGATGCTTTTTCGTATCCCCATTTATCATCCCCAGGCTCGTGCAGGATCGATATGCACACATCACCATTTTTTTCGACTACACAAACGTTGCCAAGTTGAATCGTTAATATATTATATATACCCATACATGAATATACGCCATGAATTACGCCATTATGGATTATACTTACTGTTGGGGTGCCATATTTCTGTGATGAATTTCATCCTTGGTGGCCTGAGTGGATACTCTTTGGGAAATTGTAAATGCGCTTTGAAGAAACCGCCCTCGCTGTAGGGAGAATTGATAGTTTTTAAATGACGAGGAAACGAGACACGTATACCAAATACATTAGGAATGTCCACGACGGAATATATGGAGTACTAGTATGGCCAAAATGAGGATTGGGGATATATATATATATATATATATATATATATATATATATGTGCGTTTATTCTTCAGAATTTATTATTGGATTGACTTTATACTCACTACAACGTATCCGGAGGTCCAATAATGAGCACTTCCCATCGATATATGTCATTGTCGTCTATGAGGCCTGCCGAAAACCCTTCTACTGGGTTTTTATTCAATTCTGTAAAAAAAAAATCGAAAATGTAATACACAACATATAAGTAACGAAATTTGTATGTTCGTATAGCCGTGAGTCTTCGAAATTTAAATGACGTAGGGATATCATTTCCATTTTTAGCATTATTCGATAAAGTGTACAGTGCTTTGATATCTGTTTCTCGTATGTACGCTGCTGCTTTACGTTGTTCTGCTTGTATTATCTTATCAGTGACGAATCTGGAGCAACTACGTTTCTAAGCGGTTTTAATAACGGATTTCATAAATCCAAATTTAAACATGATGAAATTATAGTCGCTGTCAATTTTAAAGCTGAATTGAAAGATTTAATTTTATTTATTAGTATGAAGAAAATTGATGTCAATTGCAAGAAAGGGAATATTTGGATTTAGTGTGCAAGTGATTGTAGATAAATTTAAGGTCATGGACATCATAGTGAATTCAAATTTAAACGGACATAACGACGAAATAGCTCTGACTGAATTCTGGAATATTTTTTAATAAACATGAAAATTGTTTAATTCAATAATCGTATAATAATTTTATAGGCGAGGGATGTTCACGCAGTAAGAAATTATTATCACAATGTGTTATACTGTTTTGAAAAAAAAATTAATAAATATATCAATAAAGAACACGTGTGGTCTGTGTAGCGTGATTAATTGATACAAACGGGTGATGCAAGGGTGAATATAGAAAATAAAAAAAAGAATTGAAATAGGATCAATTTCATACAGAAAGCAAGGGTCGAAAGGCCCAAAGAATTTGTATGAGGAAACTGCGCATCCGTCTTGTATTAGAATATCGTCGCATATTTTCTCATATCACTGACTTGTGGTGGCGCAGCGCTTTTAGGTTATGTAGCCTGTGTTCCTTGTGGAACAAGGTCCGCCTTATGGCTGAGGTTTAGCCGATGCGGAGCCTATTCCAGGTTAAAACGGTAAAACCATGAGAATCACAGGAAAATAGTCGCATGAACCCTCGCGATCAGGAAAGATGAGGAGAAAAGAGAAAAATATAGGAAAGTAGGAAGTTGAAAGAAGGATGGATGCGACTAAACACAGGAAGAAGATTCACATAGCGTATCGGGAATTTCGGCAAGGATTATTTTGCAATTGCGAAGCATCGTTGAGGGAACAAAAAGGGAGCGAGAACGGAATGACTGGCCGGGGACGAAGAGAGGGAAAGAGAGTAGGGAGAGGGAGAATGAGAGAAAGGATAAAGATGGGGAAAAAGAAAGAGAGAAAGAAGGATTGTTAAAAAAAAGACAAGACAGGAATGAAGGGAGTATGGAGAAGAGAAAAGGAGAATGCGGAAAATATTTGCGCTAATGTTGAATTTCTTTTTGAAGAAACCGCACATTTGCATGCTAGTAGCTTATAGCGAGGGCTATAAATAAACAGACGGCAATTATTTTAGCGACTTGACTTTCATGGAGGAGTTTGATGCGCACGGTCCCGGTAATGTTAGCGTGGTACGTGCCGAACGGAAAAATGCAGAATGCTAGGTTAACGTTATTCATGGAGGCACACACACGACTTGGACCCGTATTGATTTTCACGCCCTGATCGGGGCGTAGAGCCTGGAGACCCTGGGAAAATAACGCACGGGATCCAGTTTTCGGCTTCTGGCACCTTGATTAAAAGCATATCACGTCCACGTACGAGCACAAAGGAATCTCGAGATGAGCAACGGTAGTAGCGAGGTCGCTCGGTTTCGTTGCTAAAAATGACCTCAGATTTTACCACGTTTTCGCACGACTCTCGGCTTACACTTAACACTTATACCACTAGCGAGGACTACCTGCTAATTGTTTTCGTAGTAAAAGCGCGGACTGTGGCTCTGACATTAATAAAAGTTCAATTAAATAAGACTAAAGTTGAAAAATAATCACTTTTGCTTGACTGGAAAGATGGCTAGGTACGTCGCGGAAGCAGTTACTGAGCATGCGCCCAACCATAAACATATGTTCTTCCGTCTCCCCAATGCGCCGGACTGAACGTCCGTTCTTACCGCCATCTAGTGTTAATATCGATCATTTTACTTCTATTTTTTTGCTGTAATAGTTCCTCTAGCCATGATAACTTTCTCGGACGAATCAACAAAGTGTAATCTATCCTATTTGCTTAATATTTATAAACAAATACATTAATAGTAATTGTCAACATTATTGTAAAAAGACAATGTTAATATTTCGTGTTTAATCTGGCTGGAGAGTTAAAGAAAAATGTATTTACCGACTGTCAGTATTCTATTATTGTTGACTAAACAGGAAACCATCTTATGGGAAAAAGTGTCACGCGAGTCTTAGCATCGATGACACCTACCAATGGACTTTACGTATTAAAATGCTATATATAGATATATATTATATATCATAATCGCGAGGCACAAAATACACGAGTATGTTTCTCTTACTACTATTTATATTGAGTTAAAGCTATCTTAGACGTTGCAGCCAACGATAATGTTTGTCGGGGTAGTTTCAAAATTTCTATCAGTGCAACAAACATTACTTGTCCTCTTTCATATGCGTACAAATAGAAATACATTGATGCTTGCAGTACTTGTAACGAATTTTGGAATATGCTCTAGGATAACCAATCGTCTGGCGCACTTTTTCGAAACAATCATAGGACTTGGTAAGTGATGTAGCACCAGTGAAGTAAGGTCAGTGGAATAGTAGAAGTGATTAATAGTTTAAAATAATTTATTACAATGGTAACAACATCTTCAAACGTGTATAATATTAATATAAACTATATATAAATACCACACAACAGTATATTCGTTTACACTTATGTCTTCTATTTCGATTGCATAAGCATAGTGGAATGATATTTTTTATTATAAAGCATAGTCGCAATTCGCAATTATCTACACACATAGGAATGAGACGATCAGTCAAGATAAAAGCGTCATTTAAGAATCACCAAACTCTTAAAAAGAACCAATCAGGTATAGGAAACGGTTATGACGTTTCTCCCTCTCTAGCTGTTCTGACAAACGAAAACGTTAAGACGTGCGTCTCCACTTACCCACGTAAGCTGGATGAAGGTAAGTTAAGCCAGTTTCTCATGTAATGAGATGGAAAGAATTTACGAATCAAAAAGTTGTGGGTTCTATTGCAGTCTATCACGCCAAATGAATCTCATTAAAATTCAAAAGGAACAATGAATGTCCTCAGCACCGGCTATTTCACTCTCAAACAGTTCCGTTTCACATTAAGGCCTCGAAATTACATAGAGCACAGTTGAATAGATATATTACTCTTCTCTGGTTATTTGTATTTCTACGCTTTTTACCATTTTCATTTATTTTCTTATTACAATTCAAATCAGTCCTCGTTGTCATATTTGTTATCGACAAATGCAACGGTTATCAAATTCAATTAATCGAGTCTTATCGCGAACACGTTGTGACACTATATACATTTGTAAGTTTCAGAATATACGGTTAAGAAATCTTCGCAATCACGAGAGGTTTTCCGTTGAATTTGATATAAAACGAGTCACTATGGAAACTGACAATACCGTTATAGTGAATATTATGAGTTATAACATCGCGGATGCCTACAGATATGATATTAGATATACAGGGTTATTCAGCTGAGGGTATCAATGAGATATGATAGCTGTTATCCTATCGCACTGATTACAACAAGCGTTTGGCATCAGCTGGGTAACCTTTCTACGTATGCAATATATTAATAATACGTGTATGTATACAAGTATAAAAGTAGTTTCACAGCTAGGACTTATTTCCCGTATTTATATAAACATAAATGAAGAATCTTTGAGTCAGTTGTTATCACTTCAGACTGATATTTGAAAATTGTGCAAAACGAGTCGTTACTTGATCGATATGTCGAGGTAATTGATCTTCAGTAAAAGTGTGTCTTCCTGGGAAGTGAAAAAAGAAAAATCAGCGCAAATAAAGAAAGAGCCTCGAAGAAAAAGAAATAATAAAATATCGTCTTTTTATTTAAGTATAGAACTAATAAATAATGTGTGATATTTGATATGAAGACAATAACGAAGAAAAAAAAAAGTTCAGGACATCGCGGTTCCTTTACCACGCACTTTTTCCGCGGCTGCCCGAATTCTTAATATTAGTATGTAATCGTGCAAGGCTCTCTCGCCCTACTGTCTTTTTCGTAGGATTACTGTGCGTGACTGAAACCCGTTGGCATCACTCAAACCTCTAATACTAACAATCGCCTCGAAGTTTCGTCAAATGTAGATAGAATTATATCAGTTTAGCTATTACGAATGCTCGTAAGCCTTATCGTAGGACTGTGTTCCTTGAAATGGAATGACTATCTAAACACTGTCAGCATCATTTCTGCTTTGACTTTCTTGCAACTCTTACTCAGACTTCACTGCTTTGGCATGATTTACGAGAACCTCCTGCGAGGACTCTTGGAACGTTTTGTTCATTACACTGTGAACCTTCTCTATGAGTGTAGGAATATCCTCTTTAGTCAAACCAGCAGTGGGAATAGCCGGAAGGATTGTAACGTAGACAGTCCCTGTAAATAGAAGTGAAAAAAGATCTCATCAGTTTCTCCTTAGTTTGTTGAAACTACTGAAATACAAGCATATCGAAACGTATACAGTAGCGGGAACCGCGTAGTCAGATGGAATGGAAACAAGTCTGTGTAACATGCTGTCTCTATCACGTTGTACAGTTTCTCGAAAAGTAAAAGCTGAAGAAAGGTTTGCACCACTACCTGCTCAATGAGAAGGTAAAGATTATTGACAGTTGGCAAAAAATATTTTTGCTTGGCTTGTATGTAACTCGTTCAATTCGAAAAAGATAACATATTACACGGAATGAGTGAAACAGTCGTATGTTAGCAGGGCTACCTCTGACTACAGTGTATGCATTTCAATATACCTCTGTTTCAGTGGTTCAAACTTATTTTGGCGTTGCTGTTTCAGCTAATAAAAACTAACCCGAGTCAAATTTCTTGAGTTTGTCGTTCAAGAAGTAGTATCTCGAGACGACGACAGGTTGAATTGGTATCTGGGAAGCGACAGCCACATGGAAAGCACCTTTTTTGAAGGGCAGCAGCGTTGTACCGGCGTGCCTTTTGCCTTCAGGAAATAGGCAGAGTTTAGCCTACAATAGATAAGATTACAAATTTGAAATTGGCTAACTGAAAATTACTAAGGAACTTTTAACCTATATACGTACTTTTTTCTTTTTTATAATTTCAGCTGTTGAGTTAATGGTATTTTGAGCTTTCTCGGCGTTCAATCTGTCTATAAATATAGTACCCCAGAGCCACGAGGCTAATCCAAAGGGTCCCAGATAAAGTATTTCCTTCTTAGATACCACAGTGCATCTGTCCATTATCAACCAGAGAGTCGACAAAACTGCACAATGATTTAGAATGATCTTAACGCATTCTTATTATATAAGGCAAATAGGTCATGTTTAATTGCAGGCATACCCAGTAAGTCTAATCCACTTTGATGATTTATCAATACCACAGAGCCAGTGTCGTCGACGATATTTTCATGACCACGGGATATTATGTTGACTCCCAACAGTTTACCGACTTGATTGCACAGGAATGCCGGTATTCTAAATGGGGTAGATTAAATACATTTTTTAATCATAATCACAGATAATAATGACAAATTACAAAAAAATTGTATACGTCAACTCACGATGCATTCCTCCAATCTCGGGGTCTGAAGACCATCAGCGGGATAAAGGCAGTTGCGGATATGGCAACCAGGATGATATAAATAACAAATTTCAATCGGTATCTAACTGTTTGACTGACTGCATAAAGTATCATAAGCAGTAATAATAATGCCACGACGATACTACTGCAGGATATGCCGAGAACCCTGTAAACACACATTGTATCAATAAAAGTTGCGATTGTGAAAGATCTATCATTGCGTTATGATGTCTTATGAATTTTCAACTTATTGACAGAAGTTGTGATATTTTCATCTATTTCCTTGCAGCCAGACAAATGAGACTCGAAAAAATGGCTCAGAGTGAATATTTCATATTTTAGCGGAAGAGACCAGCAATAGTGGATGTGATAAGAAATTATTAATTGCGGGATAAGAAGAGTGAACTTTAACCTTGAACCCTGATAAGACTATTCCTATTATTAAAAAAGCAGGTACTGGTTACGTGTAACGAAAATTCCACTATTACTTTATTCGAAACAGGTTCAGAAGTGAATCATATTATGTGTATCTCTATTATTATTAATATTACGCAATTACAGTCCTTACGCAATGATATGATACGAGGAGTAATTTGTCATAAAGAATATGTAGAATTGAATTCTGCAATTTCACGATGATACCACGTGACTCTATTTTGCATTAACCATCCCCGTGACCGGTTGCGTCTGTCAGATCCGCAAGTAGCTATAAATGATGATAGTTTTAAAAAGTCAGAGTCGTTTTGTTTAACAGTCGTTTATAACAAGAAACCAATGTCATTTGACAACAGTGATTGTTTAAAGATAGAAAAAAAACTACAATTATTTTTGTATCTGACAGACCCACGAGACATGCAATGGTACAATTTTCCACCAGCCACTTGGAATAAATATAACGAGTATCTAAATTATGTAACTTAATGATTATAGTCTATCTAAAAATACTTTAACCCTTAACTACACAAGTGCGCTTTCAGACTTCACCAATTTTACGTTCAGTCCTCCTGCCGAATTTGTCTCTACGTATATTTTCAACGAATTAAAAAAAAAAACCTACTAGATAATTATTACTTGATACTTGGTCATTAAATTTGTTTAAACTAAGAGAAGAGCGACGTAAAACTCTACTTTTGAACTATTCTATTCGTTTTAGTAGCCCTACAATCGGGCTACATTGTTTGAGGTCACACACCTAACCTTGTAAAGCACATGTATTCTTAGAGTTGGACTTTTGTAGTTAAATATTTGTGTAAAATTAGCAATCCGCTGGACTTCAAAGACGGGAGACATCAAACACGTGCAAAAACGCTGTGCGTAACGAGATAAAGTCAGCATATTCCTCTCCTTGAAGATGGAAAATGCAATTATAATCGCTCTGTTGCGCTCGATTCGTAATAAAATAAAAAAAAATAAGAAGAACTCGGTACAATATCTGAAAACGCAACGCACGAATGAACAGACCTCGAACGACGTAATTTCTGTGAACCATGATTGGGAACAATGAGAATTTCATAGAATCGTAAAGTTTTATTTGTTTTATAAAATAATTACCAGCGAGTGGTTACTCCCTTGTGTACGTGAAAATGATGATGAAAAAGTGATTGAATTTCTTATTGATAAAAACATGCCTCATTAAAATATTAAAATTATAGGAATTTATTTAACATAACCTTTTAAGTAACATAAATACATAGTTAAATGTAAATTATACGCAATTTATGAATTCTTACTCAAATATGTAACACGTTACATTCGTCTTTCTTATGGAAATTCGATATTGCCTCCTCGTCTGACTTACATTTAACTATGTATAATAAGACACTCGCTATGATTCTTCCGACCGTATATAAAAGTCCAATGACTGATACAAGTTTGGGGTGATTAATCATGATCCTCTTATGATTGTTTTATAGTCTCTGAAAATATACATATATACGTAGTAACGTGAATGCATGATGTCACTTGGTACTAATACAAAGTACAAGAGTCTACTGGTCAAATTTGTAATAATTGCTGCTATGATGATATGTTGCTGTGCATGAAAGGAGGTGAGATAATCGAATAAGCCATGACTTATTTAGCTTATACTGTTACAGAGTCGAGATACTCGTATGTTCCGTTCTTCAATTGCAAATGACGTTTGATTTTAATCCTCGTGCATACAATGTGAATGAACAATTCACTTAGTTCAAAGTTTTCATTAATTCTTTTTCTTGCTTATAAATAAAATATTCTATTGGGGACTTTGAAGGTAATTGATATTCTTGACGAGACAAAGTGAACCTCAATATTACTTGTACATCTTGTGGTAATGAATGTTATTGAATTTCATGGTCGGTCTACTTATTTACATATGTTTGCGACGTTGTAATAAGTATTTGTTCTCTGAGTAGATTAAGTATTAGATTAATTATAATAAAAGTTATTCACAAGCGATAAACAGGACACGGAATAGTTTAATTAACCTAATGTTTTTTAAGCTATATAATATTTATGTGCTATACATTGAGTCAGGTGACGTGCTTTTTTTGTAAAATGTTTAATATTGTTACTCAAGATTGTGTAATGTTTCTGGATAAAGAAAAAATTACTAAATACACGTGACAGTCAACGGTTTTATTTCTTTACTGAAAACGATGCATGTTGAAATTTAAAAAAAAGTTGATAATTCTAATCCGTGTCTAATGCCACAATTTGCGTATAGAGGATTCTGTCATTTACATATATCACAAGAATTTCGGGAGTGTTGTTAACAGCAGCTGAGACCGGTTTCATGTCCTACATAGGTACTACACACATGGTCAGCTCTCTTTGTAAAACACGTCGGAATTAGGACGTAACGTAGATTGTAATACGTAGTTCAACGAAATTGTACACCGAGTAAAAGAATCGTTAGCAGTGCGCTTGTCCATAACCACAATTACTATGGATAAACCGAAAGGAAAGAAAATGTGAGAAAGTTTTGTTTCATGAAAATTAAACTGATGTAGGTAAGGTAGTAAGGATGGGAATAGAAGTTCTAGTAACCTTCAGGTGAATTTATGAACGAAATGCGTCATGGTATGGGCTACCTTAAAGTTGAAATGCGCAGAATCCATTTGACATGTGAAGTTTGGTAAAAATTATCTAGTGGTATATCACTAGTAGCAATGGTACTCACATTTTGAAATAATTATATTACCACTGATCACTGATTGTCACAGAGGAAAGAAGGAGCAACTGTCAAACTAGACAGTCAATGCCTCACTGCCGCGATACGAAATGATAGACACGTACGCACGTATCGAGCGACCTGTTATACTCGGGTTCCTTCGGATGCTTTCGCTCTTTCGCGCAGACGTTAGATCTCAGAGTCGGCGAAATGAATCTCATTACTGTTTTTAGGCAGATTGTGTTTTCTGTTTCATTTGAATTATGTAAGCGAGAGTAGTACATCCGTGTACAATATTTTTAATTGATCGTGGATAACTTGAATCTTTTTATTATTATTGTTGATTTTTGTATTTATTTTATGTATCTATTATTTTTCTTAGAAATATAATATAGCTGAATGCTTTCTTGATATACAGTGAATGAAGAAAATATTAACATAATTTTTTTTGTCTCGACTTTTTTGTTATCGTTGTAGATGTATTAAATCGTTTCATGTGATATTTGATATTTTATTTTATGGATTATGCTTTGTGATAATGAATATGGTTATACATTTTGTTGGTTTGAAAGACATTGCTGAAAATTTTTTGTTAATACATTTCATTACATACGTGTGTGTTCTTATCGGTTTAAGGGATAATTTTGTAAGACTAGTTATAAATTAGGAATTGATGTATGGGTGTATTATGAATAGATAATCTTTTTTTAAACGTCTCGTGCATATGAGTTTGTATGAAACAGTGTTATATTACATATTAGAAACAAAATGCTATCGGAATAATAGGATGAGATATATTATTACGATATATTACGATCATATGATTCTGACTCTTAACCAGATTTTATGTTTAATTAAGATTTCCCATTTTCTTTTATTCTGTTAAGTATTCTGTCTTTAATATCGTTTATGGTCTGACGTAAGATGGATATAGACTAAGCAATAAAGCGGATGATGCAAATTCCTTCAAGGATTTTAATTCAAGCTTATTAAAATATTAAAAATCTACAGTCAGTTAAAAAGAAATCTATCGTTTTGAATTCATACGTTCGAGTCAAGATTAGATCTACTTGACTGACTCGTTGTAATTTAATAAGATTATCTTTTAAGGCAAGCTTTAGGGAATTTTACTGGCATTTCCCAGATAAGGCAAATGATAAGTGGGGAAAAATTAAATCGTGGAAGATAATTTTTTATTTTTACTGTGAATGGGATTGATCCTTTTTCAATTGCTGAAAACTACCGACAGATGTCGCAACTATACAAGTACTGCTTGTTATCGATATAGTAAATTCACAGTCACAGGTGGCAGGCTTCTCGATGATCCGTCAGTATGGCAGATTAGTTCTGTACGAGACATACGGGACTGCCTAGTCTATTTATCTTCCGTTAACGACATTACCAAACGGCGGTGTATTTCATAAAGTTCAGACTATTGTTGAAATTGTTACAGTTCCTTCATTTTGAAATTTTCATTATTTCATGTAAACATTATAGTTATTTGCAAGAGTGTTACTGTATGATAGTTTTGGAGCAGTGCTATTAACTTGCGATGGAAAAATTAAACCGCTAAATTGTTATGCATACAAACATTTATTTAAAACTTATTTGTGAACTTAATAGTGATCGGGGATTTTTAAAATAATAAATACTCTAGTGGTGCAGTGAAACGATGGATATAATGAAAATATTACGAGTCTTCGAAATTTCGATTTTTGGAGTCATTTGATGCCAGGATGTCTTCGGCGGTAAGTTCGTTTGAATTTATATTAACGTGTTTCAATTTCTTTCCGTTTACACGGCATGGTACAATAATGTTAACGTTTTCTTTACTGGTTTTAATGGTGTTTGCATCCAGAAATTTCTTTTCAGAGAGACGTTGTTTTATTAAATTTACAAAATCCGCAGAATCCTGTTCTCTTCTAATATGTGGCTGTTTCGGCGGCCTCATCAATTTTGGAGAAAGCTTCTTTGATCTCTTTCCGAGTCTTTTGTACGTTTCTTTATCATCCGAATATGGTAAATGATTTGTTGGAGCGTCTTCTTTGAAATTCCATGTCATTAGTTTTTCAGTAGTCGAATTTTCATCGTTAATTTTGACTTTCTTGGTTTCATGCTCTAAAGTAAAAGTGGCTTTCACAGCAGTGGCCAAACATTTTTCAAGAGATTCGTTTTTGTTTCTAAGATTCTCTAATGAATTTTCTGAGCCGTTTCCAAGCTCTTTAACAATGAATTCGGTACTTTGTACAGTTGCTATACATTCTTCAGACGTATCTAAATTGACAGTGTCCTTATTAGCAACTCTACCACCATATAAAAATGCGGACATATTTTTACGTCTCCACATCTTTGAAGTACTTGGAATAAACTGTTTACATTTTCCCTCAAAGAAAAACTCTTTAGCATCTACATCATTTATTTCACCCTTTAGAAACAGTAAGTACTTTTTTAGAGCTACATAAAAATGTAGCTTATCTTTCATTCGAGGAAAGTTTGCACAACGAGCACTGCTCGATGGAACAACCCAAATTGCAGTGTTTTCAATACGTTCTGGTTGTAAACCAAAATTAAAAGCAGACTTGCTGTTTTTATTAGCAAATACTTCATAGATACCCTTGCCATTGAATATAGCAATTTTGGGTTTAAATATTTTTAGTTTTTCTTCTACAACTGAGGCGCCTTCTTTAATTTCTGTACGTTTCAGGTCTGCTGAAGATCTAGTGGCTCTATGAACAATATTGGTCAATCCAATTTTATATTTCAAAAGCTTGTAGTCTTCTTCAAAGCTGACAAATTTAGGAACCAATCCAGATTCATGCAAAAGTTTATAGAAGTGATTGCCCGGACCTGCATAATATCTTCCACGATGTGCAGCCATTAGACTAGGATTAATTCCAACAAATACCATATCTAAATCTGGTTCTAAATAGTCCGATAAAGTATATTTTTGTACTTCTTCTTCTGTAAGCCCATCGAATCTATCAATTTTTTTTTTGGGTTTTACTGTCACTTCTTCGGGAGCTCTTTTCTTTAACTTACTAAGTGATAAAGGCATAGCTGTGATTACGGCATCTGACCATATATAACACTTTGCTAGTGAATACAGTAAAGTATTTCGATACAAGACCTGACATGCGTTCAATGTAAACTTTCGATAGTCAAAGCGTTTGCCTGAAGCGAACAGATGCACACCATCTCTGTATAATCGGTGAGTGCTGAGGTTAGAAACAGTATACCTAAAACGAAACGAATAATATTAAAGAATGATGAGAAATATAAAATGCTTTAAATTGTCTACTCAATAAAATATACGTACATATACCTGCTTCTGATAACTTTTCCTCTACATTCTGTCAAACTGTTCACTTTGCTTTGTTTACACCGTGTCACTGTTTTACACGTGCCTGTGTCTGGCTTCGACTGAGTATTGATACTTTTTCCACCACACTAAGTGTGCTTTCGGACAGAAGCGAATGATTGCAAAAGGAACTGTGTGATAACATCTTGATGGAAATATTTATAATACTCATTTGTGTTCATTCGATTAGAGAAATAATTCAATATGTTTATTGCTAATCTTTACTACGTCATCACACAATACAGAGTATATAAGATATTTTAATAGACGTTTCTTCATTTAGAAATGTCCAAAATTGTTTTCATCTTTGTTCGAAATTTAATTATTTTCAAATAAGCATCCACTATAGCCTTACTTATCAACATACGTTTGGCCTGGGTTCTTAAATGTAAAAATAATTCAAGTACCAAAACAAAGCAACAGATTAAAATAGCAATTACGTGGATTATCAAAGGTATAAATTTGCAAATTGTACAACTGAAAAGGACGTAAGTTTCCACGAGTTTTCTTCATGGTGTACAATGTAACATATCTATTGTGCCGCCTCTTTTGCACTATGTCTCAAATTAGCCAGATTCAATGAGACGTCCGAGGTGCTTATTTATTGCTTGCATGTAAGAAAATTCTAACAACGCAGCGTACCTCAGATTGAACGGTTGTGATGGTACTGGATGGTACTTTATCATAGCCAGTTTCTCAGCACCCTTATGTTTTATTTTGTTCTTTCCTATCCTAGCGAATTTGATTCTGCCAAAAAATGACCAAAACATACAGGTCACTCGGTAAATTTTTGTTACCCAAAGATTACCACAACTTTTGCGAAAGAGTATATAATAGTAGACTTTTGCTAAATTTTTGTCAGAGAAACTAAAGTGTAACCATAGAGTAGTATATAGACTTTGTGAAACTCCAAAAATGTCCTTATTGTGTATTTCGATAGGTTGCTTAAGTTAATATTAGTTTGGTTTTATATTAGTTAGTTGATTTCGCGAATTTCCATAAAATAACCAAAACATTTAGAAAAGTGTCGCTAATATAAAATCTTCAAATTTCAAAAGATTTGCAAATCTGTTTTTATGCTACTAGAGCACACGCGCGATTTGTGCGCGACAAAAAGATTGCGGCTCTCTGAACACACTTTCATCTTGCATATTTATTTTTATAAAAATACAATTTACATATACCGCACAACCAATTTACACTAACGCTTTTCCAAAACCAACAAAATATTACATCAATCAGTTTTTTCACAATTCAGTTAGGGAATTCCTAAACATAACCAATATTTCATAATCATACGACATTAGCATCGACTATGGTGTACATGGTAAGCCATGCTTGGACTTGTGAGCTTTTACGTAGTATAAAGCAAAATTGATCGAGAAACATCGATACTGAATTTTGAACAGTCTCGTTAGACCACACAGATGTTAGTCTCAAATCCATGAATATGTCTGTTTCATTATTCATTATTTTACCCAGTCTACCAGTGACAATTTCATTATTCATTATGCCAAAAGTATGTGCAGTCGTAGTTCCACGATCCGTGCGGTCATATTCAAAGCTTTCGTTAAAGAATTCAGAACTCGAACATCGATCCCTTCGTAACTTTTATTATGAGGAGAACCTATGATAAAAGTACGATTTATAAATAATGTCCCATTTAATTCATACCCTTTGAAATTAGTATTGCCCTCTTCCACAAAACCTTTTATCGTCCTCAGCTTGGACGTACTGGCCTTTAATATTCTTTTGCTATTGTTACAGTACGTCACAATAAATTCAACATGTAAATCAATAATTTATGGAGTGTATATCGTACGATGGCAAAATTTGAAAAGGAGACAGGAAATCATTCTTCAGGCAGTCTACGTCACGAATAGTGATAACGAGTCTCGAAAATGGATGATTTTGAAAAATTATTGTTTATATACTCTGTCGGGTTCTGTATTCTTTATAAATATTTTTTCTTCTAGTTCATCACGAATATTCACTGTAATCACGTGTAAAGATTTTTTTTCAGTTTTTCACGTAATTTTTTATACTGCTTATCACACATCACACGGAGTTCTCCATCTTGCAAGATGATTTTGATATCTTTAGCCGACTTGAAAAAAGTACTATAATTTCCAGATAATCGGATCATTCAGGATGCTTTTTCTTTGGTCTACAAGATTCTACACTCTTCTCTCCAGTACATTTACGATGGATGAAAAGAATCCGGAGAAAATGACTATTCCAAGAAGAAGTAAGATATTTCCAAACTGCATATTTTCAAGTTAAGTTACTCGCAAGAACCTTCCAGTGGACTGCGTCGGCGATTTAAGAAGTGTCCATAGTCAGTTTCTGCCTTTTTACCTTTATGTAAAATATGCATACAGATTTGTGCATCTGCGTACAGTAGTCTTCCCAATGGATGTATTAGAAATACATTGAGAACCCTCCCTAATGGTCTCTCCTTGAGCTAGAGGATTGTCGATATCTCGATTGGATGTACTGGGTAATTGCACTCGTTTGTACCAACTCGCAAACGGTACACGTGCACAATTAGCGACAGCTGCGGATTTTCTGCAGATCGTCGTTGCTTTATGGGGTCAAGCTAATTGTCTTCTATGTTAACAATCTACCAGCAGGTTTATCATTTCAAGAAAACCATACGTTCTCCAGTAGAGAGAAAAAGATATCGAGTGTACGTGGTATAGATCTATATGATAAAATAGACTAAATTCTAAATATTAAAAATAATTCCATAATTATAATTAACTTTTGAAATGTTTAACTCAAGTAGGCACAAGTATGCTACACGTACAGCTTAATACCTGTTTATGACAGTATTTAGTCTTCTTATCTATATCTTTATTCTTATTTCTTGGTCTTCATTTTTCTTCCATTTTCTTTCTTTACTTTACCCAGTTTACTTAGCCTTACTTACATTATTTCTTCCTCGATGTGCTCTAGATTTGAAATTTTGTATAACTTGTACTATTCTACAATTATTTACTTTTGGTTTTATTTTCTCATGTCCTTTTTTCTTTATTGTCAATTTCTATTATAGTCCCGATGGTTTATACCTATTTTGACATTTATTTGGTATTGCAAGACTCGTTCACGAGGCTGCAGTCACGTCTGATATAAATAATCGCAGTTGTTCATTATCCGGCTAATAAGTCTATATTCGAACCCAAATACATTTTTTTTAGATATTTCATTTCTTTTTCTGCTCTTCGAGTTGACCACTGGAGATCTTCTATTTATTTAAAATTTACACGTACTTTAAAATACGAGAAACTTTTAGAACATTCTAGAAAGATCTAGAAGCTTCTAGAATCTTAAAATCAGGGAGGTCCACGACGTCGATTTAGCATGGACGTGAACCTTCAAAGGCTCTCTAAGTGCCGGTAAATATCGGTTGCAGGAATCTGTGTTCTGAACCCCGTTCGTTATACTACTAGGTTCTTAAAAAGCCTATGTAAGTACTCATAGGGATTTCACTGAACACTTTAGATTCGCTGTCTAAACTTTGTAGGTCTTTACTCTTGTGTCTATAAGGTCTGTCTAGCAGGATACATTATTAACTCGTCTCGCAGGAATATTTATAGACGAAAAGGCATTTGAAGATATTTTCATATAGAAATTACATCATCTATAAGTATTTCTCAAGTACTTCCAGATGGCAAATCTAAAAGACTCCATATCAGTAGTATATAGATATATGCAATTATGCAGGGGTGGCAATGGCGATATTACGTAACGTTCCATCTATAGGTAATTAGGTAGCGTGTTTGCGAATAGGTCCATACTAATGTAGCAGTCCGGGATATCGTATTCGAATCATGTTGGCCTTCCGGTCTGGCGAACATGGCTAACATCCACGTGATAGGAAGCTGCAGGAACGTTACGTATCTCTATCCGAGTTATAGGTAGATAGGTAGCTTGATAGCTAGGATACTATACATATATATACATATATGGCTAGTAGTAGCAGCTAGTAATTCGCGTAGCAGATGTCCGAACGGTAGTAGTCGCTTGACACGGCCGAGCGAGACAAGTAAAAGCCTGGCTGCCCTGACGGACACTCCATTTGTAACTCGGATTAAATTCTCCACTCTACTACGTAATTTATTGCTCAGCTTTTTTTTTTATTTCCCTAACCGAGACACTGATCGGGCTTATTCTGCACGGATTAGCGGTTGCTACCAGATTTCCTCCGCATCTTTCTCTCATTTTGGAAATACGTACTGTGCGGAAATATTCGACTGAGTCTCGTGTGAGAATTTTCCAGGTCTTCTTCTATAGGAGAATTTCACTTGGAGTTTCGCACGCTGTCTCTAATTCTCTCTCTCTCTCTCTCTCTCTCTCTCTCTCTCTCTCGCTCTGTCTCTCTGTAAAGGATTAAAGATTAAAACGTGACGTAGCGCGAGGCGCGTATTATTAGAAGCGGAATGACGCGAGGCTCGAGATCAGGTCAATAGTGCAGTCGCATCTTGGACGACTTCTATTTCCATCAACAAATGAAAAATGCACAAAGAACGCGGCCATCTTTTTTCCGTGAAGCTCACGGGTTTCTAGGTATATTTTTATCGCGCTCAACATTGAAACTTTGTCCGCATAAGTTGGCATTAGAAAGAACTGAATACGAAATTGGAGGATTTGAAATTTTTAAAAATATTTCGAAGGGAATTGTCATATTAGATTATAAAGTTGAGACCACTCAGAATTGCATCTATAGAATACGGCAAATTTGAGAATGAGTCCCTAACGGATGAATTTCAGGACACTCGTATGTCTGTCCTTCTCTTATTCACGTGATTCCGCATAAGTCCGTCTTTCTCGCACTCGCAGCAGGTATAGAAAATAAAAAAATTTGAATGCAATAGTGCAATTGAAAAATTTTACTTGTCGCTTACCCGAAGAACGTTTCAAAATGGTTTATAGTGAGATTTTTTTTTTTTCAATATACAATCGCATCTCTTTTGATCCGTTGAATATGAAAAAAAATAATTTGGACTTTTTTTTTTTTCCACTCAATTATCCATAACGACTCTACACACGTCGAGTCTACTTTCCTCGGCTATTCTTATTCGTCTCTTTCGTTTTTCTCTCAATTCTACTGCGTTCCCATTCT